CCTCCTCTACCACCTCCTCCTCCTCCTCCTCCTCCACCACCACCACCTCCTCCTCTCCCTCCTCCTCGTCCTCCTCCTTTCACTTTCCTCCCATCATTGCATTGACTAACCCTCAAGTGCTCTTACTGTCTTCTCCTCTCCTCGCGCGGCTCATGACTGACCTCAAGCAGGAAGCGTCCGGTCGGAGGTCTCAGCACGGCGATCAACCGGAGCCCCCAGCCTACCCGAGAGATCTGATTCCCGATTACGCGGTAAAAGCGCTGCAAACCATGGCGAGGTTCTCAAGTTAAGTTGGCAGAGTCACACCGATCCGAGCGTGAAGGCGAAGAGGCGAAGCAGGATGCCGGTGAGTGTGGGGAAGGGTTCCTGCCAGTCATGACGGGTAACTCCCTCTACCTTGTCAGAGCGGTTCAGCATGAATGTAGCTGGCTTGACCCTCGCAGCGCGAGGAGCAGATCGTCACGAAAGGCGGTCTCGTATCAGACCGTGACATGCAATCCAACAGCAGGCGGCTATCTGATGGCAACGTGTGCAGGAGGGAGATGACGACGAGGTCTCGGCGGGAGCCATCAGCAGCCGCAGGAAGCTTGAAGGAGGTGAAGGCCTCTCGCCTCTGAACCTGCTCCCCCCTCACCCCATTCCCTGTCAGAGGCCTCTGCCTTCAGCTCGCGTAGTCGAACCTCCAAGAAGAGTGCCGCCATGACGACACCTCGCACGCCAGTGGGTCCAGGAGAGGATGCGGAGCTGAGGGATTGAAGCTTCCCTTGTCAGAAAGATGCCAACAGCGAGGTTACGTTTGGAATGACGGCTTGCGGCGCTTGTCATACCCTCCTGGTCACCAAACACAGCGATTACAACCTCCTGCTCGCCTGCGGGAACAACAGGTTGCTGCCTTCAACTCATACGACCCTCACACACTTGGCGCAGGAATGGACAACTCGGGGTTTATGATAGGCAGGAGAACAGAAGGCTTCTCAATTGCGATGAATGCTTCATTCTGTAGGTTGCATGATCTCTGAAGCTGCTTGCTTGACGCTCTTGCTCAGGCAAGCTCTCTTCGAATGCAAGGCATGCCCGATGGTATAGTGAGAACAGCTTCGGAAACTGTGGTGGTGATGGTTACTCGCAGGTGCTGGAGCAGGACTACAAGCGAAGAAGGCGATATTGCGAGTCCTGCAAGCGGAACATACACAAGAGGAAGAAGAACAAACTGCATGAAATCCTTGAAATCCCGGTATCCTTCCATCATCTCTCGGGCTTCAGTAATTCGGACTGTGGGGGGCCAGAGGCCAGACAACAGGAAGTACGTGCTGACCCCTACCCCCGTGAAGGCCTACGAGAAGGATATCCTCGACACGCTTCAAGGTCCCAAGAGGATGACCAGCGGTGATCTGATGTTTCCCAAGGTCCTCCGCCAGAAGAAGATGAAGAAGAACTCGAGGAGGAGCGGCAGATTGCGATGGTTGGAGACCTCAATCATGTGAGTTGTTAACCAGTTGTGTCGTTGAGGACTGAGCTTGCAAGCACTCAGGTCTTCTCTGTCTCTTGCGGCGAATTGCATTCAGCAGCTGTCGTTAAGAATGTCTACGAGAGCGATGGATTTGTGTACACGTGGGGCTGTGGAGGGGGAGGCAGGCTGGGCAATCATGGTAGCCACAACCCTGACTACACAGACAAGTTCGAAGCTCATATCGTGCATGCAAGAGAGTACGAGGAAGAGTCGGGGGAGGTTCAACTCGTGCCTTTCCTTGCCAAGGAAGTCTCGTGCGGCGGTCAGCATACCTGCGCTCTCAACTCGTCTGGAGAGCTGTTCTCCTGGGGAAACAACCGATACGGACAGCTCGGGAGATCAGTTTCCGAGGGGTCTGAAGTCATGAGAGATTGCTTTCCGATGCCAGTGGAGATGCCTAAGGGAGTGTCTGTCACCATGATAGCTTGCGGCGACTTGCACTGCGTCTGCATCGCCGACATTGTTTCTCAGGATCGTTCGGGGCTCTTCAGCTGGGGCTGCGGTGACAATGGCAGACTCGGCTACCCAGCAGGGGCCCACCAGCCGACCCCTCGACTCATCGAGTTTGACTTGCACGAAGATTTCGTTGGCGTCTCTTGCGGTTCAAGTCACAGCGCCGCCATCACCTCCAAGGGCCATCTCTACACGTGGGGGAGCAACGAGTCCGGTCAGTGCGGGCCCTTCAAGCTGCCGGCCTTGCAAGACTTGAAGGAGAGCCAAGTGTCGCCCCTCCCGCCCGACATCTGGAAGCCAAACCTCGTGTTGCTCGAGGACGAAACGAGCCCAGCAGAAAGACCTGCAAAAGAAGCAACGCCCACCAATACCACCAAGAAAGAGAAACGACCAGGCCTTGACAAGAGCGTAGAATTGACGCAGCAAACCCAAGAGGTGATTGCAGGAGAGAAGTCTGTTAGAAGTGCAGGAACGTCAAGGCATAAGCATGATTCGCATGTCTCTGAGAGCAAGCAGAGCCTTGCCTTGCAAGTGGCATGCGGAGAGAATCATACTCTCGTCTTGGTTCACTCCAAGCTTTGGATTCTTGGGTCAGGCCTTGATCGTCGCCGTCGTCTTGATAACATGGAAATAGAGAAGATCAGCAAGAAGAAAGAGATTGTATCATGATCTTTCAGGTTTCATAGTTGACCTCTTGTCTAGGTCAAGCTAAATGAAATCTTTCTCCCACGGAAGCTTCAGTTTGCGTTCACAGACACGGCAGAAGTATCAGTCCGAGATGCGTCGGAAGAAGAGGAGGAATTCGGTTAGACGATCGACCTCGAGGACGCTCCTTGACTCGCTGACCTTTCACTAGACCCGGGAGACGCAGTGCGATACACCAAGACAGTCGTCGAGAAGTTCAACCCAGACGACCCGGCTGCTCCGCCTGAGATCGAGGAGCACCACTGCTTCACCTTCACCTACTCAGGAGACTTAGAGATCAAACCTGGATCTGTGCTCGCTTTCACGGGTCCCTGTGCTCCCCAAGGGCTGATGGTAGAGTCAGTTACGGAAGGCCCCTGGTTCACAGTGCTCGGGAAGACGAACCGAAGCCATGGCGATCAGCACCAGAGCTCCGACGATGACTGGCACAAGTGGATGGGTCCTAACACTAAGCCTTTCTATGTCTATGTGAGTTGCCCACTATCTTGTGACTGGCTGTCACTGATTGTTTGGCGCGCAGAAAGTTCAGCTGAGAACGTCCAAGGGAAGTTTCACGGAATACGACCGGCTGTACAGGAACAGCAAGATCACAAACATGTTCTTCTGGAAGGTTCCAGATGAGCTGAACGTTGAGACAGACAAAAGTACTCCCATCGTCTACATCCTCGGATCCACCATGCAAGACGACGAACTGCAAGCGGGCGATAAGCTGAGCGGCAAGAAGTCTGGTGCGGAAGCGCTGGTGATCACTGGCATGGAGCTGCAACTGGATCCCAAGAGAAATCCTCTGGTTCGCTGGTACCACAGCAAAGACGACTACCACACCCACCACAAGTTCACCATCGAGGTGGACGATGACAACCTCAACGTTCGCCATCCGACCTTCGCTCACTTCATCTCTTGGATGAATGAGCATGTCAAAACGGAGAACTCCAAGAACATGCTGATCTGCCTGAGGAAGAGCATGCCGAGCATCACCTCCATCTCCAGCAGAGGTTTCCATGCCTGCGCTCTCACTGACGACGACAAGTTGCTTATCTGGGGCAAAGGCGTCTCGGGGAGACTCGGGCTCGGGAACGAAGTGGACCAGTACGTTCCCATCATCATCGAGTTCGATGGGGGGAGCGTCCCGGTGAAGGAGCTGAGCATCAAGGATGAGGGGATAGTGGTGGAGGCTGTTTTCACCGAGGTGCCCGACGGGCTCAAGGTTGGAGACAGGCTCAAGGAAGTGAGCTACCGCACGATAGGACCCGAGTACTCCATCGCCATGGTGAAAGAGCTCTTCAACGGGCCCATCGACAGCGTGTGCCGCATCGTCATCGAGAGGATGGTCAAGGATGAAGATGATCTGCTCGGGGAGGAGGAGCAGCTGAAGGAGCTTGTAAAGTATGTGAGACGGGTTGACTGGAGGGAGATCATTACAGAGGGTGGCTGAGAGGAGTAGGGAGGCAACGATCGTGTCAGGGGGGCGACGTGTTGAGCTGTAGATATGTGAGATAGTACTCTTAAGATACAAGGAACAATAAATGAACAAGAATGTCAAGATTTCTCGCATATTATTGACAACTGCACGTCACAAGACTGCTAGACTGTGTACTGGAGCAACTGTCAAACGAGGCATGAAATCGTCCACGCTAACGTTACACATCTGAGATCTCCTTCTCCAATCAATACTACTCTACAAATCATCATCTATCCTCGAGATCCTCGAGCTCAGCTTCCTTTGGTTCGCCTTCAACAGTTCCATCCAAGACTTAAACTGAGAGATGTCTGCCCCATACTCGAACGCTCGCGATAGATCCTCTCGCATCTTCGACAGCTCGGTGACAAGGTCCGCATCTTCATCTTGCTGCACAAGACCAGACAGCTGTGACACGAGATCGTACTGCCGCTCCAGCGCATTCTTCAACGTGTTCAAACTGCACAGGTATGAGACACTCACAAAAGGCAAAATACCAAGGTGTGCCAAGGATGCACATGCAGAACACTACACGCAGCAGAATGAATATTGGCAGGACATGCAGCAGAACGGTGGTGTTGGCAGGAAATATGAGGAGACAATAGGAATACAGCATGAGAGAAACAATCGTCTGTGGGATCAATGAGGACACAATGATCTGCTGCAACTGAAAACTTACAAACTCGTCAAGGTGGTTCCTTGAGGAGCGCCTTCAAGGTTCAGATATTCGTTCAGATCCTGCTGAGATATGAAATCGGACTCATTGCTTACGAGTCGACTGTCTTCATCATCTTCCACTGGACTCGCAGCATTCTTATTGGCGCCGACATTAAAGCTCCAAGAAAAAGTTGAGAAAAATTCAGGGATTGCCTTGAGACCACTCTGCATACAGTCCGAGATCTTTGCAACATTGAGGCAAGAGCTCGTTTCTGATGTAGTCTGTCTCAAACTCTTCCAGATTCCTGTCAATAGCAGGAGTTAGAACATCGTCGATTCCTGGGAATCCACTGGAAACAACTCCCGTTTCCCACCTCTAAGTTTAGGCGTGTCAGGGCAGATGCTCAGGGGTAGGCAGCTGAAGGGGATTTCGACAGTCAGTGAAATAAAATTCCCAATGTTCGAAATGTATCGTTTGAGATATGGAGCAGAAAATGAGCAAACTGAGCGCTGAAATAGTTTGATCTGGCCTACAACATCAACTGCTGAGAACACACATGTCTTGTATACGAATATCTCTTGCAGCAGATGACGAACAGAGACTATCAACTTGCAGAGAAGCCGACTATCACAGTCAATCAACTCACCTTGAATATGACAATGAAGGAAGGAGGAAGAGGAGGAAGAGGAGACAGAAGGCAGGTAGGCGCGCGCCGAGCATGGCGATCGGAGGGACACAAATGTGAAGAATGGGGATGTCTGGTTTCAAGGGGGTGGTCTCAGAAGGGGGGGGGGGGTTATGAAGAAAGGTAGGTACGTGATGAAATTAGTCTAAGTGGGGGTCATTTTTCCTGATTCATCAATGTACGGGGCGGGGGTACTATTGCTACAAAATCCAATCACGGGGGTGGTACTGTGAGATGTATTGCGACAGCTAGTAGAAATGGGGGGTAGGGGAATAAGATAGAAGCGGGGGTGGGGTGATACCGGGGGTGGGAGTGCTCCTGGTCGGGCAACCGAGAACTACCCCCTTCTTCAGACTTGATGAAAGTAGACTACCAGGGTAGGGTAGTAACATCATTTGGTGGGGGTAGGTGGTAACCTGAGGATGATCTGGGGGTGTGAACAATGCAGGGGTGTCACAAGACGAACCGATGCGTTGCTTTACATGTGGGTGGGTGATAACAGGGCAAGAAGGGGGTGATGACATGAAGTACATGGTGGGGTAGTGGATGATGGGGGTGCTTTGTTGTGTAGGACGCAAATGTTACAGGGTGGTGGGGTAGAACAATGAGGGGTACAGTATGGTATCAGGGGGGTACTTGTATGAAGCAAAGGTAACATTTCATGGGGTAGCGAACGGTCACTCTGTTCAATACCAGGGGGTAGGGTGGTGGTATAAGGTGAGGGGTAGGAATGCCGCAACTCTTCATTTGAACTGAGGGACAGCTCTGTAGTAAATACTCTGAGAGTCTGGCCCGGACAACTTTCAGCCGGGGCCCACCATCAGTTATCATAACTAGTAACTTGGCAATCTGATAGCACCTGCGTTGATGTCGTGAAGACAAACGGTCTAAAGTTAGTGAGTCTACAAGTTTGTACGGTCGGATCGTAAACTTGATTGAGAAGGCCAACCAAAATACGATGACCTTGGAACTGAAGCCATTCCATAAGTGCCAAAGCACACGCGGCGGCAGCTCCTCCCTTCCTTCTCCTACTCAACTGAGGCCGTCCCTTCTCCCTCCCCTTAGGCTCCTTTACCTGCTGGCTCCCCGCCAAGATCATCTGGTTGTACCTGTCGTAGTGCACCTTGCGGTTCAAGCTGATCACCTTCCGCACCCTCCTCGCGTTCCTCACAACTCGCTCGTACACGTTCCTCACAAACGGCGACTGCGGCACATCCGACTCGGCCTTGCTCCCGTCCGCTGACACCAGCCGCAGCCATCGCTCCTCCATCGGCCCGTAGCTCTTCTCCAAGACCATCGCAGGCACCTCAAGAAGCCTCTCCAGCATCTCCCTCGAGTACGCTGACGGCTGGCTGGGCGACAGGCAAGAGGCGATGAGCTCCTTCTCTGCCGCTGACAGCTCGGCCTCGAAGCTCGACGTCGCTGCCTTGACGCGCTCCTCCCTGTCGACATGTCAGAACACATATTAGAAGTAAATTTTCAGATACATCAACATACCTATCATCATCGATGGGACAGTTTTCGATGGTGCGCTGATTCTTAGGAATGCTGCCCGTCTGTGAACCAGTTGTAGCCTTGTTCTGTGGAGTAGCGGGTGTGATGTGCGTTGTATCAACTTTCGATTTAATCTCGACGACTGCCTTCTCCATGAAGAAAGAACTCAATGTGATTTTCTGCTTCTCGAGCTCTTTCAACGCAACCTTACACAACGAAAACAAAACCGTAGCATGAGCGCACACATATGTCATAACGATTGGCATAGCTTCCTCCTGGTTATGGATGATAACATCCTTGGGTATGTAATTGCAAAATCCTTCTTGGCGAGGCAACCTTCAAAAAGAAAGCACGATGCTTATGGCTGTTCTCTCGAACAAAACAGTTCCTCATCCAATTGGGATCGAGCTTCTGAGCTCCAATGAGGTATTCAATGTCTTGGAAATTGACAGCTATCTCCTCGTCTCTTCAATGGTGCGAACGTTGGTCTTCCTTTTCCTTGGCTCAAAGAGCATCTTCATCAATGCTGCTCAAAGCACTGAGAATCTCATTTACCTTCACGATGCTCATGTCCAAAACTTGAGTGATGACATTCTTGAACTGAATAGTGCTTTCCCTGTGAGCTTTTGCCTTGGCAATACATGATTTCACTCGGGAGCTGGCAGAATCAACTGTTATAAGCCCAAGACCAAGAGATAACTGTAAGAAATCCTCGTCTTCACCATTGGTAACTAATGCTCTGTAACGTCGTTTACCTGTCGGTTGATCCAGGTTGAACGACATCCTGGGAATGTTTGGCGCCAGCTGCTCGTTGGTCATCCGGCCGGGCAGCGAAGACAGCCCGGACGCATTCGTCGAGGACGGTAGCTCTGCTGGCCTTGAGCTGCTCCCGGCCCCTTGCGAGGAGGACGATGCTGCCTCCTCCGACGGCTCCGCGTCGACCGCAGTGAAGCCTTGCTGCCTTAGCGCCTCGTCGAAGCTCTCCAGCACCTGGGCTCCTGCGATCTGTAGCAACTTGGCTCGGAGCTTCGCCTTCTGCGCTCGGAACTCCTCCTTCATAGGCTCGGTGAGCTTGAAGGCGGGATCCAGTAGCGGCTCGTGCTCGTCGAGCTTGAAGGTGGGATCCAGTAGCAGCTCGTGCGCCAGCTGCTCGTTGGTCATCCGGCCGGGCAGCGAAGACAGCCCGGACGCATTCGTCGAGGACGGTAGCTCTGCTGGCCTTGAGCTGCTCCCGGCCCCTTGCGAGGAGGACGATGCTGCCTCCTCCGACGGCTCCGCGTCGACCGCAGTGAAGCCTTGCTGCCTTAGCGCCTCGTCGAAGCTCTCCAGCACCTGGGCTCCTGCGATCTGTAGCAACTTGGCTCGGAGCTTCGCCTTCTGCGCTCGGAACTCCTCCTTCATAGACATGTACTCCTGGGCGTAAGGGCTGAGGTGTGACTCCGCGCGGTAGAGGGCGAGAAGCGCATGCTTGATGCGCTCGGTGAGCTTGAAGGCGGGATCCAGCAGCAGCTCATGTGCCAGCTGCTCGTTGGTCATCCGGCCGGGCAGCGAAGACAGCCCGGACGCATTCGTCGAGGACGGTAGCTCTGCTGGCCTCGAGCTGCTCCCGGCCCCTTGCGAGGAGGACGATGCTGCCTCCTCCGACGGCTCCGCGTCGACCGCAGTGAAGCCTTGCTGTCTCAGCGCCTCGTCGAAGCTCTCCAGCACCTGGGCTCCTGCGATCTGTAGCAACTTGGCTCGGAGCTTCGCCTTCTGCGCTCGGAACTCCTCCTTCATAGACATGTACTCCTGGGCGTCAGGGCGGAGGTGTGACTCCGCGCGGTAGAGGGCGAGAAGCGCATGCTTGATGCGCTCGGTAAGCTTGTACTCGTCCGGGACTTTCCAGTCCTTGAAGCGAGCGAGGTAGACGTTGAGCTGCTTGAGGAAGGGCCTCCACGAGCTCCAATCATGCTGTGTGAGAGGCTGAGCGCGAGAGCTCTCAATGCTCGAGCAGATGTGCCTCAAGGTAGTGACGAGGTCGGCGGCGGCATGCTGCACTTGTTTCTCGAGGTGGCCGATGCTCTCGAAGCAGCTGCCGGGTCGGTTGACGACGAGGAAGGCGGCCATGAGGACTCGGACGTTGAACTGCTCTACCGTCTCGTCCTTGTCCAGTCGGAGGCCTCGCCGGACGACAGCGCGCTTGATGAGGAAGATGACGCTGGTGACGAGGCGCTTGAAGTCTCGGATGACCCACTTCTTCTGGGAGCGAGCTGTCATGTCAGGGAAGCGAGCCTCTGCGGGCCACTCAGCAATCAAGGACGATCTGGCGAGTCTTGCGAGGAGGCTGGGGAGGGAGAATCGGAAGGCGGGGCCTCGGAGGAAGCGAGCGATGCAAGCAGAAGCTGAAACGGCCGCACAAGAGGGCCGGAGGGAGAGGGAGCCAAGCTGGACGGGGGGATGCTGAGGTATGCTGGGAAGGGAGGACATTGGGACAATGTTTGGATGGCAAGGGACAGGGCAGGAGGAGGGTGAGGAGATGCCCTACCCCACCCATGAGCTGAAATCAGACCCCTCCATTTTACTTGGTTTATCTTGTATTGAAGGACCCGTACAATTTGTACCCCCACCCCCCTTTTCCTAGCTCTGTCGAGCCTGCCTCAGGGCATACTCAAAGCTATGCCTAGTTCCCAGCTATCAGGAACGTTCCCTCCCTTCCTCCCTCTCACACGCCGCTCCTCCTCCCACTCGCTTCCCTCCCTCTCACACGCCACTCCTCCTCCCACTTGCTTCCCTCCCTCTTACACGCCACTCCTCCTCCCACTTGCTTCCCTCCCTCTGCACTGTCGTGCCAAACATTGTCACCTCCAAACATTGTCCCAATGTCCTCCCTTCCCAGCATACCTCAGCATCCCCCCGTCCAGCTTGGCTCCCTCTCCCTCCGGCCCTCTTGTGCGGCCGTTTCAGCTTCTGCTTGCATCGCTCGCTTCCTCCGAGGCCCCGCCTTCCGATTCTCCCTCCCCAGCCTCCTCGCAAGACTCGCCAGATCGTCCTTGATCGCCGAGTGGCCCGCAGAGGCTCGCTTCTCTGACATGACAGCTCGCTCCCAGAAGAAGTGGGTCATCCGAGACTTCAAGCGCCTCGTCACCAGCGTCATCTTCCTCATCAAGCGCGCTGTCGTCCGGCGAGGCCTCCGACTGGACAAGGACGAGACGGTAGAGCAGTTCAACGTCCGAGTCCTCATGGCTGCCTTCCTCGTCGTCAACCGACCCGGCAGCTGCTTCGAGAGCATCGGCCACCTCGAGAAACAAGTGCAGCATGCCGCCGCCGACCTCGTCACTACCTTGAGGCACATCTGCTCGAGCATTGAGAGCTCTCGCGCTCAGCCTCTGACGCAGCATGATTGGAGCTCGTGGAGGCCCTTCCTCAAGCAGCTCAACGTCTACCTCGCTCGCTTCAAGGACTGGAAAGTCCCGGACGAGTACAAGCTTACCGAGCGCATCAAGCATGCGCTTCTCGCCCTCTACCGCGCGGAGTCACACCTCCGCCCTGACGCCCAGGAGTACATGCCTATGAAGGAGGAGTTCCGAGCGCAGAAGGCGAAGCTCCGAGCCAAGTTGCTACAGATCGCAGGAGCCCAGGTGCTGGAGAGCTTCGACGAGGCGCTGAGACAGCAAGGCTTCACTGCGGTCGACGCGGAGCCGTCGGAGGAGGCAGCATCGTCCTCCTCGCAAGGGGCCGGGAGCAGCTCAAGGCCAGCAGAGCTACCGTCCTCGACGAATGCGTCCGGGCTGTCTTCGCTGCCCGGCCGGATGACCAACGAGCAGCTGGCGCATGAGCTGCTGCTGGATCCCGCCTTCAAGCTCGACGAGCAGGGGGCAGGCTACCTCGACAACCCCGTGCTGTCCAAGGTGAGGGAGAGCTTCAAGGTGGCTTTCTGGGACAGCCTGGTAGACGACCTGAGGCTCATCCCCCCCAGCTACGTGCGAGTGCTCAAGGTGGTAGGGGAGGTGAGGGACGGGATGATCGACCTATCGCCTATCCGGAGCAAGGAGCTCAAGGAGAAGATCGACACGGCCTACTGGCAAGAGCAGATCGAGTCAGGGGCGCTGGACTGGTCGTCGTGTGTGTCGTTGATCGAGGGGATGCTGGGGATCGCGATGGAGATGCAGGAGCCCTCGCGGAAGCAGGAGACGCAGGCAGGCTGGAAGGCTCTCGAGGAGGAGCTCCGAGCTGGCACGCCGGAGGACCAGCCGACGCTGTTCTGCAAGGCGCTGGAGTATGTGCTGGGGCGGGTGAACGTCATGAGAGTAGACGCGGCCAACGCCCGGCTACGGAACATCGCTCACGTCATTCAGAGCCACGGGATCGAGTACGAGCGAGCGCACATGGACAAGAAGATCAAAGCCAACCCAGCCTACCTCCAGCGCACGCCAGAGTGGATCCGGGCGGTGGTAGAGAAGGAGGTAGGGAGGGGCCGGGCAGACCTGTCGAAGCTCGTCCAGGGCGAGGGGGCGGCGTACGAGCAGATCCACACGGCTGCGGTCTTGAGCCTGATCATGGGGAGTGACCCCCTCAAGACCGACGCTTGCCCAGAGACCCTGCAGCTGGACATCAGCAGGCTACGCAAGTACCACGCGGACTTCCACTTCGACGTGCTGGCGGCGTGCATGCTGGCGGTGGCGTCGCAGCGACTGATGGCGACGAAGAAGGACCCGAAGGTGACGGAGCTGCTGGAGCACTTGAAGACGTCGCTCAACAGCTTCGAGGCGTCGCTTGTCGACAAGGAGGAGCGCGTCAAGGCAGCGACGTCGAGCTTCGAGGCCGAGCTGTCAGCGGCAGAGAAGGAGGTCATCGCCTCTTGCCTGTCGCCCAGCCAGCCGTCAGCGTACTCGAGGGAGATGCTGGAGAGGCTTCTTGAGGTGCCTGCGATGGTCTTGGAGAAGAGCTACGGGCCGATGGAGGAGCGATGGCTGCGGCTGGTGTCAGCGGACGGGAGCAAGGTCGAGTCAGATGTGCCGCAGTCGCCGTTTGTGAGGAACGTGTACGAGCGAGTTGTGAGGAACGCGAGGAGGGTGCGGAAGGTGATCAGCTTGAACCGGAAGGTGCACTACGACAGGTACAACCAGATGATCTTGGCGGGGAGCCAGCAGGTAAAGGAGGGGAGGGAGAAGAGACGGTGAGTCGGAGAAGGAAGGGAGGAGCTGCTTGCGTGAGAGGGCGTGTGACTTGAAGGCTTGAAAGAGAGTCAAACTAGATCTCTACTGGTGTTGTAGCCTTTAATCCTAACTAAATGTTTATTTCAAACCTAAACTGGTCCATTATTGGTCCCTCGTGCTGGTAGTGAAGTCTAGTCTAGTCATCCTGATTCGAATTCGAATTCCAGTCTCTTCAACGTCGAAGCGCACTGCTGCAGGTGCAAGATTCTTCGAGTCTCTCACTAGTCTTAGAAGCCCATGGCTTGACCCTCAGTCGCTGCCCTCAGACTGATACTCGTTTCTTTCCGCAACCGCAGAGGAAGAAATAGCACGACAGAAGAGAGGAGCAAGGGAGGAAGTGGAACAAAGAGGGCTGTTGACAGAGAGGGCTGTTGACAGAAAGAGCTGTTGACAGAAAGAGCTGTTGACAGAGAGGGCTGTTGACAGAGAGGGCTGTTGACAGAGAGGGCTGTTGACAGAAAGAGCTGTTGACAGAGAGGGCTGTTGACAGAGAGGGCTGTTGACAGAGAGGGCTGTTGACAGAGAGGGCTGTTGACAGAGAGGGCTGTTGACAGAGAGGGCTGTTGCCAGAGAGGGCTGTTGACAGAAAGAGCTGTTGACAGAGAGGGCTGTTGACAGCTCTACTTCAGAGTTTCTCTCTTTCTGACTCTTATCTCAGCATGTCAGAGTCGACATCTGCAGAGAAGGAGGCGCCGCTTGATGAGCAGGACCGAGTGCCGTGCGGTAGCTGCTATGCTCCTCTCCCAAAATCTTCTTCCAGTCGATGCGGCAAATGCCGCAAACGTCATTACTGCAATCGAGAGTGCCAGGTGGAGGATTGGAAGCTGGGACGGCACAAGACGTGGTGCGGGAAGGCGGGAGAGGTCGGCTATGACTTTCAGGTTGTCGACATTGCTGGCAAAGGCAAGGGAGTCATCGCCTTGCGAGGTTTTGCCAAGGCAGAGCGGGTCATGTACGAGCGAAGGATTTTAAGTTGTAGAACATTGTCGGGTATACGGCCTATCGCGAAATCATTCAAAAAACTTTCAGAGGCCGAGAAGAACGCAATCTTGGATCTCTTTCCTTCAGAGGCAGATCTCTTCAAGAAGTTTTCGACAAATTCGATGTCTTGTGGTGAAGAAGACGAGCTTGGAATGGACTCGGGGTTGTTCGTCACTATGTCAAGACTCAATCATAGTTGCCTTTCTAACACGAATCATTGGTACGAGCCATATCTCAAGAGCAAGGTCCTCTTTGCTTGCAGGGACATCGCTGAAGGAGAAGAGTTGACCATCGCCTACAGCTCCGAGCCCTCAAACAAGCAATACCTTCTCTCACACTACGGCTTCGTCTGCACTTGCGAAGCTTGTTCCAACCCTGAAATCGCAGCAAAAGTGAAAGAAATCAAGAGGCTTGATAACGAAATCTTGATACTCGGGATGCAGATGAATTCGGACATGGCGATTCGCGCAGGAAAGAGGCTGCTCAAGCTGTATGACGAGCTTCACTGGCCAACTCAGAGTTATGTACGCACGTGCTATGACATCTTTCAGGTTGCAATCATGAAGCGAGCTACCCTCAAGGAAGGCTTGCACTACATGCAGTTGGGTCTGGCAATGGAGCAGAAGCAGTATGAAGGTCTCAACGAACCGGAGAGGCTCGGCAGCATCGCCAAATATGCCAGTTACTTGAAACACCCCGAGAGCCACAGGAATTACCTCATCGCGCGCTAAGCCTGAGTACTATCATCACTAGTAGCCTTGAACTTGAAGCACTGCACCGCCGGGCCGGGCCGGCGGCCGGGCGTGACCAGGCCGCTGAGACCGCCGAGTCAGCCGTCACAGACTCAGTGACACGCCGTCTGTCGAGTCACGGGCCAGTGCTGCTGCCTCAGTCATGATAGTATCAGTGAACGAGTGCGAAGGTTGGATAGAAGACTGTCTTTCTATACTACCTTTGGAATGAATGAGGCGGACTTGGGGGAACGGAAGGGAAGGCAGGAAGGACGAAGGGATGATAGGGAAGCGACGAGGCTGTCATGAGAGTGGGTGAAGTGAGAGGAGGGCACGAAGACAAGAGCCGAGGGAGTTGGAACTGCGACCATGGCGAGTGAGGAGGATGAGTTTCAGATCTTCTCGGCTTCTCCCCAACGTTGGCGAGCGGCATCGGACAGCCGAGGAGAGGAGACGCTGCAGGAGGAGGGAAGGGGTCTCTGCCTCTCTGACTTGCAGCGAGAAGCGCATGCAAGCAAGATCGAGAACATCAGGAGGCAGCTAGCCATGTCGCACGTCGCCGTTGTCGGGAAGAAGGTAGGGAGGTCCTCCTCCAGCCGGCCGACTGGCGATGGGATGGTGGATCTCATCAAGAGGAGGAGCGAGGGAGAGGATGAGAGCGAGAGGTCAAGGGCTACGATGACGAGAAGCCTGATGGAGACGAGGCCCTCCAAGTCAGCGGAAGTGATGCGGCACTTGCTGTCAAGCCTGGCAGAGAAGGAGAGGTTGTGGGGCGAGGAGCTGATGCGAGGCAGCAAGCTGGAAGCAGAGAACGCTGAGCTTAGAGCAAAGGTGGAGGCCCTGCAGGAGAAGACGTCGCACTTGCAGCAGCGCATGCAGTCAGATCACGAGTTCTACAACAAGTCGATCGATGAGATGAACGCGAAGGTGGCGAGGAAAGATGAAGAGCTGTTACAGCTCCACTCCCTCAACCTCTCTCTCGTCGACAAGCTTTCCTGGAGCAAGACCAAGATCCGCCAGCTGACGCAGAGGAATCGCCTGCTGCAAAAGTTCTCAGCTGCTGACAGCACTAGGAGGAAGAGGCACGAGCGATCGGTAGGACAGTCAACGGAGGAGGAGAGCTTTGAGGAGAGCGACACGGACATGGCGGAGGACAACGTCGACAGGAGAAGCTACAACAAGAAGCTGCAGGAGTTGTACGCGCTCAAGGCGCTGAGGAGGTGAAGTTGAAACTGTTGAAGAGGAGACGGAAGTGAAGATTGACTTGCGTGGGGATGCAGAGCGATAGAGATGGAGCGGGAGAACCAGCAGACGACGATCTCTGCCGTAAGACTGTGACGGAGAATGTGCTTACCTCGCTGACGTTGCTTGTTGTTTTCTACCTGTTCAGAACAAAGATGCTGCGGGCAAACTGTTCTCAAGCAAGACAGCAGCGAGCCAGCTGTCTCTCTATGAGAGGTTGTTGCAGTCAAGGATGAGAGAGAGCAGGGGCCACAAGCAGAGCCATGAAGATCACCAAGACCCATCGCATGCTCATGGCCCGAAGCTTGAGGGGGAGGAGAGGCAGGCGGAGGAGAGACAAGACGAAGATTGATTCTCTTTTTACATCTGACAAAAAATAATTGCAGTTGAAACGTACTTGCCGCTGCTCTTTCCTCCTGCTCCCGCTGGCTCCCTTCAACCCCTTCCCTCCTCGTTTCCCAGTCCTTAGCTCTTATCTTCAAAGGCACCAGGAATTTTGTCTACGTCCTTCGGCGGACCCAGTTGAGAAGTTTCTCGCAAAACGCTACCCGATACCTAAGGCAGATGTTAAGAGGACACGAAATCAGAAGGGTGGAAAACGAATTTGCAACAAGAAGATGAGTGGGAGGAGGGGAAAGAGAAGAAGAAAGAGTCACCGGGAAAGGCAAGAGCGAGGAGCAAGGGAAGTGGAAGAAGGGAGGAGCGCAGGAAAGAGGGGAGGAGCAAGAGCAATCCAAGATTGTCAGGAGGGATCAAAGAGAGTGAGAGGATGAGAACGCTTCTGCACCTCGGGATTCTTCTTGACGTCTCGTGCTTGCTGCAGCATGTCTGTCTCCCTCTCGCTCTGTCCCTGTGCCTTCGGCCTGCCCCTCTCCACCTGCTCAACCTGTGCTGGGGGCATCGGAGCATCTTGCCTGGCACCTCCCTCCTCCGCTACCCAACCCGAGTAACCCTGTCCTGTCCTACCCGCTGGCTGCGCTGAAGGATCCTTGACCCTCGAGGACGAAAAGTGGGGCTCCGCAGCATGCTCCGGCTGAGCTTCAGGTGGGTTGGGGGCGTGCTGGGGATTGCTCGGAGGAGGATGCGCCATGTTGGGCAGCGGCATCCTCGTCAGACCCTTGGGCTTCGCAAAAACTCCAGCATTGGGGATCTGCGACGAGCAGTCAGACTGCAGGGGGGCGCCAGGTTGGAGACGGGGAGGAGTAGGAGGTCGAGAAATATGGAGGATATGAACGAGGAGGAGATGGAGCGAGAGAGAAAGGGACGGGGAGGGCGAGGAAAGATCAGGATCATGAAGAAATAAGTGATAGAGGAGAAAAAGCTACCATAAAGGTCGGGAGGAGTCTCTTCATAGGCAGCAAAAACTGGTGGGTGGCCGTCCACACGAAGTCGAGGTATCGCCTCTGCGGGAAGTCGTTGCGATCGAAGCCGAGGGGGTTCCACACTCGGATGTGAATGTGAAGAAGCCCCTGAAAGAGAAGCTCAGCGGCTGGGCAACGACAGTCAGGCTCCTCACCTCATACGTCAAGTTGATGAAAAAGATCATCAGCATCGCTAGCATAAAGTCGATCGGGCGCGACGCCATCCTAAAAGGGTCCGGTTAGCGACGACGTGTGGTCGTCTGCTCTCTACGCACCAGGCAACCTTGAGAGCTGATCCCCCAACCGCTGCGATGACAAGCAGATAAACTTTGACGAGCACCGTCATCAAATGGACGTCTGTGAAGCAAAGCTGTCGTCAGACAGGTTCTTGACACCGAAGTGCGAAAGGAGCTGAAGGTTGGATTGAACTTACAGATGTACGGGATTTTGCAGTACAAGTACATGAAAACCTGATGAACAGGTCACCAACCAAGAAAACCAAGAATGCTTGCATTACATCTGCCGCCGCTCCCCTCATCTTAGTGATGTTATCCTGGGACAATCATCATTCTCAACAACATTCTCGTCACCACCTGACCTGCAACTTCCAGAGAGCCTCCGGCCTCGCGCTGTCGATCAAACCCTCGCGTGCGGCTTTCGAGATCAACTCGTCCATCCAGTAGTACACGACGACATAGCGACTGACCAGCGGAGGGTCGAACGACTTGAGGTCCTGACGGATTTTCGTCCGAGGACGCGCAGCAAGCTGCTGAGAGAAAAATTTCCTTCTCCGCGTCAGAGAGTCGGACACTCGGACCGGAGAGGATTCTTGTGCCTTGGAGGGTTCGAATAGAACCAGCTCCTCCCTCGTCAGCCACTGTCGCGGTGGGTTGTAGTTGGTATCCTCGATCAGTTCCGTGAGGTCGTCCTGGTTGTTCGCCTGGCGGTAGATCAAGATGTGCGCCAGGTTGCACCAGCGGATGAGCTGAGCTCGGTACCAGGCAGCCACTCGCTCAGACTCTGCGTCCCACCCTTTGATGTAGATGGAGATCATCATGGAGATGTCGACTGAGCGACCGATCACGATCCCCAGGCAATCTCTCGTCTTCCACCATCTGTCTAGCCCGTTGGCATTGAAAAGCGAGAGCAAGAACCCCAGCAGTCCTCCAACAAGTGATAGAGCAAACGTCTGTGGCTTCAGGATTGGAAGCTTCAGCCTCGGTCCACCTGTCGAGCATGAAATTCCCTGGATCCCCATGGCGTCGATCACAGCCGGCATTGGACCAGCAGCCCAGGCGTACAATCCGGCGACAACAAGGAGCCACAGGAACTGCCAGTAGATGAAGGGGATGCTGAAGACTGTTCCCCGCAAGTTGATCATCCATCCCAGCTTCGACAAGAAGGCTGGATCGTACTCAACTATCTGCCCTTGCCCAGGAACATCGTATCCTATGGAAGATTCGAGCTCCTGGATCTCATCTTCCATCCACCTTGAGACGAAAGAATTCTGCTTGAAAAAATCTTTGAACATGTCTTTGTTCAACGGATTGTCTCTTGTCTCATGCCCCTGCCCTTGGTATTCGTGTTCTGACCTCTTGGCATTGTCAGATTGTTCTTCAGTTCCCTTCTCTGCGCTTCCCGGAGGAGCCGCAGAGGCGACTAGTGGTGATCGCCTGCAGTGTAATCGCAAACTACGTCGATAGAGAGCAGAGGTCGAGAGAGAAAGAGCACCAAAATCTGATCTTGACCTTCCCCCCTTCATCAGCGTACGAATCCTGCAAGGATTTGACAAAATGAACGCGTGGCCTGCAGCAAAAATGCAGCAGTTTAGCAAGCATTTGCTGAGAACGCTCGCTTGCACTGCTGCTACTCTGTAACGACGCCAGGAGCGTCTCAGTTGGCCTTCCAAAATCTTAGACTCCGGGCATTCTGTCTTCATTCTCAAGTCTGCTCACGTCCGACTGAATTCTTTCGCTGTTCAGTTGGACAGAACTCTCCTCAGTCAATCAGCTGAAGTCATCCTTGAAGCTAAGAGAACCAGAGCAATCGATCTATCACATCCTCATTCTCATGCACCACTGAGAAGCTCAAATAGAAGGTTGCTTTCACCACCTTCAACGTACCATCTTGCAAAATAATGCAGGAGAAGGAAAGCTGTTCCAGTAGCCTGCGAGCAGGAAAGTCAGAGGTGACCATCTCGTTGAATTTCAGTCTCCCTTCCGAAAGGACCCCGAGACTCGAGATGCAACATCTAGGCTTCTGCATCCTTTCTAGGACACCCCTCACTGATAGGATTAGACCTTCTACAAGGACGCAAACTTCAATATTTCTACATCAGACGATGATTCTTGTACCAGGGAACTTGCTTAGATCACGCTTCAATTATGTATTCCTGAACCATTCGATTATGGCCATATCCTGGTCCCGTTGATACCTGACAGCCTCCTATCCGTCTACTTTACTACTATCAATCAAACGGGATCTACTACTTGCAAAGCTGTTGCAGACAGGTGAATGCTCAGAGTATCATTTTCAGCATACTAACTATTGGCACAATCATTAGTTTGAAGAGCCGAATCTATCCATGATCCTCGCTCGGACCTTGCTGCTTGTTATTCCTTTCATATTCACCTAACTAGTCCTAACAGGTCGCGTCACGTCTGCTCTTCCACTTCTAACCTAAACCCCTCTACTCTCTCCATCTGCACATTCCCCTTCTTGATCCTTCTTGATCCGTCCCCTGCTGCCTTCCCCCTCCTCGTCCTCCCCCGCCATGTTTCTCGCCCTCCCTTGTATCTCCTCAGTCCACCATGGTGCTCCCGCCTCCACTCCAAACTCAACTCATCCACCCCCCACCCCTGTCTACATCTTTACCCCACCCCTCAGTTGGGACCAAAGTTACCGGTCCTGTACCACACGGAGCAATCATACCGCAAAGTACCCACCCAAATGCACATACACCCCTTGCTTCTACGGATGACCGGTACAGTCTTCTCACATACCCCTCATAGACATCTTATGAACCCTACCCTTGCATACTTGAATCAGCCAAGTCTCTCTCGTTTCGACTGCTTGTACCACCTACACCCCTACAATGTGAAAGAGACCCCACCCATTTCAACTATTACCCCTCATCGCCATTACCCACCTTACCTCTGATTCAGTACCCACCTTCAATCCTTCTCCCTATACAGAGGGGTACCTTTACCACCCTACGCCCTCTTCGGGTATTGACCCCCACCCCCCAATAGAAATTTCTACAAGGAACTTGGGGAATTCATGGGGTACGTTCAAGGGGGGGTGATGACCCTCAACCCAACTTTGGAACATACAAAGGAAGGGTCCTTCATGACCCCTGCTTTTACCACAACTGGACCGGTAGTCCCGTTTACCTCCACCCGCCCACACCTAAAACTACCCGCTGCAACACTGGTACCCCCCAGTATCATTCTTTCTTCTAGTCGCAGGTACCGGTACACCCAGACCCTTCATAATTCCTCCACTCTCGAACACACTTTACTCAAAGTTAAGTTAAAAATCAGTACGAGGACAATCAGGAGAGTCGAGGAGGCTTGACCCTGACACTGTCGCACAGGCCAAACGGCGAGAAGGGAAAAGACAGCGAGAACCACGAACCATACCGATTTTAATAACTCAACTACCGCACTTTGGTCGTACAGAGTGCTTTACTCAATTTGGCAAAGTTTAAGTTAAAAAATCAGTACGAGGGCGTATACTACAATTTGCTGAGTAACTACTTTTCAAAAAAGGCCGGGCTCAGGGCCTCAGCTCAGTCCGTCACTGCCGGAGTCAGACGGTGGCAGGGGGCCTGAACCCGGTTCGGAATGCCCGGGCCCGGCGGCCCTCTGGCCGGGCAGTCACGGCCGGGCGGCCGCGGCGGGCCCGGCGCCCTTGAAGTCCCACGGTCCAGGCCATCGGTCCTCCCGCCGGAGTCCTGGTTCCTACTGCCCGGGCCTCCGATGCTAGGCCCCCGGCCGCGGCGGCCGGGCCCGGCGGCCGGGCCCCTCCCAAGGCAGACGGTGCCACCGCGGCCGTGACGCCGGTGAACTCGGAAGGTCAAGTGCACCAGGTGACCCTACCCCACCCCCACCCCCGGCCTGGGTGAAGGCTCATGTCATACTAGGCTACGGGTGGTTAGGTGGCCGAGCCAGGCCTCTTATAGGATGACAACTTGAGGGGGGTGGGGTCCTCAAAGATTGCTCGCCCCCGGTAGGGTCCTGAGAGTTACCGGGGGCCGGGGGTGGGTAAGGGGGTTCACAAAAAAAGAGTGAAGCATGGGAAGCAAGGGGTCATATCAAAGGTTGGCCGGGCTCCAGGGTCAACCGATGGGGTGGGTACAGTGCGAGGGTGTGGTAAAGGAGGGGGTGGTTCCATAGATTTTGAAGTTTGTGACGTATACGGGGGGTGGTAGGACGATGTATACCCACCCTACCCACCCCATACCCTTGATTTGTATCAGGGGGTCACTTATTGTTTCATAGATCACCACCCGTCCGTTTCACCATGAAAAAGGACCCTCACACCCCCTGGTCGGACCCCTGCCCCTGCCCCTGCCCCACCCCTACATTCCATTGTCTCGACGCCCTTCATGTTTAGTATGGCGGCGGCAAGCGTTTTGCGCGCCTTCCCCTCCCCATCCTCCTTTCTGACCGTCCCATCGCCTTCCTGAAACTTCCTCTCTTGGCCCGACGATTAGCTTGCAGCGGCTCCCTGAACCAGCTTGTCAACTCTCACAAACTGTTGCCTTGTCACTCCTTCACACCATAGCATTTCAGATGATAATTCCGTCATGAAATCTCTGGTGTACTTCGACTTCCCCTCCTTCTCGTTCTTGAACTAGGCTTTCATCCATTCCAGATCGGATGCCCAGGAAAAGACCCAACATTACGACATCCTCGACCAGACTTGGCCAGGAGATATCGGGCGATGGCAGTGTCGAATGCCGACAAGCATCCCGAGCACCAGCGCATTGGCTCCCTCAGGGACTGAAAGCGCTGGATGATGGCAGAGGAATGACAAAGTCTCTGATAGGAACCTGCATCATCCTTGGGCTCCAACACTCCGAATCGATCGTGCCTCAAGCCGCTCACGACGTTTTCATGAAGAGATGGGTGCAGGTGGCGGCTGTCACTAAGGCCCGCTTTGACCTCGAACTCGTTCAGTGGCAACTTGGCATGTTCCTCATCTTCTTTCATATCTGCCTCCTGCAGTCCTTCCTTGCTGCTTTCCTCTGGGACGTAGTCCGGCGCTACAAGAGTCTGAACCAGATGATCTGTATATTGTATGTTGTTGTTGTCACATGTATTGTTTCTGTGCTGCTGCTGAGGGAGAGGCATTGCGTGTCGATCTCGTCTGGGTTGCTACATCAAGGGATCTCGTGCGTTGGTGGCGGAGTTGAGGGAAGGAGCAGCTTTGTCTATCACCTCCTCCTCTTCATCCTTCTCGTCTTCTGGAGAATCTCCGGCCCGATTTCCGGAATCAGCTTCCTAGTTGCAATGATGTTTCTGAAGAAGAGCAGGACTGGCAGTCGAGATGCAGACGAAAGAAGCGCCATGCTGTGGAATGGGATAGTAGACTTTATCTGGAAGGTTTCGATGCTGGACGCCATTTTCATGCCAGTGCTGCTTCGAAACCTCCCCGGGGCCTCGGGAGTTCTTGTGGCTCTGTCGTCCATCATACCTTACTGCACAGGGCTTGCAAGCTTGCAGATGAAGAGGAGGAGCTGCATGGATGGGTTCAATTGGTCGGTGTTGGTGGGCTGCTTGTCGTCTATGATGATGATAATTGTTCTTTCGATCTTCTTCTCTTCGAAAAGCACCATGTTCGCGCTGCACCTTCACTCCTTCGTGATTGTTCCGCTGCTGTATGAGAGCACAAGTCTTGTTCTCTCTGGCCGTGATAGCAAAGAGATGGGCGGGGACAAGGATGGGATGGCAGAGGATGAAGTGATGAAGATTCACATTGCCTATGCCACGTCCGTGAGTCACGTCGAGTATCAGGTGGACGGGAAGAAGGGACTGCTGCACGTGCAGCCCCACCACAGGATTTCTTCCTCTCTCCTCCGCATTGAGAAGTTTCGTGTCAGCGGTCAGCGAGCGCAGGCGGGAAGTATCAGGTTGCGATGCAAGGGTAAGACCTGGAGCAAGTGGAGCAGGCGGTTGAGCTTGGAAGAGGTTGCGGACGTTGAGTTAGTGTGGGAGGGAGCGGCTGATGTGAGACGTGGGTCGAACAATCAAGAGAAGCAGGGGAAGGGTTGTGATGAGGGAGACGGGACGCGCGATGAAAAGTCGGCAGGAGAGCAACAGCAGCAGTTCGAGCTGTCGACCAGCGATGGATCGAAAGACTTTTCGTCGTCCACAGACGAGGCGGCAAGTGAGCAAGAGGAAAGCGAGGTTTCAAACCAGTTGCACCTTCAGCAGATGTCCAGCATACTGGGGGCGCATACAGTGGAGGAGCTTGCGAGTTTCAATGAAAAATTCGCGTCCTCAGATGTCTCTGGAGCACCCACTCGCCCGGTCAGTCACCAGAAGCATGAAGAAGAGGCAGATGATGGCCAAGATCAGAAGGCGGAGCCAGACAAGGGCAAGGAGGTGAAGGCGGAAGATGAGATGGGCGATGAGCAGCAGCAACCAAAAGATGAAGTGGCGACACAAGGGAAGAGCAAGGCAGACGAGAAGCAAGTTGAAGTGGAGCAGGAGGAGAAACAGGACGATGACGATGACGATTACGATAACGAAGAGAAGGCAGACTCTCTGAAGGCGGTGAAGGAGTTCACCTCTCAACTTCTTCTAGGGGAGGACGAGGCTCGCTGGTCCCTGCTCAACAGGAAGGCGGAAAGTGCCCTGCTCGCCAGGCGGGAAGTGGAGGCCCTGAGAGAACCGCGGAGCTCCTTCACGGAGGTCCAGCAGACTCCTTGTCCTCCGGCTCCCGTGCAGGAGAATTGGCTGAACCTCGACCAGGGCCCCGTTGCCCCCTCCATCGCCGCCTCCTTCCTCCATTTCGACCCCAACTTCGGGCGCCCTCCTCTGTTCCACGGGGAAGAGCTCCTGGAGCTGAGCAACAGCTGCTTGCCTGGCGACATCGACGAGGCGTTCATGGCGGAGGATCCCAACATCCTGAGCTTCCTCGCCGAGGCCTCGCCGCAGGAGGAAGGGGGGCGAGGCTTCTTCGCCTCCCTCGAGGATTCGCAGGACCCGCAGGTTGTGAGCGACGAGCCGGATTGGGATATGCCGGATGAGGAGGGAGACCTTGCGCAGCTTGCCATGGCCACAGCAGCTTCTTCTCACCTGTTCGAGCGCGTTCGCGAAGAGGGATCAGGACGAGGAGCAGGAAGGGGGGCAGGCCTAGGGGGTGCGGGTGGAGTAGGTGCGGGTGGAGCGCGGAGAGGGGGGAGAGGAGGGATGGGGAGGGGTAGAGCAGGGAGAGGGAGAGGAGGGAGAGGAGGCCGAGGGCTTGTTGGTAGACAATCTCTCTTAACAAGTAAAGAATAAAAATGTGAAGAACTAAATTACAAGTGGAGTCATAGCAACGGCTCATCTCCTCCTCCTCCTCCTCCTCCTCTCACTTGACCTTGACCCTAGAGCTGTCCGCACTCTTCGGGCTAGGACGGATCGAGCAAGTGTGTTTGTCATGGTCCAGCATCGCGCAAGGCAGCTACAGCAATTTCACGTCAGCACCTCCTCCACCTTCCCCTTCCTCTGCCCTGAAACCCTCCCTCTCCTCTTGACCTCTCCTCCTCCTCTTCCCGTACACTCCCTCTCCTCTCCCCTCACCACACTCTCTGTTCCTTTACTCCCTCCTCCCTGTTGCACCCTTCTCCCGCAACCCCCCCCGCGCCCCCCTGTTCCTCCTCCTCGCTTACCTTGCAGTATGTGAAGTGCCAGACGAGGTTCCAGTAGATGGTGGGATGCTTCAACTTCACGTACTCGCAGATCCCCCCGCTGCAGCCTTCCTGCATCCTTTCGTCCTCCTCGAAATGCCGGAACAGCGAGAAAAGTTCCTTTTGCACCACGATGGGGGACAAGCTCTCGCAGTAGATGGCCGAAGTGGAGGAAGGGGACGAGGAGCTGGAGGACGAAGCGAAAATTTTCATCCTCGCCACAAACCTCTTGTTGCAGTAAGCACAGCTGATGGTGTAGTCCTGGTCGTCCATGTTCCATCCACTCCTGATCTCTGCCTCCTCCACTGTGGAGCTGCACGATGGGCATTTGTCCCACACCTCGATTGCCACAGTCTGCAGCTCCGCCCTCTTGCTCACGCAGTCATGCAAGAGCAGCGGCGGCGCCTTGCGGGGAGAGCCATGCTTGTTCTTTCGCTTTTCCTGCTCTTGCCCGCCCTCAGCTTGCGTCGGAGGGTTCACGTCCTGTCGTGCCTCTTCGGTCGCCTTCCTATCGCTTTTTACTCGCTCCTCGCCTTCCCTTATCTTCATCCCTCGCACAGCATCCGACTCATTGTCCTCCACAGCTAGTAGCTTGCTCTGCGGGAGAGGAGCCTCCGTCTTTGAAGGATGAAATTTCTTGATGGATCCATCAAGTTCGATTCGCCGGGGAGGAAGAGGAGGAGGCCGACTGGGAGGAGGCGTTCGCCTCATCTCCTCGCTCGTCATCCCCCCGTGATTGGACCACTCTGCTGCTTCTCCTGCTCCTGCTCCTGCTCCTGCTCCTGCTCCTGCTCCAGCTCCTGCTCCTGCTCCCTCGTCATGCCTGTCCTCTATCGAAGGATTCATGTCAATGTTGGGGACCACATCTTGACTCCTCAAGAACAAGGGAGACGTGAAGTCATTCTGATCCGCACAAACGTCTCCGATGCTCCTTCTTCTCCTTTTCTCGATCTCATTCCCGCTGACCTTCTGCAGCCCGTGCTCTCCTCCACTACTCCTCCTCCTCTGTTGTCCTTTCACGAGATCTGGAGGAGAAGCTGTATGCTCCAAGGAGACGGCCACTGCCTGGTCCGCTGCGTCAACGAGCGAGGTTTCAACTTTGGCAAGGATCGACGAGCCCTCAGTCTCCTGCTGCCTCAGCCCTGCTACGACGTCACATCGGATACCTCCACACCTCCTGCTCTTCTTCTGACCTGTATCCACGTGTTCCGTGAGCGTCTCCTGCCCTCCAGGTAGAGGGATCAGCGGGTTGTGCTCCTTCTCCATCGAGCTCTTAGGCGGGCGCGGCTCCGCCTCCTCCTGCGGCAGTTCAAGCTGGACGCCCTCCGGCTTGAGCTCCTCGCACATGGAGGACAAGGCAGACGATCCTTCTGCTTCTTCGCATCCAAACTCAGGGCTCGTGCTGGTGGCATAGGTGCTTCCTTCCTCCACTACCTCCAGCCCCTCCCCCAGCCTCATCACGGGCATAGCAGGATCTGACTTTCTGCTCTGCCCATGCCCGAAGATCCCAGCAGAGTGCGCCTCCTCCTCCATCTTGCTCGCTGAGAACTCAAGGGAGCTGGGCAGGAGGGAGTGGTTCGTGTCCCATAGCGCGCTGCTCTCCCGCATTGGCGTCATGCATCCAGGGGTCACGCAGACCTGCGAGTTGGCGACGGCCTTGATGAGGCTGCTGTAAACCAGCGCGTCCGGTCGCATGCCCAGCACGTGCATCTCGTCTAGGAGCTTGATCGCCTGTTCGGGGCATCCGGCACGTGCCGAGGCTTCCATGAGGGCCCTGAAGGCTGACTCGTTGGGCTCCAGTTTCTCCTGAAGAGAGAGGTGAGGGAGGGAGGGAGAGAGAGGGAGCAGGAGGCCTCCATTAGCGAAGAGGGAGGGCGGAGGAGGTGAATGGGAGGAGGAACGAGAAGAGTTACCTCCTTCATCTTTGCGAAGACGGAAAGGGCCTCAGCGAACTTTGCCTTTGGGCTGTCGCAGGATTCGATTGAGCCGCTTCCTCCAAGGCTGGACGATTCGCTCATGAAGAGTACTTGGAGGAGGAACCAGGTGGAGAAGATAGACTCTCTCATAGCGACCTCCGTGAGCTGCATGTGATCGAGATCAAGACAGTAAAGTTGCTAAGGAGGAGGCGAACGAGAAGTAGGGAGAGGAGGTGATGAACGAAGGAGGGTGGTGGAGGAAGGGGCAGTTCAAGGACCTTGGCGCTCTTGTCCTTGAGGGCTGAGGGGGGCGTGAAGCAGGTGAGAGTGTTGACTCGGTTCAGAGGAGGATGCGTCCTCTTCCTTGTTGTGTGATGCTGCAGAATTTCTCCGGTGATAAGCGAACGGACCTGAAATGCTGGTGAGCTCCTGGTGACGGCAAGCTAGGAAGGTCTTACCTCCCTCGGGGTGCCGAAGAGAGAAGAGTCGAGGCGGGGGAAGGTGCTGCTGCAGTAGGAGAGGCCGGGGATAAGACCCTGGTCGCTCGGGGAAAGGGCCACGTGAGTGCGTGTGATGGAATGGCGCTTGTCGCTGAGGAAGGGCGTCGGGCGCTTGTGGAGGCGGAGGGAAGAGCTGATAGGATGAAGTCAACCACGGATGGAGGGAATCAGTTAGATAGGACGAGAGCAAGGGGTGAGGATAGGCAGAGAGTTAGGAGGGGGTAAGGAGGAGAGGACGGAGGCAAGGGGAGGGGACGGAGGCAGAAAGAGACAAGGGATGGGAATGGGAGAAGGGGAGAAGGGCAACGGAAGACGAGCAGCTTACCGGTTTGCCTTGGCTTCCATGCTCTCGTCGAAGAGAACGTGGTCATGGCTCCTGCCCGAGCTGTAGATCCTTCGCTCTATGAAGGATGCAAACATCTGCGTGTCTAGAAACATGGAGAGGAAACCTCTCGTTTCCCTGGGAACGCTCTGAAACTCAAAGTGAGGATGGAAAATTTTAAGGTAATCCCTCTTTCCCTCTCGCTTTCCACCTCCTCAGCATATTTGCTTTCAACGAGTCATTCGTTCTCCCCCCCCCCCCCCCTCCCTTTCCCTTTCCTTCTGAACAAAGTCTCCTCCTTTACCTCGAGGAACTTCGCCTTCCTGAATATTTCGCTCGGCTCTGGGACTCCAGCTGTGGGAAGGACTAGAAATTCACGATAACCGTGGAGGAGGGAGAGGAGGAGGCGGAAGAATGAATATTGCAGTTGAGAAGTGTCGATCTTCTTGGCTTGCGACTTCTCCTGTACCAGAGAAATCAACAAGAGCGTCGCTCCTGCTTCATCCTCTCTACCCTGCACTCTGAAATCTCTTCACCTTCTCACTCTACTGCCTCATTCCCTCCTATTCCTCCTCCTGCTTCTTCGCTAGAGCTTCTCTGTATTTACCTTCAGTGCAGCTTCTGATTCAGCTGGCGTCGGGGCCATCTCGAATGCCAAATCAATGCTTCCCGTCCACTTCTTTGCAAGCTTGGGATCGAAATCTCCTGCAACTTGCTGCAAGCTCAAGTGAGAAGGAGTGAGGGCTGGAAGAGGACTGACATGCAGCTGCTCCAGCAACTTCTTCCTCTGCTTTGAGGGAAGCGAAGGGATCCCCCTCGTCGACCGCACAGAGTTCTCGTCCAGGTTGACCACCACGACATCATCTGGGCATGACGAGCTGCAACAGTTTCACACGAGGACGGGAGAGGAAGGAGCCATGGAGAACAAGAGTCGAGGAGGGCAGGAAGGAGAGTGAGAGAGGCAGGCGAGGGGAAGGGAGGGAATTTCCCGACCGGAGGAAGTCCTCTTGCTTGTTCATGAGCGGAGCAGGATGCACTCCCATGATGAAAGGGGTCGGCGCGTTCACAAACTCAAGGAGCTGCAGGAGAAGAGCGTCAGAAGCAGTCAAGACTCTGATGTTGGAGCTCATTCGTTGGCTGACCTGAAAGGGCAGGACAGGAATGTAGACATGCTCCCATCGGAACGGAAAGATGAGCGATAGCAACGCCTCAGAAGCGTTGGTGAGAATCTTAACGCATCGTCAAGCCGGTCAGAAGGCGCGCACACCACTCTTACCGAGGAATGTTTGGAATACAGGATCAATTTCTGTTCCAAGAGCAGTAGACTGAACAACTAAAACATGCAAAATGTCAATCGAGCTTTCCAGGCCCGTCCGTCAACCCAAATAGAGAATGTTGGGAGGGAACAAAATTCGAGCAAGCAGGGAAAGGCTTGATGTGTAATGAAAGCTTGATACGCATGATGCGATCATTCACCTGTACGATGTTGTGTCTATCCAGAAGTGCAAACAACAAATCAAGAGGAGCGTTCGCCTGACAAGCGGAACTTTCAAAGGAGCGGTAAGGGCAAGCCGTTCCTCACCATCGGAATCTCATTGGCAGGCGAGCGGATGAGATCCATGGTCTTGTCCGCGATAGTATATTGCACCTTAAATCTCCCCCGTGGAGGAAGAGGGACTTCATAGATGAGATTCGAGATGTATCGCTCCACCGGGATTCGTGATGCAGTCAAACTGACTCGGTACAACTGGGAACGAAAGGAGTCAAGACGAATTCATGAGAACAGTGGGACAAACTACACAAACCTGTTTCAAAAATTCTCTGTGGAGATCGAAAAACGGCCAATGCGAGATCAGGCAGATACACCTTCAAAGCAGAAATTTGAGATAAAAGCGAAATTGCATGCAGTCTAATCAACGCACTTGGGGATCCAGAGCTCATTCTTGATACTTTCAGGGTTCTTGCACATCTTGTACAGAGCATCCTTGGGCAATTCATCATGGAATGTCAGGACTGAAGCATACAGCCGAGATCCTTCGTTGCTAGTGAACACAACGATGTAGAATGTCGGCAATGGACACGAAATCTTCACTGACAGTCCCTCTGGAAGAGCAAACATGGCCACTTGTGGGGGGAAGATAGTATCTGTGTGATCCTCCAGTGGGAACCTGTCAATGATCGATGCTTTGAACCTTTCATTGCACTTGTGAGCACAAACAAAACACGTCATGCTGGCTCACCTCTTCTCGAGCAGGGAGTTCAAGTCCTCACAAAGCTCGCTTTTCGGCGATGATATGTTTGGGTCTTCAGTGTGACTTTCATCATCCTGTTAGGCTGACATGAGTATATGTACTCATGTAATGCGTGAGGGCAACCTGTAGACTAACAATGGCCGAATCTAGGCCCACAACCACGAAGTAGTCTGCAACACGCTCCGGAGACTCATCTATCTCTGACATGAAGGATGAGCGTGTTGTGCTTCACAACTGCAACCAAACTTTCAATCACGAGAGCTTTGACAAAGACTGACAACCTAAGGATTCGGAGACTTGGATAGCAGATTTTGACGTTCGACCATTTAATGTCCTGACAGAGGAGAGAAATGAACACATCAGAACCGAAAAAAGTGAATCTGACACTCGGATTCAAAGGCATCAGCTAACAAAGGATTGGAAACAGGCAGAAAGACAACAACATGAAACTCTGCTCTTCACGTCACTGCGCTCTTTGTGTATTCAACCAACGAGCACGAATTCAAAATCTCATTCAGCGACACCTGACTGAAAAAAAAGACCGAACATGTGCATGAACAATGGTTCGGATACAACAGTACGCATCAATTTTGGTCATATCGTTTGTAGGTAACACTATGAGAACGAAGAGTGAGAGAAACAGAAATTCCTTATCATCCCTACCCATTCTGCTCTTCTAAATATGCTACAGGGCTTCTAACCAGTCACAGACTTTCAGAGGCAAGTTCTCTGAGCAGCGCAAAGTTTGACATCCTCTCTCTCTTTCTTCTTTCTCCTTCATTCAATATCTCCTTCCATTCTCCACCACCGCCGTCCCGATCGCCTCTCTGCCCCCGGCGCATCCTTCCGCCTCCTGCATGAATGACCACCCTACTACATTGTCACCCTACCTTCTTCGTTTGAGTACCCCCCTTCCCTCTTAGAATTACCCTTCGCCCATACATATTATCAACCACCCCCACCCCTCACTTCCCCTTCCCACCTATCCTTTAAAAAGTGAAAGCGGATTTTAAAAGAGCACCTATACATTATTATTATAACATCTTATAAGAGTTTATAAAGACAAAACACATCTAAACTACGGTTACAGATCTGATTACATTTCCGTTAGCTACTACAGTACCGGTCACTGCGACAGGATTTATCAACTTCGACTGCGAAATCTTTTCAACTTCGTGCTCCTGTGAACATCAGGGATGGGCTGCGTGCTTGTGATCCTGTACACGCCCTCGAGGAGGTCCCCGTGCCTCAGGCTGCAACCTTCCCTCCTGCACAACCTCTCTACATTCTGATAAACAATGCAATGTCCATCCAAACGAAAAATTGTTTGCTCTATCATGTATAGATACTTCCTTGCTCGCCTGAGGCTTTGGCTTCGTGATGTTCAATGATGTATTTCCGTTTTCCATGCAGTTGTACCAGCACCATACTTCATATGAGATGACAGGAAACTTTAATAACGCAGTTGATACGAGGCCTACATAGATGATGAGGTCAGGTGGCACAGGGTTCAGACAAGCAGTAGTGTTTAGGCAAGCGCACCATGGCAGAGCACCTGCTTCATACTTGTACAGGGTTGGGATGACTCATTTGATGCAGATGGTCGTCAAGCCTCAGCACGACAATGAAGCCATTTACTGCGATACTCCTTTCAGCCAACGCCTTCCTCTCCCGAAGGAGATGGGAGGCTGTATGAGCTGCTTCGTTGCGATGGCAGGAGTGAAGATGCCTCTCGTGCGAGGCATTCCGAAGAATGCCGTCAAGCTGTCCGATGCGGAGGTAAAGAAGATCATTGACAAGATGCAAGGGAGCTGGCAGATACAGCCCCTGGATGGAGGAGGGCAGGTGGTGAATTACAATTCAAGAACGCAACCTGTGCTTTTCACCGAAGCTTACGTGGAAGGCACCAAGTTGATCATCAGGCAAGCGCTGCTGGGCCAAAGGCTAACTTGTTAAGTTGCTCATGCTGATGTATTCTGCAGCGGCGGTCAGCACAACACTGTTGGACGTAAAGGTCAAGGCCCAAGGGCTGTGGCGAACCAGACACAGGAGCAGTCGCTCCACATGATGCACAAGGGACAAGACGGGGTCATCTACGTGGACTACATGGGATCCATGCTGGAGGACTTTAATCCCGAGGGCGGTGAGATCACTTTCAACAACGCGCTAAACCTCCGCCTCAAATTCCTACGAGGATGGAAGAAAGACGGCCTGCCTGCTCCTCAAGTTAACGGCAGCGCCGATGCCGGGATATTCTGCATGCACTGCGGGAAGCCAAGCCCGTCGGAAGCCATGTTTTGCAGCTCGTGCGGAAAGGTGAAATGAGTTTGAGAGGCAGGTACATAACACCCAAAGGGGTCTTGAGTGTTTGAGGACACTCGCGTTACCAGCATTTGAGAACTGCCAGTCTACTAGAAAGGATTGGAGATTTTAGAGCGCTTTGCAGTAAACTATATTGAGCGGAAGAGGAAAGGGATGGGATCCATCTCTAGTCTGCATTGAGGCAACTTCTGTCCTGCATTATGAGTCAAGTTCCCGGCTCCCTCCCTCTCGTCATCCTGCCATCTGCCTTGCTATCCCTGTTTTCCCTGCCCCTGACCCTGCCCAGACCCTGCCCCCCTTTCGATTGGTACAGATGTTAAAAGTATCTTGTAGAAGAATTATACACAGTACTGGACATTTAAAAAGAGCTTGTACAAGAATAGCAATTATAAAACTACATATAAAATCATGACACATAAAGTAAAGTGCTATTTTGTCCGACAAGGGTAGGGGTAGTGATATGGTTCGGGAAGAAAGGGTACTTTTGACCTCCAGTGGGGGGGTGGTCAGTATCCAAAAAGCATGATTGTGGTGTGGTGTGGTTGGGAGGGGTGCAAATGTCAAGAGGTGTAGAACTGATTGATTGGGGTGGGGTTGTTCTTTGGAATGTGTATGAGGGTCCAAGTTTGAAGGTGTAGGGGGTAGGGTATGCGAAAGTGTTGTGGGGTAGGTACCTATTGGTAGAAGTAAAGAAATGATGGAGACCGGGGGTGGGGATGGGGACTAATAACGAACATGGGGTGGTAGGGGTAGCGCCAAGGATTGAAGTCGGGGTAGGGTACCTGGAGGGCGGATTTATATGTCAGCAAAAATGAGAGATGCAGATAGGAGGGAAGGGGACCAAGCACAGGACGATAGAAGCGAGGGGGAGGAGGAGGCGGCGGAACATTGAAGCAAATGATGTGCAAGAAGTAGGACATACGAGACAGTGAGAAGGTGACGACTGAAACACCGAGATTTGGTGACGTGAAAACTGAGACAAAGGACGAAATTAGAAATAGCAAACAAGAGAAGGGTAGAATGAGCTTTTCGAACATCTGTGAATTAGAAATGTATTAAAACTGAAATGTATAAGGGACATGGATGTCATAGATGATTTAAGCGCACGATAAGATGCAAGATGGTATGCGAATATTTGACAGGACCTATGTTTCTTTATATCTAGGAGGGAAGAAAGAGAGAAGGCAAGTATGTATAACCTTGGAGATATGGCGTGAGAAATTGTCTTTAACAACAATATTGAGGTATGCATACAAGTGAGAATAGCGAAAAAGACATAATCATGAAGAACAGACACAGTAAACATGGGGATGAACAGTGTAGTAAAAATCAGTGGAGTTGGACGCATGTTTACGATGGGAAAGGAGTATGTGAAATATCACAAAGTCAGTTGTCACAACCATGAGCTCTGAAGTATTTTCCCTCTCTGAGTTTTTGCCTGGTAGGCTACTGAAGCGCTTCAAGACATTCGAGAAACTGAGGCTGCAGAATTTAATGCTGGATGGCCAACCTGTGCCGTTATGCTCACTGCCTTCACTTTAAGGGCAGCCTCTTGGATGAAGGTCGTTTAAAGGTACCTTGCACAGCTTCACTCAAGGGAGACCAGCATCCTTCATGCTAAGATCGACTCTCTTGCTCCTGCTTCTATTCGCCTCAACTCTCTCTTGCTGCACCGAGGAACACCACCCACGAAGCTTCACACCCTCGGACAGCACCGTCTCGTCCTGCCTGGTCAAGGGTTCGACCGAATGGGAAGGGTTCAGGAGGATCTGGCAGAGTCTGCAATTCAAAGGAATGCAGAGTCCAGTGACGGATTCTGAATCAGAGGTCTGCCCCTGCCCCTGCCCCTGCCCCTGCCCCTGCCCCTGCCCCTGCCCCTGCCCCTTCCCCTTCTCTTCTCCCACTCGGATCGCTGCTCCTGCTCCTCTTGCTCCTCTTGCTCATTTGCTAGATCCCTTGCTCTTCTTCCTCCCTCTTTCTCCCCTCCCTGGTATGTCCCGCCGCACTCTTGCTTGTGTTTCTGCCACATTCCTGAAAATGCTTCACACCTCCCACACCTCACTCCTCTACCTTTTGTGGGTTGTTGTTACTGATATGGAGACAATCCAGGCCGTCAACATCACGCAGCATATGGAAATCGATGCCGTTTCCTACGACGAGTGGCTTCTTCCCGCTGCTTACGGTTCTGATTTGCATGAGAACGTGGGCTCCTGCTCGGTCGAGCCTCAATCCGACGAGCCAATATCAGGGGAGAGCAGCAGGCGAGTTTGCAGCTTGTGCAAGGACATGGATGCGACCAGGGGGATCACTGAGGGAGTGGGAGGGAAGTGGAAGACCTTCCTCTGCAGGACATGCTCGCAGTTCGTGAAAGGAAGCATCTCACTAAGCACACGCTGCTACAGTTGCAGCAGGTATGCCAACTTCGGGCCGGTGGGGGGAATCAGGAGAGACGCGCGACACTGCAAGCGGCATCGAAGGAGTGACGAAGTGAATCTGTCGAAAAGGCCCACGAGGGCTGAGCTGGCGGACTTGTCCCGCACGGGGTCCTGGGAGAGCTCGATGCAAGAGCTGGACTCCTTGTGCGACGTGCTAGAGCGCGAGGGCGAGCCGCCCTTTGCCAACTCCAGGATCTCAAAGTCCAGGCGCTGCAGCTTCCCCAACTGCGAGTTTGCAGCCAGCTTCGGGTTATCGGGCACGAGCGCTACCCTGTGCGGCATCCATAGGTTGGCAGATCATGTGGATGTGATACATCGGAGGAGGTGTGAAGTGGAAGGATGCGTCCGCCATCCCTCCTACGGCCACCCGTCCGAGTCGTTCGCTCGCTTCTGCAAGTCGCATCGCCCCCAAAACTTCATCGACATGAAGTCGAGGAAGTGTCAGTATCCCTTCGGCTGTCTCAAGCGACCTTCCTTTGGCAGTGCGGAGGACGGCATCCCTCGCTTCTGCATGCAGCACAAGCTGCGCACTCACGTCAATGTAAAGAGCAGGTGCGACTAGTGCTCTCGCGCATGTCTCTGTCGTTTGGTTTTCCTGCTCCTCTGACATAATTTCTTATAGGAAGTGCCAAAGCGCAGGATGCGGGAAGCAGCCTTGTTTCGGCAGCAACGTCGACCATGTGGTTCGCTTCTGTGCCATCCATCGAGGAAAGGACGACGTCGACCTGGTGCATCGCTCGCCCGCTGTCACATTGCAACCAGCGGTAAGCTTGCTCTCACTTCCCTCATGCAGATGCTCTTCCTCTTTTTGCCTGCTCCTAATCCTCCCTTCTTACCCCTTCCTCCGATCTTCTCTGCTCATTCTTACAATCACTCCCTACTCACTCCTTCCTTAGGTGAGCGAGTCAGAGTTGCAACAGGAGCCGTCCCCCAGTCGTGAAGCCCCTCGGCTGGTGGATCTTGCTTTGCCGCCCAACCCGCAGGAGCAAAGATTCACCATCGTGGATTTTGTACGATGATCTTCCGGCCAATTCCAGCGCTTGAGCAGCTCCAGGCCCAGAGACCAAGTCCTCAACATCTTCAGCATATTCCTCGTCCTCGGCCTCTGTTCCTGCCCTCCTCCCTTCACTCTCTCCTCTCGAATCTCTTCCTCGCCAGCTGTAGAATTTATTGATTTCAATCTAAGATCATCTCTTTATGCGTCAGCGCCCTCTGCTCCCGACCCAGTACTGAACCCTCTCTCCTGCCCGGGAGGATGCAACAGGCTGGTGCCGAACGCCGCAACCTTCTTGATGTGAGGCCGGTACGTGCAGTCAGCCACATGGTGAACCATGCAGTCTATCGGGGTGACAATGAAGGGGATGCTTGCTAGCCCCATCGCCTGCCATGCATCGTCAGCAGGCACACCTGGTTGCCAACCTCTCCTCATCCCATTACCGTAGGGAAGATGCTCCTGTAGCGGACAGGAACTTTGACCTTCGAAGCCGCCCACACGATTCTGTTGATGACGATTCCAGGGATAGCTATGCTTGCCAGCCCCTGCCACAGTGCTGTATCCAACCCCCGTTCGATGGCCATCTTCATTCTGTCAGAGCTATGCTTCTGCTTATCTGACATCGACTCCCACGATTTGTGTGTGGTGTCTGCTAGAACGTATGACCCCGCAAGGACGTAGGAGGCTGTCACCCACGACCGCGGGACCACAGGACGAAAGGATTCACCGAGCTCGTTGGCATATCCCAAGAACCTGACAGGCGTGTCTTTGAACACGTCGTGCTCTTGCTTATCGCTATCGTGCTTCAAATCCATCTCACCTGCACAGTAGTCTCAGGTCAAGGATCCACTTCCCAAGCAGGTCTACACTGGTTTTGCCTCCTAGCTTCCTCTTTCGCGTCTGTGCTCTCATCAATCTTCTACTTCGATTTCTTCCTTCTTCGCTCACCTTCAATCCACCATTATCATCATCCGTGACATTCACCTTTTCATTGTACATAGAACTTCATCATCCTCATCCTCACCCCCACCCTCGTCCTCGCATTCCTCTTCGTCTCTGACACTGGCCGCCATGGCACCAAATGGCACCCCCTTTGCGTTTCCTCCACCCCACCCCCAGACATCAAGTCAAAGTGATGTATCACCCCTACATTTCTCTGATTTCGATCCAGACAAACCTGGGTAATGAGTACCCCCACCCTCACATATATACTTCCTTCTTGGGACTGCAAGGACCCCACCTTCTGGACACTTGTTTACCGCCCCCAGGTAGCAGAGTGCCCCACTGAGAGTAATTCGCACCCATCGTTTTGACCTTAAATGTACCCCTTCTGTACCTACCCTCACCCTACCAATGACACACATTCACCCACCCTCCCATGGCAAATGTGACAAAAAAAAATTGTGTACCCGTGTTTATAGATATTTTTATTTGTACTATCAAATTATATCTGGTTTTACAATTTACCGGTATCAATGGGTCTCAAACTTATGAGTTACCGAAAAAATAAATACTAAATACTTTATCAATTGAGATCAAAATCTCGACGTACTGAAGTTTGGGTTCTGCCTGCAGTTGGCTAATTATTTCTAAGTACTATACCAAATAAAATAATTTATTTTATAATAAATGTTTACATAAAAACGTTTTTAAGAAATGCGCCAATGGCATTAACGTGCTATGGTGCAGTGGCAGGGAGAGGAGGAGCAGCATCGCCCTCCTGGTGCTCCCTCTCTCCCCTCTCCCTCATCACCAAACAGAGTACATTAAACGCTTGACGTCTCTTTCTTCTCTCTCGAAGCCCCGGCTGACAGCTCCTTCGAAGAACCTTCATCAGCAATGCCGTTTTCCTCCTCTCGGAGGTCCAAGAAAGGTTTTGCCCTGGGGGCCGTGGGCTTGCTGGCGCTCCTGACGGTCTGTGACTCAGACATGAACATGTGGGGGGAAGGAGGAAGTTTTGATCGTGCAGATAAATCGAGATTACTTGCCGTGCTGACGACCAGGATCCGAGGAGGTGGTGATTGTGTCATGACCTGCGATGAGTATCAGACGGAAAGTGAGCTCAGGGCGTTCGACGATGCATTCAGTTGCAGTGATCATTGCGCAAAAGCCCTCGCCAACAGTCCCAGCATTCCGCGACGAGCATGCAAGGTCGGCTCAGAGGTGACGTCACAAGAGTCGCATCTTGCTGAGGGCAAGCTAGTGCACTCTGCGGAGACGGCTGCGGGGGTCGCGGGTAGTCCCCTAGAGGACAACGCCAACTCTCCTGGGGCATCTCGATCCCGATACCCAAACCGTCGATCGCTGGCACGAAATCATGCTGCGCCCCTTGCTGGAGTTTACCTTCCCAAGGTCCTCGGAGAGAGTCGATCTGTTTCAGACTTGTCGAGAGGTTCTTCTCCTCATTGCCCGAACATGGAGGAGAGATTGATGAGCTATGGTGCTTCAGAGAATTTCCGCTTGCACAAGGCAGACATCATACAATCCAGGGCTTGCTCAGTATTCGCCAACGACGTCGTGAAAATCAAGCTAGTTGGATCTGTACATGACATCGATACGGAGCAGAAGAGCTTCTCTCCTTTGTTTACTCATCAGGTGATCTTCTACCTGTTGTTGTGCCAGCTTCTCTCTTTTCCTGCCTTGTTGCCTGCCTGCATCCTTGCCTGCATATACAGTTGTTCTGATACAGTTTGGTAGATTTTTGGACAAAGGGAGGAGATAACTGGATACGTGAATCCAAAAGTAGAAATTCTGTATGCTTCGAACAGTCTTAGACCGTTGATTCGCTTCTCTTCGACATCGCGACACTCTGAGCAGATGCTGCAAGAGCATGGGTTGAACGCTACGGACGTAGTGAATTGCATCAAGAGGTTTGTTCCATGCGATTATTTATCAAGCACGGAGGATTTACGCAGTGAGCTTGCAAAAAATCCAATGCAAGAAATAGGATTGAAAGTAGGAGGCTACAACATCAGCCATGTTGTGCCAAGATCCATGAACGAGAAAGAAACCCTCGCTGAGGATCAATTCGAATTTTATTTTTCTTCTCTCGAGAATCCCGAAGTCCATCAGTTTGCTAACAGATTGCAATCCTTGGCGATGTGGATGATTGAAAAATCTTCTTATATTAAGGCAGATCCAAATTGGAAACTCCTCACGCTCTACCGAAGGTTGAAGCAGAAGGAAACAAAGTCACAGGGGAACGATGGGGATTCAGCGCAACAAGCTGATCTTGAGCTTGTTGGTTTCGTCACTATATACAAGTATCTTTGTGCAAAAGACTGTATCCTTGGAAAAACCAAGTGCAAAAATGATGGAGAGAATACTTCGTTTTGTTATCGTATCAGTCAATTTGTTATTCTTCCTCCTTTCCAACGAATGGGACATGGCGAACGTTTGTTGAGGCAAGTATACGAGCTTGCAGTGGATTCACCCCAATGCTTTGAAGTTCGTATCGAAAATCCCTCACAAGGATTTTCGAAATTGCGTGATGCTACAGACGCGAGACTTCTGCTGGTTTGCGATTTTTATTTTGCGATGATATTTGTTGAATACGAATGTTTGAACAGGAGAAAATGCCGGAATTACTCGTTTTGCCATATCCTCCCTTCGATGATGTGCAAAAGCGCTTGAAGTTAACTAGAGCCCAGATTCGTCACTTGTGGATATCTATTGTGAAAAAGGTACCTACAAGTTTTCGAATGTCTACATTGATTCTTTTATGTTGTAGGCTGTCAAGTCGTTGCCTGTTCGGAACATTCCTGATAAGGATTTTCGTTTTCATAACACGAAAGTTGCCAATTTCGAGGAGGTCTATCTACTGTCAAGGATATTGTTTTCTGACCGTATTGATCGACAGGAGGGGTTTCTTTGCAATGTGAATGGTCACAAGTTCTTTTCTGGACAATTCGTCCGAGTTGCTCGAAGCGACAATACTGAGCGCTTGGGACACCTGGTAGGTATCAACCCTTGGACCAAGCTCATTCGGCTAAGGTACTGGTGATAACGCAATTGCACATTTTTCTGATAGGTAGTGCTTGCAGGTGGATGTACACGTCATCAGATATTCCGGATGAAATCAACTCCAAGTTGAGCACACACTTGTCACAGAATGTCTCAAGGATGCAAATACAAGAAGTTTTTTATTCTTTTCATGAGGATTTCGTTTTCAAGGAGCAACTCTTGGGCGCGGTTTCTGTTGGCTTCGTTCAAAAACCTTTCAAGGCATTGGAAACAGAGAACCAAAACCGTGGAAGCCCACAACTGTTTTGTAGATATGTTTATGATCCATCCAAATTCGCTATGTATAAGTAAGATTTATCCCTCCCTCCCTCCCTCCCTCCCTCCCTCCCTCCCTCCCTCCCTCCCTCCCTCCCTCTCCTTATTCTCTGTTGTACTATTGCTTCATGCTCATTCTCTTGACAGGTTTTCCGAGAAGAAATTAAAGCCTACCTATCGTCATATCATCAACGAAGTGTTCCGGGAGAATTCAGTGACTTCTTTGATATCCAAAGCCAGAGAACGACAAGCGACAAATGGCGACGAAGATGTGCAGCACAATTATAGACCCTGGATGCTCATGAATAGCTTGCATCTCGAGCGCCGAAACTCATCAACTTCAGAACTAGCTGAGAGAAATGGCTTGCTTGGAGGAGACTTTAGCTCGCTCGCTTACTCAGAGTCTCTTTCTGGCTCAACTTCGGAAATTGTTCCATACTCTGGTGTCAACAGCCTCTTCGCTGCGAAGCCCAAGAGATACATCATAACACGGAGGAATCCCAGATCACGATCTCACGGCATGCCGTTCACTGAGAATAACAGGTTTCAGCTTTCTAGCTTCTGCTTGGACAAAGTGGGAAGAGTTGTGATGAAAAAGAAATTTGCAGGCTTGTTCAATGGCTGCCGTTCACGATTTAACAAGAAGGGAAAGGGCAGACTTCTGTTAGGTTCAGCAGCTGCGTCATCACAGCCCATTGAAGACTCGTTGTGCTTGCCTTCTCGGGCTTGCAGCATGCTGTTTGGGAATGAGAAACAGGTTGCCTACAAATTGCGGGCAGATCTTTGCTTGGAACAAGTTGCTGCGGAATGGAATCACCTGTTGGACGATTTGTGCGGTTGTATGTTGAAACATGTTTCCATGATACAGTCCACACTGGAAAACTTGTGCTCCCAGCATGACTCGAGTTATCGTGGATCTTATTTCTCGTCGGGGTTGCCAGATCAACCTCTGGCAGACCTCGAGGCTTTTGACAGTATGTCAAGCGAGAATCCTTTGTTAACACAGAACTCTGTGATTCCACAAAGAGACAGCATGCGTTCCAACCTGTACAAGCACCTCCAGGATCGTTGCACTCATCTGCTTCGTCGTCTTTCAAGCCGCCTTGATGCAGCTCCTTTCCTCGAGCCGGTGGATCCCGTGAGAGATGGTTGCCCTGATTATTTCCAAGTGATTGCTCGCCCAATGGACCTTGGAACCGTGCAGACGAAGCTCAGAGACGGTGAGAGCGTGCCGGAGGTTGTGAGATGCTTGACTTTTGACCCGCAGGATCCTACCCAATGGACTCAGCGGGGCTGCACGACTTCTTTGCAGACATCAAATTGGTCTTCGACAACGCCATGTGCTACAACCCTCCCTCCCACTCCATCCACCGTCAGGCTCGTCGGCTTTTTCTGTCTTTCCTCAACGCCTATCGCAACGTGCTTAGTGGAAACCTCAACGTCCTGAGCAAGCTCACTGAAGCAGAGGTCCGACTTCCCATTGCTTCCAGTCCTCTCTTGACCTTGCTCTTGCAGGCGTGGAAGGTGAATTGCGCGCTCGTCCTCAACTTTCTATGTCAGGAAAGGGACGCCGGTCCATTCCTCGAGCCCATCGGCGCCTTTTCTTGTGTGGCCGCAAGAAATTGGAACCGGGAGGAGGGGGTGATGGACTTGTCGAGCATCGGGATGAAGCTGCAGGTGAGAAAGGAGGGGAGTGTTTAGGCGATCCTGAAAGACGACACAGGAGGAGGGCTACAAGTCTCCCGATGAGTTCGTTTCGGACGTGCAGCAGACGCTGGAGCATGCGATGGGCCTTTTCCCGCCTGCTCACAGCATGCACACGAGGGGGAAGCGTCTGCTGGAAGTGCTTGAGGGAGTTCGCGACCTTGTACATATGTGAATTATTGATACGCTAGTCGTCCTGGCTGATAGGCACGGCTCCCATCCTCTGCTTGCTCGGCTCCTTGGGCTCCTTCCAGTGCAGCCACTTGCTGATGCAAGCTACCTCCATCTGCCTTGCCTGCGCCTCGGTCAAGCTGGTCCTCCCCACCCTCTGCCTCCCTCCCCCTTCGTCTCCTTTCTTCCGTCCCCAACTCCTTCCCCCTCGCACTCACCTTCTTGACTGATGGAGGGTCTGCCGGGTGGCTGAAGAAGAGGTCCAAATGATGGGCCCCCTCCTCTATCCACACAGCTTCAACCCCACGAGCCGCCGCATCCTTCACCTCCGAGACGTTGACGCCGCCAGCCGCCCACGGGTCGAACTCGCCGTTGCTGAAGATGATGTTGGACGCTCTCTTGATTCCCTGCAGGGCAGTGAGACGGAGAAGGGGGCAGGACGAAAAGGGGAGGGGGGAGGGAGAAGGAAGGTAAGGGACTTGATACCTCCAGTCCTCCATAGAGCTGTTCAATCCATCCTCTCCGAGGGATGACACCATACTTAGACTTGCAGTGCTGGTCTATCTCCTTGGAGCTGATAGAGAAGGGAAAGAACATGTCGCGTTTCCCGTCCCGCTTGAAGTACGTCTCCTGTGGCAGCATCTCCGTACACCACTGGAAGTCCCAGATGCCGGCATACGAAGAGTCCTCCGGCAGATGCAGGCAAGCTTGATCCCCGCTGGCGTTGTAGAGCAGCGAGATCGCTGAGCACAAAGAGTCCAGCAAGTTTTCTGCCTTGCAGTCGCCGCAGGAGGAGAGAAGCTTGCAAGCCTCGCGCACTGGCCATGGCGGGAGTTTCCCGATGCCCCCGGTCAAGTAGTCCGAGGGGAAGGGATAGTTGCCCATCGCCATGGTGTCGAACGCCATGGCGATGAAGAGCTTGAGGTCGTTCACTTCCCCGGGAGACGCCAACGGCTCACACAACCGGAAGAGAGCAGCAAGAGACTCCCGGCCGCTCTCAGATGCTCCCATGGAATCGATGATGGGCCAAGACTGTCTGACGAGGGGAACGCACCTCTCGTCACTTCCTGCTGCTCCTGACGCGTCTCTGGTCACGATCTCCCAGTACTTCTCGCTCCTCCATGGCCCTTTATCGCTGGAGTGGAAGGAGAGGACGGGCGCTGACGCTGCTACTGCCCCCTCGACTATGTGCGGGTACTTCATTCTGAACCACGCGCTCAGCATGCCCCCGTAACTTCCCCCGAAAGCGATCACTTTCGCCCGAACCATCTTGTGCTTGCGCTTGAAGTCATCGAGGAGGACGGCATAGTCGGCGAGCGCTTGCTCATGGCTTAGGTACCGCAAGCTTGCAGCACTGAAGTCGTTGCCGAACGGCAAGCTCTTGCCGTAATATCTGTGCTCAGCGAAGATGAGCATGGCAGAGAATGACTTGGCGTTTTCGAACATGAGCCCGGTGTTTCTGATGTACATCTCGACGTTTCCCTCATTCCCGCAGTAGAAGAAGATGGTGGCGGCGGGGTTGGCGAGCTGCTGTTCTGTCTCCTGGCACACGTAGTATCTCTGTTGCCACCTGCTGTCATTGCGCCAAGAGAAGTGATCGAGAACTTGTTCGAACCATGCTTCCCTGCATGTCATGTCGCCGACCTGGATGGTCGCAGTGTTCCCCTGCGGCCCGTGCCTTGCACGAGGGTGTCGACCATAATGGTGGAAGAATGCAGTTGCAACTTCCAGACAGGACAGGAGGATGGAGAGTAACGTGCGGCTCACCATGGCACGGCTGAGGCTTCTACACCTTCATACTGCAGCAAGCAATCATCAAAACTGATACTGACACATGCGACGCTCTCCTCGTCTCGAAATCTCCTCTACTCGTCTTCCTTTCTTTGTTTACTCCCTCCCTCCCTCCCCTCCCTCCCCTCCCTCCCCTCCCTCCCCTCCCTCCCCTCCCTCCCTCCCCTTCCCTTCCCTCCCCTCCGCATCTTTAGTTTGCGATTGGCTTCATCGTGCAGGCTCGCCTCAGTCTCCTTTCATGCATGCGGCCGCCACCCTCGTCTTGCTCCTGACGCCGAGCGCTGCCTTCGCGTTTGTGCACGAGGCTCTTCCAAACAAGCTGAACCCTCCTGGACTCCGATCCTCTCCCTCCTCTCTCTCCTCTCTCTCTTCTCCCTCCTCGCCCTCCTCGCCCTCTTCACGTTCCTTTCTGGGTTCCTCCTGTCTGTTCTCGTCACCTGGAGTTCCCTTCTCGTCATCAACCCATCTCTCTTCTCTCTCCGCTTCTTCTCCCTCCTCCTCCTCTGTCCTATCATCTACCGCCCTGCCATTCTGGGCAGGACGCAGAAAGACTTGGTGGGACGGCAGAAGTACCATCGCCATGACCCAAGACAAGGGAAGCAGCGCGGTGGAGCAGGGAATGCTCAGCCTCCTGCGACAGTTCGGTTGGGAGATCGCGAAGAACACGCGATGGCTGGTCTCGCTCACTGCCGCCGCTTTCCTCATGTTCCCCTCCTCGCATCAGGGAGGCAGAGGCGTGACTTGCATGCAGTTGGCGGAGGGATGCTGTGACCATCGCGGCCATCGGCGGCGCTCTTGGGAACGCAGCGCTAGGGAAGGTGCTGAAGAGGAGGAGGAAGGGAGGAGGAGGAGGGAGAGCGAGCGAGCGAGCGAGTTTCAGCGTCTTGCTGATCCAGGAGTGACTGCAGCTGCTGAAGCGACTGCTAGCCGAGAAGAGACCTGACGGAGCTCCGGTCTCCGACCCTGGAATGCCATCCAGTGAGGGCAACGAATGCTTGCATGTCTCTGCAGCTGAGCAAGCAACTTAGGTCATGCCATGAGCCTCTTCTTCCTGTCGCTCTACCTCTCTGCGGTGAGGAGAGGGAGGAGGGGGAGGAGAGGAGGGGCAGGTTTCATCGAACGAACGTGATCGTCCTGAAGGCGATCAACGTGTGGACAGACTGGCCGATGGCGGCAAGGACGATCGTCACCTCCTCCCTGCTCATTTTCTCCACCTACTCCGCTGCATGGAGAGTGAGAGCTGGCTTCCACACTCCAGCACAGGTGAACATCAGGCTGCTCTTTGAAGAAGAAGAGAATCATGACGATGATGATGATGATGATGATGATGATGATGATGACGATGATGATGATGACGATGATGATGATGATGATCATCATCATCATCATCATCATGATGATGATGATGATGATGATGATGATGAGTGGAGGAGGAGGAGGAGGAGGAGGATGACGACGACGACGACGACGTCAATCACGACAATGTTGATAACTGTTTGGAAGATTCTAGTAGGATCTGTTCTTGGAGGGTTCAACGGGATGGCATGGTTCTACTTCAATCACCAGAACATGGTGACATCTCCTGCTGCCACTTGTTGTCCGGGGACTGAAGCCTCCTGCTACCAGGCGGCATTGCAGCGCCTTGACGTCTTTCTGAAGGAGAGCAGCGCCTTGCCATGGGCACTATGTGGCTCACTGATAGGTCTGCTGGAGTTGTGCTGGGGCCGGCGCTTGTGATGACTGGCGATGTGTTGCAGTCGGCGCCCTGCTGGTGGGATCTGTTGAGAGGAAGATATCCAAGTTCCTCAAGTCAAAGAGCGAGAACAAATAAACTCTGGGCTCATTGCACAGCGGCACGATCATCTCGGTCTGCTACTGGCAGGCTGCCTCATCGCCGCTCGGAGGCTCCGAGGCTCCGAATGACTCTGTCACTGCTAGCCGGGCTCCGGGGCCCGGGGCCCCGGGGGCCCAGATTAGACCGTTATTTCTGTAACGGCTGCGGCCCGCATGACAAATTTGGCCCAAATGTACGAATTGTTTGGAGCATTGTACCCGCACTGGTATCGAAATTGTTCATTAAAAATTTCAAATATGAACGAATCGATACAGTTCTCTTTCGAAATTTCTTGAGTAAAGCTTTTAGTTAAACCCAGGCCGCTGCGAGTTGGCGCGCATGCAAGCGTCAGTGGAAAGGGAGGAGAAACCGTAAGGGAGGAGGAGAAGAACGGAAACTTGACGAGGCAGGAGGAGAATTGAAGTAGCAGACTCACCCGCTGCTGAAGAGAGCGACTAGGCTGGAGGAGAGGAAGACGATCGCCGTTTGCACGCCCTCGAGCCGCTGTCCCTGACTTTTGAGGACGAAGGAAGGTCAGCTACAAGTTGGATTGCACTTGTAACTAGAGGGAATGCATTGAGGCTGGATAGGCTGCTGCCCGAAAGAGAAGATTGAACGTTGAGACCTGAACGAGAGAAATCTTCAGATATTGCCAAAGTTGTGCATTGTTTACCAGCCCGGCTAAGCAATGAACAAAGGAGTAGTAAGATCATCCAAATTTCGGCACGTTTTTGGGAAAACGCTAAGAAAGGAGGACCATTATGAAAACATTCAGTCCAATGTTAGCGCACAGGATTCGAATCTCTGTGATGCAAACGCAAAGTACTTCGCTGTGCCGTGGAGGGGCGGCGGCGGTCCATTTGTTGTCTGGCCATTGAACAAGCCAGGACGATTGCCACAGAACGTGCCCCTCGTTGCTGGTCATGGTGCTCAAGTTACGGATTTGCACTTCTCTCCTTTCCATCAAGAGTGTATAGCGTCGGCTTCAGACGATACTACCGCCAAGATCTGGAAGTTCCCTGAGGACGGGCCAACAAAGACGATAGAGGAAGCGCAGATGACGCTAGCGGGGCACTACAAGAAGATCATTCTCGTGCGCTGGAACTCTGTCGCTGACAACGTCCTGGCAACCATTTCGTACGATAACTCGATCAAGATTTGGGATGTCAATGCTGGAAAAGCTATGAATACCTGTGAAGACCACCCCGATGCAATTCACGCATTCGACTGGAATTACAATGGGAGCTTGTACGGCACATACTGCAAGGATAAGATGGCAAGAATTATCGATCCTCGTGCGAACCGTGTGGTAACCAAATACAACGGCCATCAGGGTTTGAAAGGTGCTAGGTTCACTTTCCTTGGAGACAGGCCAATGTTTGCCACCATCGGATTCTCTAAGCAGAGTGAGAGGCAGATCTTCTTTTGGGATCAGCGAAGCCCAGACTCACCGCTCACAGAGGTCCAGCTGGACATTGCTTCAGGCTCCTTGCTTCCTATCTTCGATCCCGACACGAACATGTTGTTCTTGGCGGGTAAAGGTGACACCACCATTCGGTACTTCGAGATTGAAGACACTGAACCATATCAACACTTTGTGAATCAATTCCAAGCCAAGGAACCTCAACGCGGAGTCGCAGTCATAAGCAAGCGAGCCGTTGATGTCGCCAACAATGAAATCATCAGAGTGCTCAGGCTGACACAGAATAGCATGGAGCCAGTTTGCTTTGAAGTTCCACGGAAAGGAGAACACTTTCATCTCGATCTTTATCCGGATACTTTTGCTGGCAAGCCCTCACTTACTTCGAAGGATTGGTTCAGTGGCAAGAATGCTGCTCCGGTACTTCTTCTGTTTTGAGCTCGTTGGCAGGCTAATCATGAACGTGTGCAGATGTTAATGAGCATGGATCCTAAAGAGAACGGAATTATCCGACCCGTTGTGCATGGGGAGAGCATCTCAGTCGCTGAGCCACAGAAGGTAACACCAGCACCCGCTTCTGCTCCTCTTGCCCCATCGAACCATCACGCCACCCACGCCACATCCTCTGGGCCCTCAGTCTCCGACACCAACAACGTCAACCACGCTAAGGTCGCACAGCTTGAGACGCGGGTGAAAGAATTAGAGGTGACAACCCATGAATTGCATTCTGATTGCTCAAGGTGAAGTACAGGAGGAGAACCGGCACTTGAAGATGCAGGCCGAGCTTGCTGGTAGAAGAGTTTACAATTCTACTTGCAGTCGAACTGATACTCTACTTGCAGACAAACACAAAGCCGAAATCCGCTCTTACAAGTCAACCATCGAAAAATTGGAAGCGGATAAAGTGAGATTGGAGAAGATTTTAGAAAAGATGGGATAATCACAGCTCTATTGTTTGTAAGCTTTCATATCGTATTCTTCAAAGAAAAAAACAGGAAAATCGAATCTTCATTTTTCAAACTAAATCCAAGGATTTAATGCAACACCTCACCATACTGGTACTGGTTGCCCTCACCAGACCTGCAATTCAACTCTCAGAACATGATACATACAAACACGATTGTATGCCAACCTGTCAGGGAAGCGGCTGGCATCGAAGCCAGTGGGAGCAGGAACGTAGGGATCGTACTGAGCCTCCATGTCCCTTCAAAGACAACAATCAGACCGCACGACAAAATAAATGAAAAATTTGCTCACCACTTGTCCGGGAAGCGCTCCTCGAGCATGGGGGCGGAGGCAAAGCGGGGCATCATGGCCAGGGACTGAGCGGGGAGGATCTTGAAGAGCATCTCTGTATAATTCTTCAGATTGACGTGGGTTTGAGAATAGAAATGTGTTTGAACAGTCGGTACATCGATTTGACACAGCACAAACAAGAAACAGTCGAAAGCAGCATTCGAGTGTACAATTCACATAAAAATAAGGGATAAATGACGTGAAATTATGTGAAGAGTACACAGCATTCATCGATTGGAATAGAGCGCAGGTTCTTACTGCAGGACAGATCATAGTGATTTATGCACAAATGATTCACAAGAATAATTGAAAGGACGACGCCGTCAAAGAATTACATGATCCTCGTGTAAATTTTTGGATCACAAACTTGTTATCAGACAAGATTTTCAAAGAATCATGGATGATCGAACTGAGGGACCTCGACGTTGGGTTATCCAACACTCCACACGAAACAGATCAAATCTTTTCAGCAGTGTTGCATCAGAAGGGAATGATGCCAAAACAATGCAGGTGATCTGAAGGTTTCAACGACAAGCAGAGCGCATGGCAGAAGGGAAACAAGGAGCAAGCCGATCCTGATCAACAGGAAGCAACCGTGACGAAAGTTCATATGAGGCCATACCGAGGTTCCTTTGACTCTTCACGAATCGCCAAAGGATTATCACCTTCGCGGGGCGTTCAAGTTCATGTAACAGTTATAAATTTATCTCAATATTTTAATATTATAAAACATATTTCAAATATAAGCTGGAAATATGGAAGATGAGACCCTAATGGACAGGGTGTTTTCGAAGAGTTGCTCATAGTTGGGGGATGAGGGACATTGGTTCTGTGCGGGGAGGAGGGTAAGCAGATTCGGGTTGGGTCAGGGTGGGTATGAGGGTGAAAGCGCAATGCGCTATTTCTGGATGCCATGGAAGGCAGGGCTGATGGCGCGACGCGTGTGAGGAGAGAAGGAGAGCGAGGAGGAGGCACACGGGAGGTTGGAGGATAGACAGAACGAGACTAGCAGCACGACGACAACCGGACTGCAACCGGACGGCGACTGGACGAGAGGAGGAGACTGCAAGGAATCCCGAGGAACTACCGGACCGGAGAGGCTAAGGGAGAGTGTGCGAGAAATTTCGACAGGATAGGGAGGGCCCAACAGGATGATGCACTCGTTGTCGCACTGGATCTCACGGGACTACTTCCTTGGGCGTCCCATCGACGACATCTTGTCGTATCGGACAACCAAGATTGTAAGGGTCCAAGACCGGCTTGTAGGACTAGCGGATATCCTGATCAAGACCCTTGTGATAGCGTTCGTTGTCGCTGTCTTGTTGATCAAATATGGGGGATTCTTGGAAAAAGAGCCCATCAGTGGCAGCGTCAACTTTGTGCTCCTGGGAGGCTTCCATGGCCTCAACTACACTGATTTGCCGTACTGTGCAGAATTTCCATGCAAATTCGCGGATGTCTACACAATCTCACAAAGCAATCTCCACGACAGGTTCATCCTGATCGCAACGATGATACAAGAACGCAGCCAAACGAGGAGATGCAGCGAAACTGATGATGTCTGTGACCACGACTCTCCATTCAAGGCACAGGACATGTCCTCGTATTATGCAGCGGGTGTTGAGGACTTCACTCTCACGATTCATCATGAAGCTGTTGCCCCCACGTTCTGGTCTGAGTGAGTTCTTGCGCTGCTGCCTGATGAGCGACATGCGATCTGACGTTGAGCTGGCAGGGACCGAGTAGATCGGTACAGAGGCAGCTCCGAACAAATGAAAGGGAAGCTGGTGTCGTATCGCGATGATGGGACAGGAAGAATGGCGACGTTGACTCTTGCGGAGTTCAACACCGGAAATGCGGTGCGGATGTCGATCAAAGATGTTGTTGCAGCTGCAAACCTTGATATTGATGCTCCTCTTCCCGATGAGACGTCGCCAGTGAGGAACACGGGGGTGGAACTAGACTGTTACATCAGGTACTCCAACACGTGGAGTTGGTTCCCTCCTGCACCCGAGCTGAGATATGAGATGGAATTCGTCATGGCGAAGAAACAGCTCTCATGGATGAGCAGCGCGTACCAGGCTGTTGGATTCGGCGATGCAAGGATGCTTGTCAAGCGAACAGGTGAGCCGAGCTGATGTTGACACCTTCGCTCATGTTGTGTTCAGGGATTAGAATCAACTTTCATCAGTCAGGGATGATAGCGAGGTTCAGCATTGTAGAACTCTTCAAGACGCTGGGAGCTGGGGTCTTGCTTTGGCTTCTCTCTTCATGGCTCATGGACCAGTTCATTACGAGGTATGCGCCGCTGTCTGAACGGTACGAGGCTGGAAAGTATGAGTTCACGGAGAATATCTACAATCTCAGAGTGTGCCAAAATGAAATGAACGATCAGGTGATGTAGCGTTCTTGACATAGATGACAAGTTCTGATCCATTTTGTTTGCTGCGGTTGCAGATTACTGAGCCTGAAGGGGATGTATTGGAGCGACTGAGAACGGATAGTCTTAAATAGTGTGGGCAAGATCATGGAGGTGATTTGCCCTCCCGCGATTGTTACCTTTCGAGAGTGTCTCCCATGTAAGTAGCTTAGGAAAAGAAAGTTTTCAATTATACAAGTGAAGTATACAAAAAATATCTTGCAGAAACAGACAGACATCAACATAACAAAACAACAAAATTGAGAGTAGTTGTCATCGAAGAATCAGTTGAAGATTCCAGACAGGAATCCATCGCTCTTGAGCGGGTCCTTCGTGTCTCCGGTCGTGCTCCCAGACCCTCCTTTGGGCTTCATGAACGAGAAAGCTTTCGCCCACGCACTCGTGTCGCTACTTGTATCACTCGCGCTCGTTGCGCTACTTGTAGGGTTGGCCTTGGCCTCTTCTGATTCAAATATCAAATGTGAGAGATGTCACAGAGTGATCTGCAGACCTGTACTCTTGGGCTCCGATAAAGAGGGCGAGGAAGAGATGACCTGAACAAAAGTTTCTTAGCGACGCATGCTAAGCAAGGGTCAAACAGCACCTGTGGGAACGAGGCAGCAATAGAACTTTGCTTGGTCGAAGGAGAAGCAACAACCGAGTTTCCTTTAGCTCCCTCCATGGCATCTTGCATGACTTGAACAACTGAGTTAGTACACGACAATGCAGCATTGACAAGGAAGGAACCGTTCGTATGTGCGTCCTTCTCCTGGTCTTGAATCGTTTTCAGCAGGTCATTGGCTGTTGGAAGCGTCTTCTCTAAGTTCTTCTCGTTGGCCTCCACTTGTGCCGAGCTCAACTTGGGGTTCGACGAGTCAGGAATTTGCCGTATCAATGAATCGTCGTTGAAGACAGGAGGCGGAGGCCCGTCATCGTCCTTTCCTGAGATTCAACTCAGCACGTCGAGACTTGGGCATGCAGACACTCACTCCTGAACAAGCTCCCATCCATCACCTGCTGCTCCACAGAGCGAGGTGGCGGAACGTACACTGCGTTCTCACCGTACTTTATCATGTTCTGGAAATCGTTGTCGATGTCATCTTGAAGCCTCTTCATCCTTGCCTGCACAACCGCCCTGGCTTGCATGCACTTGGCGTCGCAATGCACCGTAGAGTTTCCTGTCCCTGTCCGGTCATCACCTGAAACATCCCTCCTCTCGCATCCTTACCTGTGCTGTTCTGAGCGCCCGAAGACGAGAGCGTCGAGAACTGCTCAGCCTTCAAGGACGCAAGGAGCGACTGATCGAGAGCTGTGGGCATGGTCCCAGAGAAGAAACTCCTCGCGGTAGCATCTGTGGACGTCTCGAGTCCGAAATCTTCGAAGCTCGTCACTTGCACAGACAGAAAGGCAACGAGAGTCCTACCAACGTCCTTTATGCAGAAGCACAGCAGGAGCACCCCACAGACCAGAGCCTTCCAGGATCCTTGAGCCCTGAAGGATCGTCATCATGGATTTCACCAGGTCTCCTCGGCTCTCTACTCTGACTTGGCTCTCACCCGGCACTTCATCTACTCAGTCCATTTTGGTCCTCTGCCATGCCAACCTCTCTCGCTCCATTCCTGGCCCTTTGAACCCATCACAGCCTTCCTTTTCTCACTGTCACTGGCATGCTATCCCTTCCTCTTCCCTCCCTCCCTCCCTCTTTCTCCCTCTCCCTCTCTCCCTCCCTCCTCTTCCCTCCCTTCCCCCAACTTGTTGCTCACCGCATGATCTATTAGCGGTGATGATGCCCTCATCTCCCCTATTGGCCTCACTCATCCCCCTCACTCACTTATCACCACATCCCCACTATGATCCATCCCTGAAGGGCCGACACGTACGCAATGCAAGGGAGGCGCAGGAGGGTCAAGGGAAGCGAGGGAGGAGGGGGGGGGGGGGGAGGAGAGAGAGGGAGTGGGAGCATGTCGATGAGGGCGAAAGATAGGAGGAGAATGACAGGCAGAAGAAGGCAGAGGGGAAGAGCGACGAAGAGGAAGAGGGGAGCGGGGGGGCAGAGAGGGCGAAATGAAACAATGTGCCTACAAACATAGAAGGGGGTCTATGAAGGAGCACGAGATAGGAAGAGAGATAGAGGGAAGACGAAAGGAGATTGGAAGGAAGATGAGGTGGGGAGTGACTGAAGGAGGGAGAAAGGAAGGGCGCGGTAGAGCTGGGAGGGGAGGGGAGGGGATTGGCACCAGGTATCCTATTCACAGAGCCTGAGATACAGATAGACAGAGAAGCAAGGAGAAGGAAGTAATGAAGCAAAGACCTTTCTCTGAGATGTCGTGTCTGATTTTCATCTTTACAGCATCATGGTAGACCAACCTGTCACTTGCAAGCTCCTATCACACAGCATAGCATGTCATCCTCCTGCTGTTAGCAAGAAGAAGAAGATTTCCGAGGTTGGTCCCAAGTGGGCAGACGACAAGTCAGCGGAGTTCTGCCAATCCTGCGGCTTCCAGTTCAACATTCTCATTCGCCGACATCACTGCAGGCATTGCGGTATGCTCTCACTCCTGCTTGAAAGCCTCCTCGCTATGCTCGTTGTTCAGATCTCTGACTGGTACTGATGCAGGGTTACTCTTCTGTCGCTACTGTGCACAGGACAGGTGGCCCCTTCCCAAGTTCGAGTACCTCCATCCTGTCAGAGTCTGCAGGAAGTGCAGCCGGCTGTGCTGGAAGGCAAGGGAGAGGAGGAGGAGGAAGGAAGGGGATGACGGCGATGGCAGGCGGAGGCTCTGCTGCAGGCCATCTCAAACAATGACATCAACTCTCTTGCCAAGTACGTGCAGAGAAAGAACGACTGCAACCTACACACCGGCATCTACCCTCCTCTCATCATCTCAGCGGCCGCAGGTCTGGACACCCCCTGCGTTCCCCTTCCGTTCTACGTTTGAGGGCCCATTGTAACGAACCGTCGGCACAGGGTTCTCGGAGATCTGTCGGATCCTGATGAAGGGAGGAGCAGAAGTGAACTATGCGGTCCCTGCTCCGAAGAAGACAACCCTCGTGACCTGCGCGTTCTGCAACCACATCGACGCCCATGTCCCCACCCGCAATCACGCTTACGAGTGCCAGCGATGTCACGAGGTCACCCACACCATCCACGACACCGACAAGGCGGCGGCATGGAAGGGACTGGCGCCCTCAGACCACATAGGAATGACAGCTCTGCATGCTGCCGTCAAGATGAAGGGACACGTTGATGTGGTCGGTTCCTACTCCTCCTCCTTCTCTACCTCCTCTTCCTCTACCTCCTCCTTCTCCTCATGAAGAACCTGACAGGTAAGGGCGCTCATCACCAACGGAGCAGACTTGGACGCGAAGACTCACAACGGCAACACTCCCCTCCACCTCGCTGGTGACCTTGAGAGGTTCTCAGTTTGTTTGTGATGATGAGGAGCAGCTGCCAACGGCCATAACGACTGCTGCAAGCTGCTGGTTCGGAGGCAAGCGGACGTCAATGCTGTTTGCGACTTCGACGGAGATACTCCGCTGCATCGTGCGGTGAGTCCTCCACCCGGCACTTGTTCGTTTTTCTTTCTCCTCCTCCTCCTCCTTCTCTACCTCCTCCTCCTCCTCCTTCTCTACCTCCTCCTCCTCCTCATCATCATCATCATCCTCATCCTTTTCCTCCTCCTCCTCGTCAATCACCACCACATCTTCCTCACACGCCTCAACCCCCTCCACGTTCTCGCTGCCATGTTCCACGTTGGTGTCTTTTTTTGTCTTCTTCTTCGTGCACCAGGCACTTGCTCACTGTAGATCATCAGGTCCGGGAGGGACACGTCGACGTCGTCACCCTCCTCCTCGAGTACGGCGCCACCAAGAATCACAAGAACCTCGAGGGCCTGACGGTCACCCAGCTGGCGGATCGGTGAGGGCGCTAGGCTAGGCTGAACTCCTTCCGCTGATCCGCATGCAGCAAGAAGAAAGCTGACATCATCTCTGCCCTCTCTGCCCCTGTCGCTCCCCACCATCCGTCGAGGTGATGTGTTGCTGTGTCTTCTTCTCTCCCCCGAACCCCAACTCGTTCTCTCACCTTGTTCTTCTCCTCCTCCTGTTCCTCATCTTCATCCTCCTGTTCCTCATCTTCATCCTCCTGTTCCTCATCCCCATCCTCCTGTTCCTCATCTCCATCCTCCTGTTCTTCCTCCTGCTTCTCCACGTCTCACAAGAGACGCAGGGGCCCGGAAGGTTCGGCGTCTCCTGCACCCGACTCAGAGGACAACGATCTCCACGCGCAGCTCTCGGAGACGTTCGCTGTCAACACCGTGCATCACAGTGGAGGGGATGCTGTTGAGGAGGAGCTCGAGGCTGCGGCGAGGAAAGCTCTACAGCTTGTAGATGATATCGATGACTGATCGTTGAAAGTCGCGGCTTCCCTACGGATGTTTTAATGGCTTCTTAAACAAACCTTCTCAGATCGATTCGCCATGATCAAGTCCTTCAACTTCGTTGCAGGAGCGGACTCCTCCTTACTGGCGACGTCCTGCTTCGTTCCACTCTCGTCGGAGAGGAGAGGCTGCTAGACAGGTAGGGATGCGCTGAGGTCGGCCGCCAGACCGCCCTAGTCTCTGAGGCACCTGAAAAGCATGTGACAAGAGCCTGGAGGAACAACTCCTTACCTCCTCCCTTGCAGCTTCGCCGCAACTTCTGTGTTGAGATGCATCAGGCATGAAGTGACACAACAGGGAACAACCTTCTTGGTGCATGAGAGAGCCCACGAGTAGAAAAAGAAGCACAGCTTCAGCTGACCCCGCAGGTTAGCATAGAGCTGAGAGAGCTGTCAGGAGCAAGGCAGAGCCCTCACGACGAGCTCACAGAGCATGAATGCTTCAGGTGGAAGTGATGAAGGTTCTCCATCCCCTGACGCAGCATACGATTCTCCTGGCACCGGCTGCCGTCAGCTTCCTCTTGCCTCCTCCTCCACTCCTTCACCGCCTTCCACTCGTCGAGCTGCTTCTGCAGCTCCTCCGCCTCCTGTCGACTCTCTTCCGCAGCTTTCCCTCTTTCCCGGGCCACGAGGTTCCCCTGCGCGTGCTCGCTCAGCTCGCGGAGGCTGCAGCCAGTCGTCAGCTCCGTCGGGGGGGATGAGATAAGTCAGGACATGAGCTGCTTCCTCCTGTAGACCCGAACGCTCCTCCTCCACTCCACGATCCTCGACGCTCGTTCCTTGAACCCCCTGAGCAGAGTCAACTAGTGCAGACTGAGGGTACCGCGATCATCTGACCTCCTGCCTCGCACCGCTGCCCACCATGCTCGGAGTACCTCCCTCCTCAGCTTGTTGTTGCGAGCTGAGCGAACAAATCAGGGGGTCAGGGATGGCTCGCGACCTCGTCACATCGTTTGAGTTTGTTCTCCTTGAGCAGGCGGATGTCCTTGGAGTCCCTCCATTGAAACGAAACCTGACACGAGCTCTCCGCCTGCCTCTCATTGCCTCTCGGCCCGCTGCTTGCCAGCACGATCTTCTTGTCGCAGTTCTCCTGCACGTTGAGGAAGGCCTGCAGCAAGTCGAGCAAGTGAGGCCTCCCTCCTAGCAGGCTGCGAACCTTACATGCAGGATGTTGAACCCATACGACAGCCGCCTCCTGTTCCTCTTCCTCTCGAGATACTGGAAGTGTCGCTTCAAGAAGATGTTGTGTGAACTCTCCCTGCACCATCTCCGCAAGATCGTGCTCCTGCAGGCCCAGCACTCAGCATGAAAGACACGAGCATCCGACAGGGTACATTCGCAGGTGCAGCGACCGAGACCTCAGGAAGGTGTCGGCCAGGCGAGCTTGGCTCTGCTTCCTCTGACAACGCAGGTGCAACTTCAGCCATCGGTAGAACCTGCGGGAAGGTGAGGGGAGGGGGAGGAGGCAGCAGCGAGGACGACGTGCTCTCCGCAGTCAACAAGTCGAACTCCTCGTGCCTTGACTGGAGCAGGACGTACTGGATCCTCTTGAGATGCTTTCTCTGGTAGACTTCCTTCATCTCCCGGAAGCTGAGAAGAGTTCAGCTGGATGAAAGTGAAACTTGTGCAGTACCACTGAGTGACAAGTGCAGCCTCCCTCCTCTGCGACGTTAGCATCTTCTTCCGAAGAATCCTCCTCCGAGTCCTGCAAAACTCCTTCCAGGACGCGAAGATGCTTGACTTTTCTCTCTCGGTGCGTGAGAGCGATCTTGATCTATCAAGGCCAACACATCACGGAGATTATCCAGACTTGTCTCCACACGGACCGCAGGAGATGGTCTCTTCGCATGCAAACTTCAGCCCACGAGCGCAGGCAGGAGCTCAAGGTGTGCTTGCTCAACTTCGAGATGTTTCGCATCACCTGCGTGCATGTCAACGCCACGCTTTGAGCCTTTGAACACACTCAGCTCACCAGTTTCACTCCTCCCAACTGCAACATATCGAGCCTGGTCTGCAGCATGTGAACTTTTGCCTCCAGCCTTGGAGGGACGAGTGAGAAAAGGTCCTGTGTGCTGCAGCATGTGTACCTGACGCATCTCATCATCTGGTTGGAATGAGCTTCATCCAGATCGAGAATCTCCCCTCTCATGTCGTCGATCTGCTAAGGGTCAGTCATGCTAGCACCGCAGAGCTCGTGGGCCATCACCAGGTCCACCAGCGATCTCTGAAGATCCAGAGTGAGGTTCATGTGATGATCGAGCTCTTCCGTTCTCATCCTTGCAAGGTCTGACGTCAGTAATGAGGTGAAGAGTCTTGCCGCATCTCACTTGACCATCCAGAACTGACTGCCGTGCTTCCTTCCTTGCTCCAACAGTCTTTGCATGGAGTTGAGCGAATCGATCTGAAACAGTCAGAGATCAGCGAACATGGAGACATCTCCAACTCTTCTTACGCATTCAAACACTTTGTTGAGAGCAAGCTGCCTCTTGTCTTCGAACATGTCTGCAGCACAAATGTCAGCAGCTACCGCGCTTGCACGGGATCAAACTCACCCACAGAATGTCTGCTGGATCGCCTGAGAGTGCAGTCAGCGAGCGGGACAGAACAAGCCACGATCCCAACCTCGAGTAGTCGTAGTGAACTTCCTTGATGTCGTCGTAGACTGAAACCGGCGAGGCCTCGTCGGGGGAGTGAAGTCTCGACGCCACCATCTGCATCGAGTCTTGCTCGTCCCACTGCTCCTCACACTGAGCAGCTCACCAGGCACAGAGAGGACAAGCTCACCCTGCCATCGAGCTCGACCCTCCTCTTCTGTGTGCTTGACAGCTTCGACAAATCGTCTCTCAAGGTCTGCAGCTGCTCGGTGGGTAGTAGATACAACCACTTCTTGTCTGGGGAAACTCTTCCTCCCCCTCCTCCCCCTACTCCTCCTCCTCCTACCCTTCCTCCTCCTCTATCCACGCTGAAGCTGAGCCTTCGGAGGGGTGAAGTAGGTTTGGACGAGTATGCAGGCGCATCCTCTCCCAGGATTGGGTCCGGCACGGATCCTCTCCGACGTGAAAAGCCTGGCGAGTTCATCTTGACTCCATGGCACCCTGTGAGTTAACGTCCTCCTCTTCCTCCTCCTCCCCCTCTGCTATCCTCCTATGCTGAATTATCCTCGCTCTTGTCTCCTCTTCCTCCCTCAACCTCGTCGTCCGCGCTCACGTTCCTATCCTGCGATCCCGAGCATCGGTAACTGTCCGACCTGAGGCATTCGGAGAGTAGGGCCTTTCCCGAGACTGCAAAATGTAAACGAAAAATGTAGTAGGGGAGTTGAAGGCGAGGGGGGGGGGGGGGAGGAGGAGGAGGAGCATGTAGAATGATTCACACAGCTTCGCTGTCTCTTTGCATGCGCATACTTGATGCATCCATCAAACAGCAATGAATATCTGCTTTGAGGCTGGACAACTCCCGCTTCATGCCACGGGGTGGGGGATGAGAACCTAATGGGCAGAGAGCTTGAGATGGGAAAGTGATGGCATCATCTTAGATTGCATCTATACGTTCGAAAGATGGAAAATTCTCAGTCTGAGTTGCTTCCCTCCTGTTTCACATGCTTCATACATGCGAGATCGACGAACGGAAATGGAGGAGATCAGCATCGGATGGATGTTGGACAAAATGATAGAGGAGGGAGAAGAGTCTATCTACTGCTTCATCGGATCTTTGAGACAGATCAACTTGAATGAATAAACACTTCGTTTCTTATCTCAATCTCGTTTGAGCATTTTCTGAGTTGATATACTAACAGAACACAACATTGCACTGAGATCATAGCTCATCAAAGTTGGCTGCTTGATGGATCACCCCGACGGCCTGAAACATCATGTAGGATGTCTCCCAAGTCGATACTCTCACTTCCTCTCCCCTCCTCCTGCCCCTCTGGTCACCCACCCCATCCCTTCCCCTCCCCTCCGCTCCCTTTGGATCCGGCAAACTTCTTTTTTCAGTTCAGCAGGACAAGTCCTCTTCCCTCACAGGCCCATATAAGTAACACCGGCGGCTATGCTGCGTCGATGAGAAGCTGGCTCGTCGCTCTGCTGACCGTCCTGTCCTCCACATTCATGGCAGCCATCAAGTCTTCTCCTCTCTCCTCCGAGATCCCAAGGATCCTCTACATCACCGGCCAGCCATCTTGCGGCAAGACGACTCTCATCAAAAACATGGTGCGAGAAGACGGGCTGAAGCACCTCAGAGTGTCAGGATTCTACACGGAAGAGGTTGAGGAGGGAGGAGCCGGCGCGAATCATGCTGTCATCAGGTGCTGGAAGGAGGCAGACGCGTGGGGTTCGACATCGTAGACTTCGACGGAAGGTCTGGCGTCCTTGCGAGGAAAGGGATCAAGTCAGGGCCGAAGACGGGGGAGTACACCATCATGGTCGATTCCTTCGAGAAGATCGCGCTGCCTTCCATCAAGGTGCCTCGTCGGAGGAGCGAACACGTGCGATCTGACGTACGTGTGTGCTCTAGGTCAGAGGAGACGTCGACCTGTACGTCATCGGTGTGTGTTTGGAGAATGGCGACAAGTTGACAGGGGAGCAGATGAGATCGGCAGGATGGAGTTGCACAGCAGAGGTTTCAAGATGGCTGTGACGAAGTTGATTGAGGTTTTGTGCTCCCTCCTCTCCTGTTCCCTCGACGTTCTTCTCCCTCACATGCAGTCCAGTCGGGCAAGCCCGTCTTCGGCTCCATCGCTGCGCCGCGATACGGGAGGTGACTCGTCCTGCCGACCTGTCGGTCGCTGACAGGAGGGATGAAGGACAGTTGAGTTCTGTGAGGAGCTGAAAGAGCGAGAGGATACCAAGACCATCAACTTGAAGCCGAGCAACCGAGAGGAGGCAAGCAACATTGAAGCAGCGTGCTCGACCTCTCTGCGACTCACATGCGCACGGCAGGTATACGGGGAGGTAAAAGCGATCCTTTGCAACAAGTTTCCCAAGAAGGAAAGCAAGAATCTTAGATGAAATATACAATTATGAAGAACCCATAAGGGATGTGCTTTTACATCCTTGCACAAAAGTTGACGAGAAATGCTCCGATCGCGTCAAGACAATATCCAATCCCTCATGACGCAATCGGAGCAGAAGACTTGTTGGGAGGCTGACCTGCCTTGACCGTGTCCAGTTGACGCTCTTGCTCCATCTACAGCATGCGTAAGGAGGGGGAAACGCGGGTAGACTAGCTCACCTCAGCAATCTTCTTGCGCAACATTTCGTTTTCAGTTTCTAACGCCGCAAGCTTGCCATCGTTGCTCTCCCTTCCGTTCGCGTGTATACTGCTGTGAATGTCGTCAAACCCCCTCGCTGCATCGCCAACAAGTTGTTTACCTGCTGGTGGAAGAATTCAAACTCTGGTCCATGCTCAAGGCCGAATCCAACTTCTGGATCTCTTGCTCTGCTGAAGCCAGTTTTTCCTTTACAGAGCCTCAGTCGGAGGTTAAGACTTCAATCTGATGAGGGCAACCTTGAGGTCTCTGATGATATTCATACAGACAGCCTTCTCCCGATGCAGCCTGTAGCAGATAGATTCCAGATCTACAGCGAGATTCACATCGAGGCTTCTTCATCAAAACAACAACACACATTGAACTTGTATACTCTCTGCATATTTGGCCGAAATTTGCTCATCCGGATCTTCATCTTGACTAGAGAGCGAGTAATTCGATCTGTTCAACAATTTTCATTTACATCCATGATCAGAGATGACAAGAGTTACCTCGAAGGTCGTGTACTGCTCGCTGTCTCGACATCATCGACATCATCTTGAAGGCTCAGGGGGTTCGCCTAGAGTTGAATCACAAACCAGATGATAAGAAAGCGTCGTCAACCGGATCTTGATACGGAAATTCTGAATCTTGCTCCAAATATTTGCCTGTGATGTCTCGTCAGATGATGGGCTACCCTTTTCCTCCATGCACCTCTCGTCAGCCTTTGACCCTCAGACCTTTAACACTCCATGTTAGAGCATGATGGGTTCACAACATTCATCATACCTCGTCATCTTGCTTCTGTAGTCCCTCAAAGCTACACCTGCCCTGTGATGCGCCAGGAAGGCCTGGGGTTGGAGGGGAAGCTCAACTATGATGTATGGTACAGAGAGAGGAGTTCTGCACCTGGTTCTTCCAGTTTCCTATTTCTTCGTCCATGATTCTTCTATCGATTGCAAACATGTCGAACTGAGGGAAAGTGTGAAACCCGGTTTGACATTGCGGCGTCGATCAAAGGACAAAGATACAAGTCAACATCGGGTTCAGCAGAGCTCATGATCATGGTAATGTTGATTATAGAGCGATGAAGATGTCATAACAACATGAAGATTTCACCTCTGAACCCAATTCCCCGACATTGGCACTTTTGTATTGCCACCTAACAACAGCAACATCAGTCCCCCCTGATTGAATCACAGGCTGACTTACCATACTTTCCTCCTGCCCTGGGGAGTAGATGACCGCTGCTGCGCAAACTATTCGTAGCCTGAATCAGAGTACACCCAGAGAGGAAAAAATTGTGTGCGTGCGTGCGTGCGTGCGTGCGTGCGTGCGTTATTACCTGCAGCCCAGCTTCCTGATTTCGAAGAGGATCTCTGCTGACCTGTCAAAGAATTTATTGACTGAGGAGACAGAGGTGGAACATTTGCCACCTTCGTCTTGACCAGGCGCTTTCCGCTCATCTTCAAGAGACTGAAGCGAAGGATCCCTGCAGGGACAGCGTCACGAGCAAGATCCTGGAACAATGCCTTTGAATTGATTGATTGGGTACTCCTCTTTCCCTCTGCTTCTCCTCCTCTTCCTCTCACTCCTGTCCTCTGTGCTTCATTTCTCTCGTTCGCTCCTGCAGCATTCTCTTGGCTCCCTTCCACTCCCCCTCCTCGCCAGAGGCTCTACGCCCCGCGCAGCCGCCTACGCATTGCGGTTGACAAACTTTCCTTGACAAATTCGTACTTTCAAACTTGTCGAAAGAGAAAAGTTTCTAAAGTTGAAATCAATAGTATCAGCAATACAATTGATGTATAGCTTATACCGAGTACCAGCGTCAGCCGTTGGGGTGCCGGGCTCCTTCTTTCCCTCCCCCCGTCCTCCTCCTCTTCTCCCCCTTCATTTCTGTTCTTCCCACATTCCTCTGAATCATCGTCAGAATCTCAAACATCCAAGTACTCCACGGCCACTAATTCTCTTCTCACAACGCTCCTATCAGTGTCAAATCCTCTCCGCTACCTTCATCCTCTTCCCCGTTCCCCTAGGGCGACTTTCATGAGCATTCCTGGATCTTGTGCTGCGGTTTGATCAACGGATAGCATATTCAGAATAGACATGTCCAATTCGCTGCTGTGGAAAGATTTGGACCTTGCATCGACTGAGCACTATGTGTCGTTGAAGGATGCACAATCACGGTGGGACTGGTTGAGAGACAGGTTCTCAAAGGAACTTGGAAATGACGAGGATCGGGTGAAGATCCTCGTGGATCTTTTCTATTACACCCTGCAGTTTGGGATAGACAAGTCATTCACGTATGACAAGCTCTCTGCCTTGCTCTCAATCATCAAACAATCGCATGAAGAATCCATGAATCAGTTTCTGCCTGCCACCACAAGCTTCGAAAACTTCAAAGATCTGCTCATCCGTCACTGTGTCAACCGTCCACCATACAGTGTGGGACTGTTCACTATGCAGGATTCTGCCATGATAACGGATTTCGTTTCCAAGGGCTATTATCGGCACTACATGCTTTACAAATATGCTTTCACGAAGAAGACAGAACTAAGTTTCTCTACCTACTACACTTACACCAAGAATCCTATCGACGATCTACCAGCCGGATTCTTGCAGCCCCTCAAGCTTGCGCAGGAAGAGAACGAGAAGCTCAAGAAGTCTGAGGAAGAGGCGAGCAGAAACGGCACAGAAGATGAGAAAAAAGTCGGCTGACTTGAAGTTTTGCAGGCCCTGGCAAAACTTGAGGCGGCAAAGAGTGATTTGACTCCTGAAGATCTCGAAAAAGCCGGTGTGCCAGCGGATATTCGGGAGGAAGTCCTGAAGCAAGTGAATGAGAAGATGAATGATGTGAAGTTGATTTGTTTTCCCATACTTCGCACTTATTCCGTTCCAAAGATGAAGAACAAGATGGAAGAGAAGCTGGAGTCGCAGACCAAGGATCTTCAGGTAGGAATGGAGCATCTTACTCGTTCTAGACTGACTAGCTGGTTTGCAGGCCCGTATAGCAGAGCTCGAGAAATTGCGGGCTGGAAAAAACTGAGAACGCTGCCATGTGAATACATCTGGCTTTGTTGTGTACATTCTAATGAATGTGTGCTCCGTGATGCTAAGATCGCAAAGTTATAACTTTATTTACAAAGTATGACTGTGCTGCAGATTCAGTGCTATTTCTGTTGCCTTCATCTCCGCATCCCTGGGATGGTGGTAGTGCCATCAAGGGAAGTCAAAGTTATCATGTGTTTTGCCTCCTCCCCGCAATGACTTCCATGATGAACTCTACTGATCTTCGCATTTTTCCTTTTGCCATCGGCAAACATGAGAATGCTTGCAGGACTCAACAGCAACAGCAGTCATACCTTGAAAGCCATCTGTCTCGTTCCCGATGAGACGTCTGCAAGGGTGTTGCTTCCATGCATCTTTCACCTACAGCACCCTCCTATCAATGATTTCCTCTTTCACTGTCCTCCTCCACTCCAAAACACGTTCGTCAAGCTTCACAACTTCGACTTCCTTCTCTTACTTTGTCGTCGAGTTCTCTTGCGATGCTGGGAGTCTCAGAGCGGAACACAGTCTTGCCAGAGTCATCAGTGACCTGAACATTCATCATTCAGGTTGAGAAGAATCTGCAAAGATGAAACTTGCTTCGCCATGCTTGTAGAAATCCTCTGCTCCATCGGCAGCAGTCACAAGATGAAGAACTCCGTCATACCTGCACGGATCAAAAAATCCATCTCACCGACAGAAACAAACTGACCAGAGCTATAAAGGTTTCTTATTATCATCAAAACTTGATGCAACCAACCTCGTCAGAAGCTTGTCGAGCGAAAGACCCGAGACTTGTAGCAAACGATTCCATTGCTCTGGCGGGAGATATGCAGAGATATCCAGGATGCCTCGGTCCATCACGATGACCGAAGTTCGACTGTGCATGGAGTTTCAGCCATGAGGAGCAAACTGTGTGATTCAGATTCACCCTGTGGTCTGTGCGATCTGGTAGAAGGAGTCTTCCATCTGAATCTGGAGGTCGATCAAGGCCTGCGAGTCCCAGCCGAGTCAAATCGCGCATGCTCGACTGTGAAGAGGCTACTTTCTCGAAGCGGATCAATTTTTCTCCTCCCTCTATTCCCGGATACTTGCACATACCCGTTAGCGGGTCATCATGGCAGAACTACAAGGAGGCGCATTGGTCTACCTTGCATCCTCCGGTCATCAGGATCGTCGGGACCTCAGGCACAGTGTAGATATCAATACTGTCAAGGAGGTCAGCGGATGAAACCTTCATCGTTCAATCTCGTGCCTGTGCTTCTCCAGGTGAGACCTGCCAACTCGCTTTAGCCCCGTCCCCGTTGCTCCTCCGGCCTCACCTTATCGCGTCCAGGCTCGAGCTCTTTCCCCCGCAAGGGCCACCCGTGAGAGCGACGCGGTAGATGGCGTTGCTGTTCCTCACGGACATACTCTGACAGCGCTGGGCTCTCACAGGCAGCAGCCTGAAGCTCCGAGCGAGGCCATGTAGCGTCCGTAGCGGCAACATCTCATCTCTTCCACTTTTTCCCTCATCCCATCTCAGCTCCGGGCCGGCCCGGGGCCTTCATCGCACTCACGGGCGGCAACAGGTCGAACTCTAACTCGTGGCCCGGGCCCGTGGGACGGTATCATTGATCCTTGTCGTTGGGTCTCTCCCAATGTTCCTCATCATCCTCATGCTCGCCTGTGCTGGTGACTTACACTGTGACTCGCTGCTGGTCCTAGCGGCTTGCGAGAAGAACATGCGACATGTTGACGAAAAGACCTGAGCTGGTCTGGAGTGAGCTGATCAGTGAAGAGGAGATCGCCTGCTTCATTCCTACCCGCGCGCATCGAAGCTTTGCTCACTCGCGCGGGTAGGAATGAAGCAGCTTCGATGCAATCGAAGCTTTCTTCTTCTCTACATAAAGAAGCTTCGATTGCATCGAAGCTTTCTTCTTTTGGTATGTCGAATTATTGATTTAGTCACTGTTTACTATCATGTAGAGAGGGAGAGAAAGGGCAGAAGGTTTGACCTTGAATGAACACTGATACTAATGATTACACTGAGAGTACATGGAATTGTGTGATACCAGAGGCTAGTCTTTGTCCCACAAGTCCTGAAGGAGGGCCCGCCCCTTCTTGGCCTTGGCTCCCTTCTGCAATCCACCCATGTCGAACAAAGAAGCAGTAGGAAGGGACGTGAGGTCACATGGAGCCTGAACCTCCGGAGGTGTTGGCTCCTTCACTGGCTCCTTTCCACGCTTGTCACTGCCGCCGTCTCTCCTCGCCTGCACGTCCGTCCTGAGCGAAGAAGGTCAGCTCAACTCGAGTCCTGCTGGCCGTGATTACCTTGACGGTGATACTCGCTTACTTTCGGGTTGAAGGAACTGACGGGCTTTCTCACCCAGAAAAGTCAAAATTCGATCTTTCAGGTTGGAAGTGCTGATCTGCAGAGAGACAAGTCAGGTAGGAGGAGCAGAGGGCAAGGGACGAGTTACCATATGAACCGACTTCAGGTCGAGGATGGTCGGCCATGTGTAGACAACGTCGAGCAGCTCTCTGCGCAGGGAGGTCAGCAACGGGGAGGACTGGAGTAGACGGACATACGTTCTGCGCATCTTCAATACTTCGGCTCGGCAAGGGAAGCCTGAGGGGTGATCAGATCGACAAGCATGCCAAAGAGCTCAAACCTTTGAGCTCCGGCAAGATAAATCCTGGGTCAGTATTCAGATGCTTCCTCAACAACTCGCGCTTGTGCCGGGTTTCTCCGTCCATTTCTTCATCACCTTCCACCTCCCCGACTGTCTCTGGGTTGAATTCTTTGCCTCCTCCCTGCCTCTTCGCGTCTGTAAAGCCCAGCAGTCTCTCTGCAACACTTTTCCTGCAAGCGGCTTCATTAACTTCCTCCCTGCCGGTCGTTCCGCTCTCAATTCCCCCACTCGCGTTCCGTTGATCTCCAGCGACATCGAGTGGAGGAGGAGGGTTCCGTGGCAGGTTTCTGCTAACCTCCTCCTTCTCCCCCCCATTGTCACTTCGGTTGGGTCGCTGAAATCCAGTCGGAGGATGCGGAGGTTGGACTTGACTGATAGCCTCACCCTCCGTCGGATCACACGAGCGATTGGAAGTCTTGGGAGGCTGGACACGCGATGGCAGAGAAGCAAGGAGCTGAGTCGAAAGCGCGATCAAATCATCGGAGGAAGCTCCTCCAATGCGCCCTCGTGGACGGGCGACTGGGTCTTCAGGTCTTGAGATCGTCTCAATGCTATTCCATGTCAACGGCTGTATCGTCCTAACACAGCAAGGAGGACCTGATGGGGGCTGTCGACGGATGAAAGCTTGCCTGGGTCTTGTTTGATCGGGAGATACTGACAAAGTATCAGTCTTTCTGCCTACTCCAACAGGGCAGATACAGATTCCTGCAGGCAGGGCACCTCACAATCCCTACAGCCTCAAGTTTACCTCTGCACTTGTTGCATGTCTGACCATTGCTGTGAGCGCGAGCTGAGCAGGAAAGGGTTCAAGTCATACCGTGTATCCACAAGAACAAAATGACGAGTTTTGATTATCAATCTTCTCTTCACAACACAACTGGCATGTTTGAGCGCCAGACGAGTGAGACTCTTCGCATTCCACTTGCTGTCGGTCGACTTGTTGTGTAGTCGTGTTGTCGACACGGAGCCCCGAGATGTCTTGGCGCTTGCGGAGAAGACGAAAAGCCTCATCAGCAGACAATGATGCTTCACTCCTTCCCGAACCAGTATTGTTCACGTATGTTTGCTCTCTCCCACCCTTGGATCCGAACTGCTGTCTAATAACATCCAAGAGGTTCTTGTGACGGGGAACTCTGCCAGCTTGTGAGTTCGTCCTGAAGAGCTAGCGAAGATACTCACTCTGTCGTTTCCCACAGATGCGGCAGCCTCACTCCCTCCTTGAGAGTCTCCTCTTCCTCCTCCTTGGGTTTGACTTGGTCTCTTTCTCTCTCCCGCGCCAACCTGGCAGCTTCTATCGACTTATATTGTTCCTCCCGTTGATCTCTGAGTGCCTTGTTGTCGTTTCATTCGGATTCTTCCTGTCACAAAACAACATGGTTCACCTGTCGATGACCTTCAAGGTCAGCCATGAGCGCATCAGTGTTCCCATTGCTGGGAAGAAATCTCAGTCAAAACCCTTGTTCCAAATCGACGACTCACTAGGCTTTCGACCGCTCTTCGAATTCTCGTGTCATTTCTTGAAACATCTCATTGCTTGAGGGATGTCAATAACTTCTGAAGAATGAAATGTCGGATGTTACATTGTAGTGTTCTCGATGTGTTTCACTTCTTTACGTCCTCTGTGAATTCGCGAATGACATTTCAAGGTCATCTGATTTCATTCTTGAGTTCATGGCCACAGTGTATGTCAACCGTCAATGCAACCTCTCTCAGCTTCGCCAAATGTTCATCTTTCAACCCCGTGATGCCAAGGCTTCTCTGCCTTTCAAACTTATCGACAATCTCTTGAACCCCTTTCTCCTTGTGCTGCCTGCAAAGTTTCAGTCTTGGCGGGCCGGTTGGCGTGGTTACCGGTAGAGCTTCTCTGCCTCGCCTGAAATGATCTGGCTTGGACTATATTTCTTTGTCCTCTTCAACACTCGTTTTCAAACCCAGCAAGTCTCACCGGAGTCACAAGATTTCTCAGGATCTTCTCTTCGCTGACGTAGCCAACCTGCAGGAAGACTCGTTCTCATGAGAAAGTCCCTAGCGCAGGACAACAATTCTTGCCTCCTTCTCCAACACATTCGCAGTCGGATTGAGCCTATGCCATAGCTCCGGGCTGAATGATGATATCACTTTAGAGTGACCCAGTAAGACAAGATAATTTACTTAGCAACGAAGGATTCTTCCAGCTGAGACATTCGCTCCGGTATCCTGTAAGAAACATGTCGGCCACAGCTCAAGGTGAGTGTCTGGCGTACATGAGCGTGTTGTATCTATCCGGGATGTTCACAGCTCTCCTCTTGACATCCTGCGATCTTTCCTGTGGCTGTCCGAACCCCATAAAAAAACGACTGGCAAAATTTCTGCAGCATGATACCTGCGACCAGCGTTTGTGTGTACGAGGGCGATTAACCGCTAGAGCACTGTTGTGAAACGTGGGCGAGCAGGCCAACAACAGCAAGGGAAAGAGGAGCTGCTTTGCGCTTGACGAACATCCTTTTCGTTTCGGAAGAGGGACCAACGGAAACATTTTCAATCAGGAGTTGTACCCGCAAGCAGAGCTCGTGCCGCGATCATGATCTCGATATACCTAGCGCTGTGTTGTTTTCTTGTCTTGGCGCTCTCGCGCATGCGTTCTCTTCTGCTTCCATCGCTCCCCTCTTGCCCCCACCATGAAGGCAACATGACCAGCTTCAATTATTACTCAAAATCTCTTTTATTGACTGAAAAAGAAGGACAAACCGTAGCGAACAAAGGAGGGGGAGGATAGAGCCAACAAACCCGCCTCAATAAAATACTAGGAAACGAAGGAGGCAGCGAAAAAATCAGCGACTTTGAACCAGCGGGCCCGGGCCTCACTGCGGCACCCGGGCCAGAAAAAAAAGTCAATCATCTAAACTTGTGACGTTTCACCTTGACAGTTCGGAGGAAGGGAATGCAGAGGAACTCGCGGGTGGAGTGAGGAGGGAGAGGGAGAGGGAGAGAGGGAGAGAGGGAGAGGATGCGGGAGAAGAGAGATGGAGGAGGGTAGTCTTGAAGGAGCAGAGAACGAGTGAGGAATCACTGCTGCCAGGATGTCTGCAGACTTTGTGTACGTGGACACTGATAAGAAGCGTGAAGAAGAGCCGAATCTCCTCTCGCTCTTCAACTTTGGCAATGGGAAGAGTGCTGAGAAAGCTGTGGTCAAGAAGCAGAGCAGCAAGAAGCTCGCTGAGCTGCCGCCGCCCGACATTGTGATCACATGTGTGGATGAATACGACCCTGTGTTCGTTGGCGAATATGTTCCAGAGGTGCAACGCAGGACAGAGACGCTGACGATAACATGGAACATGTCCTGGAGTGATGTGTTGGACCTGTTGAAGTTCACTTTCGGAAGGGCTGTCATTTTCCAGTACGAGATCAACAAGATTCCTCGGATCGTCACAGACGAGAACGACTTCGATCAGTTCTGCAACTATGCAGAAAGCCAGCACGAAGTGATTCAGGTGCGGATAGTGAGTGCGCTGTACAAGCCGTCGGAATGGATCTCAACACGTGCAGAGAGATTGCCTCCCATGCTGGACGTCATGACCAACACGGTCATTTCGCTGCCATTACCGGTGGCCGAGGCAGACGAGGCTACTACTGAAGACGTGCAAGAAGACGAGCTTCCGATGGAAAGTTATGTGGAAGAGACCAGCAGGTTTCCGAGTTTCTCGTTCTTTCAAAACCACCCGAAGAAGATCGAGCACCTGATGATCTTCGGGATGGGAGGCTTTCTGCTATGTTGCGCCGTCATTGTGATTTGCTACTGGAAGCACATTGACACCGTCGCAGCCACTACACTTGCTCTCCCCTTCAATCTTTTCTTCAGCGCCTTTCTTGTCCGTCAGATGGAGGAAGGGTTCTCCCCCATATTCAAGCTCGGGATCGCTTTCTTTGGCTTCTGGGCATCTTTGGCTGTAGTCATTCTGCTTTCCTTTGCCCACCAACTCACGCAGATCATTGGAGTCGCTCTGTGGACGATCTCGACCTTCTGGTACTTAGAAGTCATCACCGATGCCTTGGGATGGCCGGGATGGCTGACGGGGTTCGTCATGTTCAGCCGCTGGGTCAGAGGCGGCTGTGTAGTCTTCGCTGCTCCCATCCCCGAGCCAATCGAGCCCATCACCATCGTGGGGAAGGAGCCAGACTCGCAGGCGTTCAATGCCCGGGAGTTGATGCACTTGGCAGGGCTGGCGAGGGAAAGGCAGGAGAACGTGAAGTGGAAGAAACTCGACAAGTACCTGAAGGACCAGCAGGTTGTTCACGTCTGCCAATGCCTCAACACCCTCTCCCACAAGTCCATGTGGGAGGGGGCGATGGGCAACCCGGTGGGCCCGCTCGGCCTCGGGATCATTGACAAGAAGTGGGCCCGTCAGCTGCTGAAGTGGCTGACCCGAAAGGGCAATTTCAGTCATGCGATGATGGAGAGGAAATCAAAACTTGGGATAGGAAAAGTCCTCACTGTGTTTGGGGGAGAGAGCGCAGGGATAATCGAGGTTCAGTGGGAGAATGAGACCAACCAGGTGTTCGCTGGAAAGAAAGGAGTCTACGAGGTGCTGCTGTATGAGGTCCCTGAGGTGGAGGAGTACAAGTTTTCCGACGGGGTGGATATGAACGTGAATTCCAGATTCATCTTCAAGTTCTTCACTTTTGTTCGGTTGTTCCTTCCAAAGTTTCTCGGCTGGGTTCTTGTCTGGGCCATCTTCTTTGGCTACTATGGAATGCTCTACGTCTTCGAATATTCCATCACGAGTTATTCTGTCTACCAAGCCATGGGCAGCAGTTATGCCATGCCGGGCAGATTGTACAGCGCTGCTCCCGGAAACAAGCTTTGGCTGCACATTCATTGTAAAGGGTTCACAAAGAGCAACGGCAGCATTCCAGACAAACGCAACGTGGTCAGTCGCCTGCTCCAGAAGCGTCTAAGGCAAGGAGCGGATCTGACTTTGACTGCAGGTTGTCATCGAGTCAATGGAGCACCTGGGGATGAGCGTGGCTATGGCTCGACTGCAGGATGCGATCGCCCAGTACGGGGTAAGAGAGACGCTTCTTCCTCTTGCCGCGACCTGCGAGTGACTGTTGCTATCTTCAGATCTGTTGTGTCTATGACAGGATCGGATATGGTTGGAGCACCAGCGTCGAGACTTACCAGGAAACTCGGACAAACAGGACGCCGTCTGTCATCGCCTCGGAGCTTCATTATGCTCTCCGCTACGGTCTCGACCCAGACTTCAAACGCCCTCTCTTTTACTACAGGAACGTCGTCGACCAGCAGAACCGGACCATTCAGATCGAGTCTCCCATCAACCCCCCCTACCTCCTCCTCGGTTACGGAGCTGGCGGGCTGTACGTTCGGCAGTTTGCGCACGACTATCCTGAAGACACGGCTGGACTATTGCTGGTCGATGCACTTCCAGCCATAGGCAACGACAAGAACGTGACGTCATCGGTGCAGGGATACCTGAGCTCGTTCGAGCTCTTCATGTGTCAACGCTTCTTGCAGCCCATCGGACTCGTCTACAACTTCCTGCCTTCCTACGTGACGGGGATCTTCCGGCAGCAGACTTCGGAGCGGCTCAACGGCAATGCCGGCGGCCCGAACGACTATGACGTCATGATCAACTTTATGTACAGCAGGTCATGGTGCCCAATTGTAATCGCCGAGTATGATGGAATCTTCAAGCTTGAAGGGATCAAGACGGTAGCAGAAGCGGACAGGAAGGGGTATGACGTCCCTACCGTCGTCTGGGCTAGGGAGGACGATTCTATCCTAAACATCAAGTCGACCGACAAGATCTACGACTACAACATCTCAAAGCTCCCCGCCAGTAGCCTGAGGAGGAGCGCGACTAACGCAACGTCCTCCACGTCCTTGTGCACGGGAGAAGACTGCGTGTCCTGGTTCGACGTGCAAGCAGACCTGGTGAGGTTGAGCACGAAGCCTTGGATCAACCCCTTCAACGGCAAAGTTCAGATCATGCGAGGAGACGTGCAAAGCTGTGCGACACTCGGCTGCTCCACGTTCACTCCGATAGAGAACCCGAATGAGATCACAGATGCTGTCCTCGACCTCTGGCTCATGCTCGGATTCTCCGACAAGTTTCCCTCTGCCCTCTGGTACTTCGAGCTTGGTGGGAACTATCTTGTTGAGTTCGATGCCGCAACCTTCCGGTCTGACTTGTCTGCGCTCGTCTCGCACGTCGAGGCTAAGAACATCGAGATTGTTGAAGGACCCACGGAGGGTCTCGCAAGCGACGCCTTCTGGAGCAGCATCACCACGCGCAGGTCGGGGAAGGAAGAGCATCGAAGCTCGTCCAAGCATCTGGACTCTATCGGCCGGCACTCGCAGCAGCAGCAGCAGGCCAGTCGGCTGCGAAGCACGCTCAACTGGTACTCCGGCCTCGACACGCCCTACGTGCCGATCCGCAACGACGGGGCTTATCGAGTCACCATCATTATGTACGGGCACAAGCCCAGAGCCACAGGGTGGGCGGAGGACATCTTGCGAGGGTCAGAGAACAGGAACCTCGACACGACGGCGACGGCGAGGCGAGGAGTGTTCATGAAGAAGTGGAGAGTTCTGTCGATCCACGAGAAGTCCTGCAGCGTGAACGTGATCACCAACAATAGGACTTGCTCGTTCAGTGCCGTAGACCTCTTCACCAGCCTCTACGTCTCCCCGCTCTACTCTTGCCCGCAGAACACTTACCGTCAAGACAAGTCCTGCAAGACTTGCGACTTGAGCTCGACGAGCGCGACGGGCTCAACTTCAGTGTCGGACTGCAAGGCCTGCGAGCCTTACTTCCACCTCAGCTGTGACGGCAGGAGCTGCGAGCGCTGCCCCCTCAACACCATCAGCAACGTCGGGGCCCTCTCGCTGGCAGAGTGCGTGCCGACGAGTCTGTGGAGCATTAAGATGGACGGGCCGATCGATCCTCTTGCTCTCCTTCAGCCCGCGTATCCTCAGGCTTCCAGCAGGTCGGCCTTCAACTCCAGCAGCTTCCTGCTCCACATCTCCAACATCAGCGGGATCCCCTTGAAACTCATCGCCTTGGAAAGCGTCAGCTACGTCGACAGCTTCACCGCCTCGAGATTCCAGCAGGGACGCGGGCCCAGCATCTTCCAGGTTCGCTTCGCTTTCCTCTCTCAGGACAAGTCCACCTCGGAAGCGGCGAAAGCTGCTCTACTCGGCCTCGAATGCCCCTCGCCTGCTGCTGGCTGTGCGCTGGTGGACTACAACAGCACAAGGAGGTCGCTAAGGGACAAACTCTTTGCTGAGTTCCCCGTTGTCAGGTAATGATTCTTCTCCCCTCCTCTGCTCTGCTCTGCTGTGCCCTCCTCTCCTCTTTTGTTCGACTCCTCGCCGCCCTTGCGCTCTCCTTCCTTCTCCTCCTTCCATGCTACTCTTCTTCCCGTCCCTCTTCATACCCTGACGGCTCTCCGATGCTGCAGCGTCAAGGCCACCGAAGTCGCCGGGAGGCTGGAAGGCTCTTGTCCGAACCAGCAGTTCGTGCAGACGAGCTACCAGGACATCTTCGCAAACGTCTTCTCCTCCACCTACCTCAGCACCAACTTCCGATGCCCCTCCTCTTACTACCGCAGTGGCCCCGAGTGCCTGAGCTGCCCTGACATGAGCTCCAGCGACGCCGGGGCGAGCAAGGTGGAGGACTGCCGGGGGTTCCTTACCATGGTGTTCGCCATGAAGGACGCGAGCGTCACCTTCAACGGTCGCACTCGCTCGCTGGAGTTCGGGGGCATGCAGGACGCACAGCCGTACGCCTTGAGCCTCATGAACTACACGGGACTGGCTCAGTCGGCTCCTCTCTTCATCAAGACTCGAGGGTATGCCCTGCACCCCTACCAGTACATCAACCCCTCCTTCCCTTCCCTCGGCCTCCAGACCATCCGATGCCAGGAGGGATCCAACTGCTTCAACGCATCGCAAGTGAGCGCATTCTCCTCCTCCTCCTCCTCCTCCTCCTCCTCCTCCTCCTCCTCCTCCTCCTCCCTCTGCTGTGTTCCTTCCCTTTATCCTTCGCTTCTTCCTTCTGCTATTCGAACTATCTTGAGCTCCGATACCCCACTTTCGTCCTCTTCCTCTTCTGGTGTAGTTGACTTGCTCTCCTAGTTCCGTATGGATGTCAGCTCGGCAGTCAACGGGCTCGTGGACGCCAACAGGATTCGCCTGCTGCCTCCCAGCAACTGCGACCTCCTCCCCTCCGGTGTCGTTGACCCGCTCTGCGGGCCTTGGCCAGGCATCGCACGGAACGACCGACTGGGCGAGTGTGTCTGTGCGGGAGATCTCTGCTACATGACCTTGGGAGCGCCGTGGGTAAGCGAAGACCTCGGGTACAGGAAAGTTCTGAGTCAGGTGAGTGAGGATAATCAGACCCCTCCCTCCTCTCCCTTCCTTCTCTCCCTCCCTCCTCTCCCTCCTTTCCCTTCCTCCTCTCCCTCCCTCCTCTCCCTCCTTTCCCTTCCTCCTCTCCCTCCCTCCTCTCCCTCCTTTCCCTTCCTTCTCTCCCTCCCTCCTCGCCCTCTCTCCCTCCTTCCCTTCCGCCCTCCCTGATTATCTGTCTCGCTCGCTATCTTCACTCTTCTTGCTTGCATATGTCTCACCCTCTCCTCCATCATGATGTCCTCCCTGCAGGCTACCAAGGCAGCCAACGCAGCAGACTGTGCGAGGTTGTGCTCGGATGCCCCTGCCGACTGCAACGGCTTCCTCTACTCGCCCTCCTCCTGGGTCTGCGACCTTCGTTATTTCCTCTCCCTTCCTTCTCTCGGAAACTTCTGCCCCAGCAGCTCCCCAGCATGTATCAGTTTGATCCAGTCCAAGTACATCGACCTGACGGTCCCCTTCCCCTCCCTTGCGGGCCTCCAGATCTACTGGAAGCCAGCTGACCCCCAGCTCTGCTCTATCGTCACCCAGAAGTCTCGAGCCTGCAGCAACTCCTCGGCCCTGCCCAACAGAGTCTTCGACGTCGCCGTCGATCCGCTGGTGGGAGGAGCAGGAGGGACGGGCCTGCGCAGCCCGTTGGACACCTTCCACGTCATCGTTCGCTTCCATGCTGCGACCGCAACGCTGCTTGGGAAGGTGCAGGATATTCTGCAGGCGCGGGGGGTCCAGTCGTCGTATGCTCAGCCCTCGGGTCTCAACGACTTCCTCCGCAAGTATCAGGTCGTTCAGGTGTACACGTCCGACCAGAAGGCTCTCCTGGGCGGCAAGTCGGCAGAAGGAAGTTTGCTGGGCTCGCGCTACATCGACTGCATCGGCAAGACGTGCGGGCCCGTTACCCTCAGCTCCTCCGCATGGTGCAACGACACAGTCGCACCGCTCAACAAGACAAGGTGCGGGGGCGACGCGACTGTGAAGCCTGTCTGCAAGCAGATATGGGAGGCAAACAAGTGGATATCCGTCGTCATCTGCCCCAACGGCCTTCCCCCCACCTGCCAGGTCTCCGGCTCCCCCGTTTGCTCTGCCGCCAACCTCTTCGACGGGAACGCCTCGACCTTCTGGCCGGCCTACAAGAGCGATGGGGTCGTGACTGACTTCGTCACCGTCACCTTCACCAAGCCGGGAGGAAGCGTCACCTTCGTGGAGCTCACCAGGGTTGACCTGCAGGAGCGGCAGGAGGTGGCGACGGGGCTGGCGGACTCGTTCAGCGAGTTGGAGCTTGACTTCAGTGACGGGAGCTCGCAGAAGGTTCAGTTGGCCGGGTACGGCACAGGCACGGGGGTCACGGCAGCCGTGCAGACGTTCTACCTGCGACCAGTCGTGACTTCCTCCGTCACCATCCGCGTCTCTCCTCTCTCCTACCTTGAGAGCGTCAGGAACCCCCAGAGGCGCCTCGGGCTCGCCTCAGCTGACTTCTTCGGCCAGCCGTTTGACACCGTCCGCAACGTGACGGCCGTTGACTTCCTGCGGTCGACCTACTCCTCCGCCAAGTGCCCTCCCAACACCTTCAGCGACTCCTCCCTCAAGTTCTGCCAGCTCTGCCCCTTCCCCCTCGTCAGCCCTGCTGGCTCCTCCTCCCTCTCCAACTGCTCCTGCCCGGCATGCAGCGACGGTCGAGTCCACTGGCAGGCAGACGAGAAGTGCGACGACGGCAATCAGATCGATGGCGATGGCTGCGACCACAACTGCCTCATCGAGCCTCTCCACATCTGCTTCGGCCCTCTCACCGCCACCAAGTTCGGCAACCCGATCGCCTCCTACTCGACACCGGACAAGTGCATCAGGATCGGGTCTGAGTGGACCAACTTCGGCGAGGCCGCATGGCCAGCGAGGTTCGGCGCTGCTGCCGTCTTCCACTCCAACGCTCTCCGACTGACAGGAGGGATGGGCTCGCAGCTCCAGACTGAGTTCGGCACCACCTACTACGAGTACACCGACGGCACCCTGTGCACAGTGCAGGAGCCATCGGACTCTTGCGCGCTCCCGAGGGGGTCGAGCTACCTTTCGTGGTCCCTTGCTCCTTTCGCTCCCGCCGATCCCTCTACCACCTGGTCCCCCCGCGCCTTCCACGGCCTCGTCTCCTTCAAAGGCTTCATGTGGCTGTCCGGGGGCATCTTCCGCACACAGGGGCAGAGCGGGTGGGTGGAGGGAGGCTCCTTCAACGACGTTTGGAAGAGTCTTGGCTCCGCTGAGACCCAAGGCAGCGCGTCCGTCGTGCCATGGCTGCTGGTGACGTCAGGGGCCAGCTGGGTGGCTCGTGGAAGACATGTCTCCCTCGTGTTTGCGGGGTCCATGTGGATCCTGGGAGGAGAGCGGAGGGATCGGAGCAGCACGGCAGGTGGGGGCGTATTGAACTATCAGACAGAGTACCGCAACGACGTGTGGAGGTCGCAGGACGGTGCCCAGTGGTTGCTGGTCACACAGAACCCGAGCTGGAACGCTCGTTCGGGCCACACAGCGGCAGTGCATGAGGGGAGCAACCAGATCTTTCTGATGGGGGGACGAGACGCCACCCGGTACTACAACGACATCTGGAGGAGCGCCGACGGCAAGACCTGGACCATGGTGACTGGGTCGGCGCTGTGGAGTGCAAGATGGTTGCACGCCAGCGTCTTCTTCGAGGACAGTCTGTGGGTCATCGGTGGTCACTTCTGCCTCACTTCCTCCAGCCAGCCCTGCACGACGGAGACTGCTGGAACTTTCTACAACGACGTGTACCTGAGTGCTGATGGAACCAAGTGGCTCGTCTCCACGTCCTCAGCAGGTCGACATTTGCCTGCCCTCCTCGTTCTTCTCTTTGACTTTTCTCTCCCGCAGGTTGGAAGGCTCGGGCTGGACATTCCGCTGTGGTCTTTGTGGGGCCAGTGCAGTCGGACCTATGGATTATAGGGGGTTACTACGGCTTTCAACAGGCTCTCAACGACACATGGCGAGCTTTCAAGTTCTGAAGCCTTCTCGCTTGTACAGTAAAATCGTGTGATGTTCATTCGCATGTCTCGTAAAGCCTTCCAAGCGAAGGCTGCATCGCTCTCTATGTGCTCGATTACCAGCTGAGAGAGAATCTTTCGGCCGTCTTCTGAGCCTCGATCAAGTCTTTGTGCGCCTTTCGCCTGTATTGGCAGTCACTCAGAGGAATGCAGATGTGCTAGTTCGTAGTCCACCTTCGGTAGAAGATGGGGCAATCCCTTGACGTACAGATGACTTCCATGTGTAGAGATCCCTGGGGCGCAAGCGAATCTTCAGCCAAGATTTGGGGATCGACAGATGATTCTACCTGACACCGCTGGCACTGAGTCCATAACTTGGCGAACTGAGTTTGCATGTGGTTCAAGTTGTCAATGCTGCGTCTGCAAATATCCGCCTGGAGGATGACTCAGCATCAGAACAGTCACACGGCAACCTTGAACAACACCTCTTTGGGCTTGCAGTGTTCACAAACGGTAGCTCGCTCATCTTTCAACGGAGTGCGGCAGCCCAAGCAGGTCTTGGTGGCTTTGACGAATTTCATCAAGCCACCGGTCGTAGGGGTGGACAAAGATATCTGCATCGAGAATCAATCGAAAGCCAATTGAAGTCGTCGTCAAATTTGCCTGGCGAGTGTGGTCTCCAGAAAGCAAAGACTGAGGTTTATCCTACAAAATGCTGAGATCACGGAAAACAATCTATACGTCACTCACCAGGATAGGTTCGAATAAACGCAGGATGGGCTGTGAAAGCTGGTGGTCTAGGTAATGCTGAGGAGGCGTCAGAGAAGAAGATTCTGGGTAAACTGAAAAAAAAACCTGCACATCTATAGGCAAATTGTTCTCCAGTACAAAGATAGGATCTTCAGCCTTTTCAAAGGCCTGGGAGGATTTTCAGAAATCTTCACACCAGCTTCCTGTCGCAAGTACCTTCGCTCCTTTCGGACCTTTGATAATTACATAGGGCACACGGTCGCCGAGCACAGGAGCAGTGTTTGGATCTCGCTCCTTCATCCTGTATACAACCAAGGATCACAGAAAAATCTTTCATGATTGAAGCTCACCTGGCAGCTAAGACGACGTGTGCTTGCGCGCTCTTTGAGTCTTCTTCAGACTTGTGTAGAGCCTTGGTGATGATCAACTCGCTACACGCACAACAAAAGTCAGTGGGTATGGAATGCTATTTCATCCTTCACCTGATATCAACTTTGTTCATCAGAAGATCACGAATCACACCCTTCACGTATTCCGCAGCTGCATTCGGATCTCGTTGCATCAAAATTGTTTTTAAGCAGGTGTCCACCATGGTTCGGACAAGACCACAATTGTCTCTCCTCACAGTTTCAATTCCTTGTCATCAATCAGTACCGTCAAATCGTTATCCAGATTTGTTTCACCTTTGCAATCCATCTTATCGAACTTGTCCGGATTCGTCCAAAGAAGAGCAGCATATCGCTTCTTGTTCATCAACAAATACGGATAGTAAACCTGTCACGAAATTGTAAGATGTCACGAAAGACAATAAAATCGTAGGACCTTTTCGAATTCTAGCTTAATCGGTTTTACAAAAGATGTATTGACAAAATCTGCGGCGGACAGGGCAAGCTTCATAGTCTCGTCAATCATCCATCTTTCACGATTTTCCTATCAAACGAGGACGATCAAAGACTTACATAACAACAAACCTGTTTTCCAAACCTCTTCCTCTGGAGCATCATCCATCGTGACACCGAACTTGATCATTACGGAGTCCGTATCACCATACACAACGACGCTGTCATGCTTGTATCCATTGGCAACGGTATAATGTGCCTCCACCTGTTTCTAACGGTGAATACTACAGCCAAGATCAGCAATGCTCTGCGCACTTTTGCTTTTGTAAGTTCAATCATTTCACGTCCGAACGCTGTGACGCTGGAAGAGATTTCCAGACAAGGCAGTTTACCCACTTGCGCTCCTGATGTTTTGTTCAGTCCAAAATCATTCAGCCGTGCTTAAGACAAGACGAACCCGTGAAGCCATAAACGGAGTTCGCACTGACTTTGAGCGCAAGCTGCCGTCCGTCAAGAACAGCCTTCATGATCGGATCCGTGGCTTTCTTCAAATCAGCCTTCGCTCTGTGACCATGTCAGTCTCTTGTAAGGGATCCCGTAGTTTGATTACCGCTTTCGGGCGGCCAAAAGCTCATCCAAAATCTCAGGAAGAATGCCTGAATTCCAGAAATCAATTTCTTTTATGGGAGACGCAAAATTGCTAACCTTTCTTTACGCTTGGCTTGACAAAGGTGTCACCATGTGGAGTGACAGTAATTTGTTCCGGCGTAAAATTAAATTTGTTCGTTCGCAAGTCTTCTTTGCTGAAACATTTATGTTGGAAACGTGGCAGATTATAGGTGAGGTGATTTACCTGACAAGAGTAGAATAACAAAGGTTATGTGCCATCATGATAGAGGGGTAAAGCGAAGCAAAGTCCAAAGTTGCAATAGGATCACTAAACCAACGTCAAAACTGAACAAATATATCACATCCTTACCTGTAGAAGCCTTTCTTGGGTTCAATAACAATGGCACCTTCAAACTTCTCGTCGGTGGATTCTACCTTCAAATTTGGCAGCAGTAGGCCCTTGGAACGGGCCTGTGTTACGAAATCCACATTACTTGCCTCAAGATTGGTGAGAGCATCTAATGAGTACCTTGCGCAGTAGCTGAGACATAACTTTGAGCATCTGTCCGCGAACAAGGAGCCAACCAATGGGCACTCCTGAAAAGTTTGAGGCATTAGAATCCTCTAACAGTGTTTGTCGTGTCGGCTGACCTGTCACTCTCGCCATTTCAACGTAGTTGTAAATGAACATCAATTTGTCCAAGAGACGCTGCATAGCAGTCGAATGAGCTGGACGCAGATTTCAAACAAAGACATGTAGGACCTGAGGAAGATATGCATCCTTCAGACAGTATACTGCAAGGCGACGGCGCGATTCAGCATCTCCATTCTGCAAATCTGAGATGATTGAATGATGAACGTCTTCCTTTTGCTCTCCAAGAAACTTGGCACAAACTGTATGATCTTCAATAGGACTCATTAAAGGTCTCCTGATAGTACCTGAATTCAAAGTGTATGAATGTAACTTGTACTCGCGTTGAATTGCCTGTTAAGTGCTCACAAAACATACAAGTCAGGAAATAGCATGAATACCTGGAGGACATCAAAGATAACCCTTCCATCAATTGATATTTCATTTGTCTCCCTTGTTCCCATCTTGCTCTAAGTGTGAGATGGCGATGCATAAACTGAATCAATGAACCTGAGCTGAAGAAAAGGTTGTCTTTTTGATCTTGGTTTTGCTATTTTTCATTCTGCCCAAAACGGGAAATGAAGCGACCTTCGCACAGCCATTACTTCAATCAGGTCTATCAAAAATGCACGTTACCTTCAGCGCTTTCGCTCTGTCCATGAGGTATGGAATATCGAAGCCCACAATGTTGTATCCAGTCAATATGTCTGGATCACAAGCGATGACAAAGTCCCTCCAGCCTTGGAGCATTTCGCTTTCATCCTGATCAACATCGTTAATCCTAGAATGAAATAGACAACATTTATGATTATACCTCGAATGAGTGCACTTCTGCACCGCTTATCGCAGCGCAAGATTTCAGAGTGAAAATATTTTTGACAATAGGTGTATCCATCCCTTGGATAGTAACCCAGTTCGCAATCTATTTGAACCGCTCGAGCGTGACTAACTCGTTAACAAGATTCTCAGGACGCTTACCTGGATGACAGGGTCCTTGTCAGGTTCTGGAAAGCAGCCCTTTCTTCCAGCACACTCAATATCAAAACTCAAAATTCTGAGTGGAGCAATCTACGTGATCCAGTCAAACTTTCAATACAGGTCAATGCTTAGCTACCTTCAACCAATCTCCATCTGGATCGTGACTGATCAATTTTTGCCACATGACATCCATTTCAAATTGACATGTCGTGTTTGGATTCGACCTTTCAAAAGCATATCAGTCGGCAAGTTCATACAGGTTTTTTGATGTACCTCGTTAGGTACTGGTTTGCTGGGAGGGTAATCCAGTTTGCACCCACGATCCCAGCATCTACCATGTAGCGCATGACAAAAACGACATTGGATTCGTAAGTCAAGAAAGTGCGAGTCCCTAGATTAGATATTTGAATTCCCTGGAAACAAGAATGTTAATTTTAATTTCAAAAGACAATGCACTTCGGTTGCACACATTTTCCAATATTGAACGAGCTGTAGTGACATGCTGTGGCCATACAGTTGAAATCTTCAAAAATTTGACCTACGAAAAAGATAATCAGTACTAGAGTGGGAAATTGTTGAGGTCTTACAAAGTCCTCTTGTCGATAATTCCAGATTGTTTGCTTGTATTCCATCTCAACGTACCGAATGTATTGACCATTACTTGTCTTCTTCGAGGAATCAACACGTTCCGCCATTCTTCGGTTCAAAGTTTCAGCAATCTCTTGACAGATATTTTCGTTGATTTCCTTTGGAGCCTGCATTCGTCATCAATTTTGAGATATGCGGCAGCTAGAAAAAAGCACCTGAACATAGAAGTATGGATCATAGCCGTGGACATGTACAACAGCACTGTGCCCTTCGGCCGTGACACCATACAAACGCATGATAGGAAGCTGTCCTCCATATCTTTGATTGCTCAAGTGTCACGATCTCAAAGTCTAAAGGACATTTTCTTACTGAGGGTATTGAATGCCCTGTTTTTGAGCAAACTCCTGCATATCTTGCCTAGGTGCCTGCACCAATTGTTAAACACGACTTTCGTCATGGATTGTGCTGAATACCTGCACGTAGTAATCCGTGTCGATTTGTTGCATCGAGAAATCACGTGCATTGGTGAATTCTTGCTCAGGCGCCTTTCTACACCAACGTTTCTTGGAAGCCTCGGGAATGCACAAGGTATCCTGATATCTAATCAGAGCATTGAAGCAAAATCTCATAACTTTACATCTTGAACATCCATGGCATCGTGGTAGATCTCTTCATCTGCATCCCAATCTTCGTCCTCTGGAAGCACATCTGGGGGATCATCGTCGTTGTCGAGATTTCTTGGACGTTTGTCGTCGAGGAACGGTCGCCCTTCGGAAGGCGCCTGTCTCTTCATCTGATCTGGCCGATCGAGGGTCAGGAAGGGCCAGACAGAGGAATCATCAGCATGCAGATGAAACTTCGTCATCAAAAGCATCATGCACAGAGAGTCACAGACAAGCGGTTGAATGCATCCATATACGAAAGGACATTAGCCAATGTAGCCGAAGCCATTCCAGTTAGTTTGTGAGAGGTAATACCATACACTTGATGGGAGCATGCAAAGGAGTCATATGTTTCAAGAAGTCAGAAAGGATGATGGGTCGAAGAGGGGAGAATCGAATCAGACGAGGGCAAGAGAAGAGCCTGGTGGAAGCAAGACAGGTGACGATACAAGAGAAAGATGTTGGAGTGGATAAGCAGAAAGCGAGAGCATCCTGCATTGAATGTGTGGGAAGGGAGCAGAGGGAAGAAATAAAGAAGGAGAACGAGGATGAAGTCGGGGAGGAGCAGAATCAGACGAGGGCTGGAGCATGTTGCGAGAAAAGTTTGCGGCATCGCCATCGCCACTGGCTGGAATTGGCGGGAACGATGTCATAGAGGCAGGTATCCGAAATTGTATCCGTGAAAACGTATCCGTGAAAAAAGGATCCGTTAAAGTATCCGTACAAGTATCCGGAATCTCGGACTAGCGGGGTGCAATGGTAGGACTCCATAGTTGCCTTCGCTGCTACTCGTCGGCCTCGTTCATGCTCGCCCGCCTCTCTTCGCTCCTCTTTGTCGTCTGCTCAGATCCGATCCAGCCGTCAGTGCATGACGGCACCCGTCGCGCTGCCATCACAGCCGATGCTGTTGCACCTTGCTCTTTGTACCTCCGAGGAGGCTCGCAGGTCGTACTTCCTCCCGCAGGGCCTCCAGCCCAAGCAGGAGAGGTCCGCAAGTGTGCTCAATGCGGGTCAACTCAGTTTGAAATCACTCTAGACTACTGCAGGATCACAGAATTGCACTTCTGTCATGCCAAGCCGTGCAGAAAGAACCATTGGAAGAACAACAAAAGCTTCTGGCGCGAACGAGCGCAATCTACGAAGAAGACAGTGAATCTCAACGGAGTTCCTCTGCCTGTTGAGAGCACATACACACGACTGGGCAGGAAACGTGATGATGACATCTTCCCTGATGACAGTGATCGATCCTCTCCGCAACCTGAAAGAGAGTTCGGGCAACCTTTTCCGACTGTCGACAGGTTCCGGCACACATGGGATGAGGATTATGAGGGGATAAACAGAATCTTGTGGGATGCAGCAGCTGACGACAACGTTGAACTGATGAAAAGTGCGATTGAGGATGGAGCTTGTATGAATGCAGGAAATCCGACCGATTTTTACAGATGGAATTCACTACACAGGTATGGCTGTTGCGTGCACTGAGGGTGAGATCAAAGGGACCACTGGGAAGCATGGAGAAGTCACTGGGAAGCATGGGGAAGGGGAGGGAGGAGGTTCTGACACGTGTCTCTCTTTTGTGTGTTGATAGTTTATGTGTTCTGATTGACTTGCCTTGGCAGAGCAAGTTACAAAGGTTGTTTTGCTGCTGTCCGATTTTTAGTGGAGCAGGGCGCAGATTTGCATGCGAGAGATAGTTGGAACAAGACTGCGCTACATCTAGCAGCTGAGCTAGGTCATTATGACATTTGTGACTACCTTATTCGGAGTGGTGCTGGTAAGAAATTTGCTTCAAACATTCTGATGTGGCAGTGATATTGACTGTTTCCGAAGATGTCAATGCCACGAACAAGAACAATCAAACTGCTCTCCACTATGCAGCTCGTGAGGGACATCCAAGGTAAACTTTGACACTTTCTTTACAGCACGGGGCCTTGAAATTTTCTTGTGACTCCTTGTTGGGTTTCAGTGTTGTTGTGTTGCTTCTGAAAGCAGGGTGCAACCCCAATGTAGAAGACATACAGCCTTGGGGCAAAGGAGGTATTGCATGCTTCAGCCAAAGAGAACCCTATTCAATGTTTGTCAGGGTTGTCTGCCTTGGACTATGCGATGGAGGGTCGATTTGATGACGTGATATCGGTAGATCTTGACACTTTTGCAAGCTTGCGTTGAAGGTCATTTTAGATCTTGGAACCAGTCACAGAATGGTGCACAAATCATACAGGTAGAATATTTACGATTCTTGCAATGCATAACTCTGCAATGCAGGGAAGCTTCGTGAAACACGAGCCAATATCAAATCAGTCTTCTTCAGTCGAGATGAGGTTCTTGGACTTGAAATTGAATATTCATCCACATGAATGTTCATTTCCTCACAGGAATATTTCGCTGATGAAGAATGGAATATGGAAGATGCTGCTCTCTACGAAGAATTGAAGCCATTCTCATTTCAGTAAGGGCGAGTCGGCACTGAATCCTGTCAGAGCCCCCGGCTATGGATACCGGTGGACAATGTCGGAGGCCAACTTTCCGCCGCCTGTTGGTACATGCGGGCAACCGCTCTTAGGCTAGTCCCTTGCACTGCCGGCTGAGCTTTCCGCCATGGCTTTTGAATGAACGGCTGCCCACTCCTTCAATCCTGTCTGACTGAAAAGTCATTCGCGCCCTCAAAGTCCTTCTCTTCAGCGATTCGCCGCGCCGCGCCACGGGCTGAGCCCGGCGCCCGGCTGATCTCCCCGGGCAGCCAGTCCGTGTGGTCGAGCGATTGTCGGCGTGTCCTGCTGCCAGGGCTGGACCGGAGTCTCGAGGAGCGTGGCGATGGGGAGACTGTCGATACTTGCCGCCTCTCAGCTCTGGACCTCGTTTCTCCGGAGGAGTGAGAACGTATACTTCGCTCATGACATGAATCAGGTTCTTATAGTAAGAAGAACTAGCGCGAATAATGAAACACATTGGTAGATTGGAATTGGAACATTGTTGGACCGCCAGCGAATAAAATTCAGTGATATAATCGTCGAGAGATTTGCCTCCCTGAATGCAGGAGCGAAATCTCAGGACAAGAGATTTTTCGCTTTGGCCAATGTACGGCTGAAGAACATCTTTCATCATCGCACAAAATGGTCAAAACGAAATGTCTGTTGGAGATTTCCATTGATTCCCGGATGAGTAGAGGGATGTCTCTGAAGATGATTTTTCAAAACCTGAAGTTTGAGACGTTCGTCGAAAATACCCTGAAGCTGAAAGTCATTCTCAGCATGGATTTGCCAATCGGAAAACGAGGCTCGAGATAACGATGTAGGCAGAGGCGGGACCGTCGCTCTGTGAACGAGAGCAGGAGCAGGTCGCAGTCCAGAGCAATTAGGCTTCGAAAAATAAGTGTATGCAGAAAGTAGGAAGAAAATGCACGCCAAGATGTTGAGTTCCCAAGGAATAGCAAGATGGATCAGACAATTGAAGAGGACGAAGAGAAGCTGGCAAGAAGCGAAGGGAGAGAGGAGAGGAGAGGAGAGGAGAGGAGAGGAGGGGACAAAATCGTAGCGGAGGGGATCAGGGAGGGGATCGTCACTTTCCTCATTGGGAATCTGAACCCGGCGACGGGCCTCGGACGTCTTTTCTCCGCTGGACACTCACTGAGGTCAATTGTGAAACCGCGATCCTGGAAGGACCACCCCACCTTTTTGAGGCTGATTCTTGCAGAAGTGCGTGGGTAGTCAACATGTTTGCACGGGTACCCCCTTATTCCCCTGAACGGAAGTCTGCGAGTCAGGGGTGGTCAGGGGTAGTGAAGGGTCACGACGTCGCTTCAGAATGGTAATGCCGATCCTAGTACGTTTGAGGGAGAGAAAGATGGGGGCGAGAGAGGAGGGAGAGGAGAAGGCGGAATAAGTTCGCAGAGGGAGGTACAGATGGACTAGTAGTGTTGTGGGGAGCGGGAGGTACAGATGGACTAGTAGTGTTGTGGGGAGTGGGAGGTACAGATGGACTATTAGTGTTGTGGGGAGTGGGAGGTACAGATGGACTATTAGTGTTGTGGGGAGTGGGAGGTACAGATGGAGAAGGTGTTGAAGTTGAAGCAGAGTATAACGGGACATGCGTGTGTCTTAGATTGGCACAAGATCAGGGTGCAAGTGAGAGTGAATCAATATGAATGGCTGTAGAACCAAATGCTGCCATCATTCTAGAAGTTTACGTCTCGCATGCTGACTATGATTTCACAGTTTGTTAAGCTCATTGTTGATCGTGCTGTTGGCCACAATGGCTTCAACTTCAACGCTGCCTCCAACGTGATCTTTCTTCGATTTCCTTTTGACTGCTCTGAGCTCCTCAACAGGACGAGTGCTTCAAGTTGAACCAGGTTGGCCTCTGGGGTGCCGAGACTGGCGATGTGATGGGCAATGGCGAGGTGATTTCAGTCATAAGATAGGGTAGATTTTCGCTGACAAGTTTGCAGTCCTATGATGGTGATGGTGTTGGCACCAACACCTCTGCTGAGGAGAACCATCCGTAAGTAACCCTTGAATGGCAAGCTCTCTTTCTGAACTGGTTCTCCACAGCTACTCTGCCCGCAGACAGAACAACTTCGGATCCCTCGTCCACTTTCACTAAGCAATGAGAAATGAGAAATTGTTTAGATCAGTAAAAAACAGCCCGGTGTACTCTGGCCGTTAGTTTGCACTTGTTTCTGCTTGACAGCTTTCATTATTTTACAACAGCCACAGGCCACTGGAGGAAGACTTGAGCGCATGCAACGATACAATGGAGTCTCCAATCATGATTCCAGCCCTGAGAACGTGTCGTTACACGATAGCTATCGTCGGTTACCATCCTCACCTTGACGCTGGGCTGTGATCCTGCAAACCCTGCACGACCGTCCCTCCTACATCTCGTCAACAACGATGTCAAATTGCTCAAGGTTGTGTTTACCTGTTACACGATCTGTATTCAGAATCATGCCCAATCCTGAGTTATCTTTGGATCGTTCCAGGAAAACAACCCTTTTGGTGCCGTACATGTTTCTCACTACAAGCTATCAGCAGAATCAGATCAGCGGCTGCATGGCTAGAACAAACATTACTGACCTGTGCTGTCTTGTTGTTCAGAAAACAAGATTGCAAAACCGCAGCAAGTTCCTTCTTGTTGAGCTTGCTCACATCTGTGCCTCCGAGGACGAATGGATTTTGTTTGCCGGCTGTGCTGTTCTTCAAGGAAACTCCAACACCAGCAGAAGATCCGTCCGAATCCCTCGACATTCTCATCATAACGCTGTCACAAACAAGGTCTGTCCATTCTTCCTGTGAGTTCTCTGGAGTTTGATCACGATTGCCTGCATTCTGTAGCCTTACATTGGAAGGGTGCTGATCTGACCTTCGCTGGACTTCGTCATGAAGATGAGATGAGAAGTGATGTACTGGCTGTTGCAGCATGTTCTGTGACGAGACGTTGGTTGCCTCTTGGAAACGGTTGAGCACCATTTCTTCTTGTAGACTCATATGGCCTGCGTCTTTCTCTGATTTTTGCAGAAAGTCCGTCTTTCCACTCATCCGTGGAACCTCGACATTGAAATTCGTTTGACTTTCAGAATTCCAAGATTTAACGCCAGCAATACGGTGATGTTTAGTAGAGAAAAATGTTGGAAAGGAGTTATGAAACTGAGGGCTTACTTGATTCATGCGGGTAGAGGGCTTTTCAGCTGTTGCATGGTCTCGATTCGAAGGTGAATTCCGAGTTTCGATATGGTAAGTTTCGTACTTGACCTCTTCACGAGCCTGTACGTTCGTGGCACTGAAGTCCTGCATCTGATAGGCTAACTTGAGGGATGGAGCAGGGCCCACTCCCCACTTGTCTATCTGCCATCCTGCTTCGGGCGGAGGTGCACCTGGCGGATCTTGGCAAGGACAACTGCGCGTCATATCAAACACTTTGATCACAACATCGATCAGGATCTTTCACCTGTAATATACGGCTTCTATCATTGCATCTCTCTCCGTTTCAAACGTACCCACAACATCACAAATGATCCACTTCTCATTGTTCATGCCAAACGATGGGATCCTCATGATGTGATTTGAGGTGTGAACTTGCACAAAGACGGAACCTTGCGATATTTGTCTGTATTCGCCATTCACTGCATCTATTCCTGCACCAGCAACGTGTATTGTGATGTCGAATCGTCTTGTTTGTAGGGCGTTGACCTCTTGGATGGCAAGAGGAGACGCTTCTCGCACGTTTCTTGCTGTTTGTATGGGGTCTGACGATTTTCTTCGATCGATCGGTTGAAGTGCAGCCGAATCATGAATTACTCCGTTAGCAACAGCTGGAATGGTTGTAGGCTGTGATACTTCCTGATTCGCAATCGCATGCACAGTTGCATGGCTGGAACCATTTACCTGTGAACTCGTTGCTTCAACCTTCTTTCCCAAAACTCTTCGAATCATTTGAAGCAGCTTTATGTCTTCTTGATCCGAATGCTTGCGTTTCGATGCAGCCAGGTCTTCCTTTGTAAACATGGTAGAATCTGTCTTACTCGAGATGGGACTGTCCAGATTCTCTGGCATTTCTCTTATGTTACTTGGGCGGTCGTCGTAACCATCGTGGTAAAGTCCATTCAGAGCGTTCACTTGGTCCTCGAGGGCTTTGATCTTCACGTCCACTGTCTTGTCTTTTTCATCCTTGATCCACTGCAAGCCCTCTTCAATCTTTTGAAACTTGGACAACCAGACGTCGCTCACTGGAGCCTGGACGGGAAGGATCAATGGGAACGATGGCAGCGGCGGATGGGTGGTCGGTTGCCAGGAGAAGGCTTCATTGCTAGTAACGCTCCTCCCCTGTCCAACCGGGAGTCCTCTTCCTCGGTGCAAACTTTCAAAATCCACAGGATGGTTCTTCACAAGAGATAACGGGGAAGTCAACGGAGTTGCAATTGTACCTGCTGGCTCCCTCAAGCTTTTCTGACTGAGCTCCCGCCATGAAGCAGGAAAGAGAGGATCAGCTACTATGCTCTCAGGCTGTTCAGAAGCAGAACGAGAAGTTTGTATCCTCTTTCGAGTTCGCTTCTCTTCTACTATACGCCATGCTCGTTCAAGAGCCGCTTGCCTCGCCGCCATAGCAATCAGAGGAACGAAAAGTTGACTTTAGCCTAGAAACATTCCAACAGATTTTAAAAATTGAGAAGAGATTTTTATTCATGTTCAAACTTTTCATCAATTTCCACTCGGTCTGTCAACTTTCAAAGCCGACAGTTCAACTTTGACTAGGCCCGGGCCCGGTACCGCCGGTCTCAACTCAGTGACTCCGGGTCACCCGGAAGTTTTCTTTACTCAAAGTTAAGTTAAAAATCAGAATCAGGATGCACCCGGTAGGATTCGGATGCCCGGTGATAACTAATACCTTCACTTAACTGCGGGGACTTCCCACCATGGCATGGCTGCTCCGGAAGGAGTGAGACGCGTACCGGAAAGCAGCAGCGATGATGACTGCAGAAGACATGAAGCCTTGATGTGACAGAAGATCTAGTACTGGTGGAGAAGATCTAGTACTGGTGGTAGAAGGCAATTTCAGACCATAGCGCTGCTGGTGAAGTTGCTGCTTGCTCTTGCACTGTCTGTTTGTGAGTGGAGAGCAGCAGAAGGAGGAGGAGGAGGAGGAGGAGGAGGAGGAGGAGGAGGACGATCAATCATATCATTACGAGACCTTATAAGTGAGAAACTCTGCATTCCGGCTATCTGTGGGTACCTGGAAGTGTTTGTACATCGCGACAAGCAGCTGCAAGGGGTTGCGGGACTGTATCTCTCGTTTGTCAAGACAGCTCAAGTTTTGAGGGGTGGGAGGCGTCGATTTAAACGAATGCAGCCGTCGACATGCATTTGCGAATGTGAGAAGACTTGAAGTCTTCGAAGATGCTCACACAGAAATATACCACAGATGCCAAGACTGGACGAGCCACCTGTCGAAAATGTCAGATGAAAATATGCCAGAGCGAGGTCGGCGTTTTCCTCTTCAACTGATCGCAAATTGACGAGCTCTCAGGCAAAAATGGGGCTTCAGGACATGGACGCTTGGGGAGCGACGCACTGGTATCACCTGCACTGTTTTGACTGGAAGAAGTATTCGTCAAGGTCATTGATCTTCGGCTACACGGATCTGAAAGAAGAGGATCAACGACGGATAGACGACTTGATCGCTAACAGGGAGACATTCAAGGTTTGTCACCAGCAGAAGAGTTTGTCCTTGGTTTTGAGTCTGACGAGTCTCCTAACAGCCTCCCAACGCCTGGCCAGGGCTACCTCAGGAGCTTCCTGGTCGACCTGGAGTGATCATTGAGAACGAGAGAGCCGAAGACATTTGCTATGGCAGTTGCGACGTGTTTGTTGTAGGATGTCAATATTATGGGTAGGGTCGGAATGCCTGATTGCGTCCTGAGCTTGTTTGACAGTTTTGCAGGGGAGAGCTGCTAGTTGGTCAATATGCCTTGTTGAAGAGAGAGCCAGACAATCCTTACGATCAAAATGCCATCCGAGTAGACAACATGCTTGGGTTACAGGTACCTCCTCACAGACCTTGAGCCTTCTGCCATGTTGTAAGTGCCGGACAACCAGGTTGGGCACATCAAGAGAGTGTTTGCTGCTGGGCTTGCTCCATTGATGGATGATGCAAGTCCCTGGAAACCAAGTTTTGAAGTCAGTGTGAACTCAACGGATGTGTATCATTGCAGAGTATCGATCACTGTGTATGGTCCTCGAGCATTCGCGTTACAAGTACGAACGTTTCTGAGGTTGTATAAGATGAACCTGAGCGGTGGCGTGCATATTGAAGGTGATTTGAACTATCAAAGCACTTCTTCTCAACTCGTCTTCCTGTGTTGCAAAAGTATGTCTCTTTTATTAGTTTTTCCACAGGAGATTCTTCTGCATATCAGATTGAAAAATCCGAAAAACTCACTTGCAAAGCTCTGGATGAAATGTTTGAGAAGCTTGAGGTTGATACAAGTTCTCTAGACCTTCAATTATGTCGAAGTGTGCACTTGCAAAATTGCGAGTAAGAAACATGAACTTTTTCCAGGTGTTCTCTCCAACCTATTGTGCACTACCTTGCTCCAGCATCAGCTTGAAGGAGTGGCATGGATGCACATGATGGAGACAACCGAAAAATTATTGCCTTTCTGGCGTGAGGTGACGACCATTGAACTTGGTTCCTTTCATCCCAATTGATTTTGAATCGTTAGGTTGACAAGAATGGAGCTATGCAGTATTTCGACGAAATCACCAGTACCTTGTATCCGATGTCTCCTGGACCGGTTAAAAAAGTCTTGAAATGCCGATCAAGAGAGTTCACACTTCTGTAGTTACGTGGGGGAATACTCGCTGATGATATGGGTCTGGGCAAGACCTTGCAGGTAAAGGGTATTGCACTGAGCTACCTGTCTGTTATAATACTTGCGAAGATATTGTCCTTGATCCTCATGAATCCAAGGACTAAACCAACCAAGGAATCGAAACAGTTGGGAAATGGCGGGACGCTGATTGTTTGTCCAACGTCGGTGTTGAGCAACTGGGTCGACCAAGCTAAGCTTCATACAACGAAAGGTTTGCTTTCTGTCGTCACATACCATGGAGGAGCCAGACAAGAGCTGTCAAGTTCTTTGAGGGAGCATGACGTCGTTGTCACAACATATGGTACATTAGCTTGCGAATTTGAGGAAGCTTCTTCGAATGGTCCGATCTCCAAGAAGAAGAGGAAGCGAACAGGGGCAGAAAACTTGTTTTCTGTCAACTGGCATCGGATAGTTCTCGACGAAGCTCATATCATTCGGAATCGACAGGTGTGTATGCACTTGTATTTGCCATTTTTCGTTATTTCACTCGCCGTGGTGCAGACGAAAACATTCAAAGCATGTTGCCGGCTGGAGGGAACACATCGTTGGGCTGTGACGGGCACACCATTCCAGAACAAAGCAGAGGACATTTCGGCGCTCTTCTCATTCCTGAAAGCGAAACCTGTGGATGATTTCACAGTGTTCAAGCAATCAGTATCGAATCCCCTCAAGTCGTCAGGGGCAGAAGGCAGTGCAATGGCGCGACTTCGAGTGCTGCTGAAGGGTGAGAAGATAAGGATTCATCTCAGGGATCTAAGTGTACAAACCAGCCATGTGCCTTCGTAGAAGCAAATCTCTCTTGATGAACTCTTTGCCCGAAAAAACTGTACTCGCTTTTTCATCTTGTTAATCAATCATTGATCGACTTCTTTCAGATTGAAATCTGCAGAATTCGCCTGGATAAAAAACAGCAAGAAGCATACAGTGTGGTATTTTACAAAGTCACCTTTTCGTCATTTCCTCTTGACGCCTTTGAAAAGTTGCTGGATTCTGCTCTGTTATGCTTTGGACCGATCATGAAGTCCGGGGGGAAGGCGATTACCAAGCATTACACTAGTTTGTTTGAGTGCGTGCTTCGCCTTCGTCAGGTTCTTCCACAATCCATTTCTGCCCTTGTTTTCAACTTTCATTGCAAGGTTTGCAACGCGCTCCATCTTTTGCCCAAAGAGAGATTAGAGAATGCGAAAAAGGCCCTGCAGTCACTGAACAAAGTGGAATTGAATGTCGAAGAAGCAGAAGCTCTTCTCAAGAAGCTACAAGGAGCTATCAACGTTGGTGAGATACCTTGACTCTCTAGACATCCTCATTGCTTATATGTATCAGGTGAGAACGAAGATGAAGCGTTGACTTTCGAATGCTGCATCTGTCTGGATGACTTGGATGCTTCCCTCGCTCAGATCATCCGGCAATGCGGGCATTGCTTCTGTAGCCTGTGTCTGCAGAAACTCTTGGCTAGCGTGCAAGGCTCAGAGTGCCGATGTCCTCTCTGTCGCTCTCCTTTCACCAGAGGGGATTTTATCGGGGCAACGGAGCTCAACAACATCGTCACCATGACGGATAACATCCAAGGTAGATCGACGCATGTCCTCGCACGTGGGATTGACGGTTGTGTGCAGGGGCCTGTGAAAGCGCGTCCTCTGCGGATCAGGGTCATGCTTAAGTCCTTGCATGTTTCTTCTGAATGACCTGACGAGTGGATCAGTTTCGCCCAAGGTTCAAGTTGTGTTACAGGAGTTGAACAAGGAGTGGGAAGCAGATCCCTCCCAGAAGGTATCGATCCCCTTACCTGTTGGACGTGTCTCATGTCGTTACTATAGGCTGTGATATTCTCTCAATTTACTGGAATGCTGTCGCACGCCCAGGAGGTTCTTGCTCAAAATGGTATCCAGTGTCTTCGAATAGACGGGTCGCTATCCCTGGACAAGGTGAGAACGATGAGAGCTTTCCTGCGAGAACTTTCTGACGTCTACCTTGCTGCAGCGAACTGAAGTCCTTCGACAGTTCGACCGTGACGATGCTCGTCGAGTCCTCTTGGTTTCTCTCAAGGTGTGCCATCAACACGTGCATGGTAGTGTCCGCGAATGACGTTGCGATAGGCTGGAGGGACGGGAATCAATCTCGTGAGAGCAAATCTCGTCTTCATGCTTGATCAGTGGTGGAACTATGGAGTGGAGGAGCAAGCGATGGACAGAGTTCACCGCATCGGACAAACGAGGAGAACGCGGATTGTGCGCATGGTATGTCAAGATACCGTTGAGGAGAAGATTTTGCAGCTTCAGGAGAGCAAACAGCTGCTCGGCAAGGGGGTGACGGCACAGCTCAGTGCTGAAGAAGCGCAGAAAGCCAGGATTGCTGACCTTAGAACGCTGCTGTTTGGCTGCGGAAATGATATTCCTTGACATCTTTGAGTAAAGGATCTTATGAACTCAACATTTATTCATTCAGACTAGACCTCGAGCTTCAGAGCAGGTAAAAGAAAGATTGCTACTCCTAGAATTTTCAATCAAGAGGCAACACAACGAGAGCTGTTCGTCCTTATTCCATTCTCAGACAAGAGAAGGACGTCGCTCGACGGGCTCCTCTCTATCGCTCGTCATACCCGCGGACTCTCTCCGACGTCGTCCTGCTGTCTCTCTTCACTGTGACCTGCACCTCGTCTCTCCTCCAGGCCGCCCCGTGCTCGGCACATCTACCAAATCACTGAGTTACGCCTTGCGTCCTTCAACTGATTGGAGGCGGGCTTGGTGGAGGCAGTAAAACTGAAAGTTTGCCCTTTCAAACGAGATAGAATCTTCAGATATCTCAAAGATGGAGAACGCTTCTTTTCGATCACAATAAGCATTTTGCTGACACCGCCTCCAATATTAGGCGAAAATAGTTGTTTTCATTTGTACGGCTTCAAAGAGGCCTGCAACCCCCATCCCTTCGGAATAGCCTCCACCCCTACCCCCAACTTTCCGTCGTTGTCGTTCCATGTCATGATGAGCTCTCCAATACCCTAGCAAACAGCATCTATGACTGCCATAGGTAGAACGGCCTGTTTGCACCACCCCTACCAGAAGCAGAACCAGCTCTGAAGGCAGGACCCCTACCCCTCTTCGGCCTACCCCACATGCGATGGTCAGATCGGTGTCAACGTGTGGCAGCTGACGTAGAGATTTTAAAACACAAGTAAAAGTAAAACTGATTTCGGCCTCGGTCATGTATTGGAGTAAAACGATGGCAAACGACCCGAAGCTCCCTATGACCAAAAAAAGATCGATGCAAAAGTCGAAGATAATACTTTTGGCACATCAGGGTCAAGGAGGCAGCCCATACAAGTGTTTTAAACGTCAGCAGGGGATGCGTCCCTTCGTACCTTACCCCCTGTACCCCTTACCCCCTGCTGTGACCCCCGTCCGGCCTCCAGTACCTCATACTACCCTACCACGTCGAGCGGCTCCACTCAACCCTCTCTTTCAGGTTTCCAAAACGAGGGATCTCGTTCTCCACACCTCGTTGGTCATATCAGGTTTCAAATATGTGAAATCTTTGCAGTAAATATGAAAATTGAAGAGTATATTTCATATTTATATTCTAAATTTAGTTTTGGACACTCCCCTCATGAAAATATTTCCTCCCAGCGGATCCCTGGCCTTTCGTGTATTTCTACCCCCACCTACATTGTTCTCGCCAACATCGAATTGTACCCCTACATGCAACTTGTCACCCGTACTTTTATGTTCTTGTACCCTATCCATGAATACCCTTCAACCTCTGGACTGGGGGTCCCCACCCACTCATGATTGTCACAACCCCCTAAATTATACCACCGTACCCGGAGGCCGTAGCGACCCTATCTCTTATTCCACCCCTACCCCCTCTGTTTTGCTCCACCCACAACCCTTCTCTAGCACCTCTCTGGTACAACTTTTCCGTACCCACTACCGGTTATTTGCACACGAGTACCCGTGTTTTCTCCACATGTAGTGTTATCTCAATACCCCTGTTTCACCACCCACCCTTGTAAAAATATCACCTGCTGTATCCCACCATCTCAAGTGGTCACTTCCGCCTCCCCTCCTTGCCGCCTTGCCTCTCTTACTCCTGCATTGTTACCTCACCTTGCTCCTGTATCGCTCTGCCTCCTCTCCCCGCTAGACGACCCCTCCCCTCCTCTCCTTCCTCTACGCTTGCATCTGCTACATATTTCTACCTGCCTCTCTTGCCTCTTCGCCCACCTCCCTCGCTCTATCGGAGTTACTGCATGCGAGAAAGGACAACTCATTAAGACTCGTATTGTAGAACATATCAACAGTCACAATGCCTTTCAAAGTGCCAATATGCTCTTTCAACGATGGTTCAACAGTCAATTTGTCCCCTGGAACTGACAATGTCATTTACAACGCCCTATCTTCTGCATCAGCAAATACCACATTCATTCTTGCACCAGGAGATTATCACGAAACAAAGCAGCTTACACTGTCAAAGCCAGGCATTATTCTTTGTTGCCAAGCCGACAATCTTGTAGATGGGAGACACAGCTGCAGGATAATGATTCCAGCTGATTTGGATGGAGAAACGTTTTGCCGGATTTGTGCACAGAACTGCAAATTGTTGAACATCGCGATCCAAGCCGAGACAACGGAAAGAAAAGAACCGTCGAAGTCTATCGTGACGATAGAGAAAGAATGCAATGCAGAAATTCTAGGCTGTCTCTTCTCTTGTGGATTGAATATGGGCCTCGATATCGCTGGAAATTCTAGGCCGTCGATTGAAGAATGCATCATCGAGGAGGCTCGCTGGTGAGAGCAGTTGTGAATTTCGAGAAAAGTTGATTACTTACTGTTGTTTGTACAGTGGAGCTATCTTGCGAGGAAAGGCAAGCCCGGTGATCTCCCACTGTACCATTCGAAGGTGCTCATCGTGCTGCTTCAAAGTTATGGACGAAGCCTCCGGAATCTGCTCGGAGAATGTACTCGAAGAAAGTTTTGATTCTTGTATATGGGCTGGGGGACAGTCCACAACCACCTTTCGGAAGAATATGATTGGAGATACAGAAGGTTGTGCAATTATGCTGGCAGAATATGCCAAGGTCACGGTGGAAGAAAACTCCATTGGAGGAAAACACGTCAATGGCCTCCAAGCTGGTGACTACGCTGATTGCATCGTGAAAAACAACACCATAACTAAAAGCTCTGGAAGTGGGATGGTCCTTCATGATCACTCAACAGGTTTCTTTACGAGCAACCAGATCATTGGATCAAGCCTAGCAGGTGTTGGTATCAGAGACCACTCAGAACCTGTTTTCAGCCTCAATTCCATTTCTGAAGGCCTTGGCAGCGGTTTAGTGCTCCTTGGAAATGGCTGCGGTGTGATTGAAAGAAACAGAATCTTCAAGAACAGATGTGCAGGAATCGGCTTGAAGGGATTCTCCCAGGCATTGTTTGAGAGCAATGTTGTTTCTGCTAATGAAGGATACGGTATCTGGTTACAAGACGATTCTAGCGGTTCTTTCCAGAACAATTCTATTGAAGGAAACGGAAAAGCAGGCTTTGCTGTTAGTCATCGCGCTCATCCACACGTGTATGGGAACTCGATCGTTGGAGGAAAGCAGATTGGAATTCTCTTGCAGAATGATGCAACTGGTGACTTTGAAAACAACAAGATTTCGTCGAACCGGACAACCAACGTACTCTTGTTAGGCCGCTGCAAGGGGGTTTTCATCAAGAATCATGTCAGCGATAGTGCTGGTGGTGGAGTGCTTTTCAGAGGAGATAGCAAGTGTATCCTGAAGAGGAACATGATCGAGGGCAACAACCGTGCAAACGTTGCTGTTTTGGATCGATCTCAGCCATTTTTGGAGGAGAATGTCATCCAAGGAGGGAATGGCAGAGGAATAGTTGTAACCGGTAACTCTGCCGGAGAATACGTGGGCAACATAGTGAGAATGCATCATCTAGCCGGAGTTTACGTCGGTGGAAATGCAGAGCCCAAGATGGTGTGCAATATTGTTGCCGACTCTGGAGCTTCGGGTGTCGTTGTTGAAGATCATGCTCGTGGATGCTTCTCAGACAACTCCATGATTGGGAACGCCAGCGCAGCTGTCGCTGTCCAAGGGTACGCTTCACCTAAGATGGAGAGAAATGTGGTTCTGCACAATGGCAGGGGTGGCATCTGGCTCGGTGAAAAGGCGAGCGGCGTGTTCGATGGTAACTACGTGGAAGAGTCGAAGTCGGGCTGGAGGATCGGGCATGAAGTCACTGCCAAAGTTCTCCAGATTCCCAAGAATGCGTCTAAGTGCTATTCTGCAGACGAGTTCCAGGATCGCATCATCCAGGCGATCAAGGGCTGCACATCGTGCATTCATTCTGAGAAGATCGTGCTTGTGGAGAACCCTGGGGGCTCGTGTGCCATTCCAGCTCTTGGCACCTCAGTCGCTGAGAACTGGCCGGCGGTCTCAGTGCAGAACGTTGCTGGTTGAACGAGTGCTGCTGGTGGGATTTCCAACCCGTTTGGAATTAACGAGCTGTGAGATGCTCGATTTTTTTTTCTGCAACTCTCGATTTTTTTGCTGCAACTATGATGAAAGTGTTTTGTGTACCAAATGTAATCTGGTTTTATTGTACTATGAATATTATCTTCTAATACATGCTGAAAGACAACTCAAGCCTTGAGCTCGGCTTCAAACTTCCTCCTCACACTCAGTGCAGCATCGAACAAGTTCAGGTCCATCCCATCAACATTTCGCGCCACACGGACTCTGAGGGTCGGACGATCCTGACGACTCCAGTCAGTACTGAAAGCGACCTGGCTCCCTACAAGGATCACCTCAGACGTCTCGACCTCGCCTATCATCATGTACAATGATCCGTCCTTGATCACCAGCTGCTCGCCCAAGAGCGAAGCATCTACCTGCAGCCGTCGGTCTCGGAACTCAGCGGTGAAGGTGTTGCCTGAGACATGAGAAAGACTTTCGCACCGTCAATTCCTCATAACACATACAAGAATCTCAACAGACAGAACACTCACAAGCCAAAAGTTCGAACTGACTTGGTAGATGGGTCTTGCAGGATCTCTTCAATGTATCTGATCGCTCCATGACCGGGCAGCTCCATAGCACCTTGTGATTTTGAGAGATCTGAAGGCAAGAGAGCGAGACAAAGGAGATGGAAAGAATCGAGCCCGAGGAAGAGGATGCTCGGAGATAAGAGCAAGTTTCAGACACAAGGAATGACGGTGAGGGCGGGAAGGGCGGTGAGGGCGGTGAGGGCGGTGAGGGCGGGGATGGAGGAAGATGGAGTGCAAATCTGGGAAGAATGGCAAGGGGAGCAGGGGTACTGAATTTTACTTCAAGGCCATTCCATGGTTGTTACACCTAGGGGGTGGGGGGTTCTGGTAGGCAAATCGAACTGGTTTGTTCAGCAGCTATGACGATAGTGGAGGAGTTGAACGAGCATGGCGGCAAGAAGGAGGAGATGGCGAAGGAGATCGCTTCCACGCAGAGACCCCGAGAACCTGAACCCTCGCATGCTTCAAGAGCGGGGAGACCGCATGTGCTGCCTTCGCTGCCTCAAGTGCTTCCCTTGACCGAGTTATGCATCAGATCCATCTGTGACAGCAAGCTGAGGTAGCCCCTCACTCTTTGCATGTTTCTCAGGACACCCTTCCTCGTGCATCGATATCTTTCGTACTCGATGATCTCACCTTCCCAGCCTTCTTTGCCCCTCGTGACACACGCATATTCAATTTTGACTCATAGTTACAGCTTTTGTGAATCTCTGGAAAATGTGCCAGACCATCTTGTGGTAAGCAAAAGCAGAAGTGATATGGCAGCTATATTGACGTGTTCCAACAGGTAGACATGTTAGCAAGAATACTGAGAAAAGGAGCTTTGAACTTGACGCTGGCCAGGAAGTTTCAAACTTCAACATGCCCGGAGGTTTTCCCAGATGAGCTTTGTTGTAGCTCGACTGACAGGTCCACCAGGTGAGCGAATTCGCTCGAGATTGCATAAAAAGGCTGCATGAAGCGGAGATAAGTGCAGGGCCCTTGACACCCAAGGTTGTTGGAGGTTCTTGGAGGCTCCAGGAGACTGAAGGGTTTGCAGGGCTATGGTTGTCGATTCTGATGTCGGAAGGTGATGAAGATGATCGTGATTTCATCTAGATGTTGGTCAACAAGAGATGAGATGACGTTCTCATGGTCTGTTTGCAAAGGTTGATCTTAACTTCCTGGTGTGCTCCTTTCTTTGTTGAGATGTCCGAGGGGAGGAAGCGTGTGGTGAAGGTTAGAGCCCAGATCTCAGATGCAAAATGATGTTGGGCAAATGCTGTTTTTCGACAATGTGAGAAGCAGTTGTGAACGAAGGGACTGTCAGAGTTGGAACAAGATGAATTCAATTTCATCAAGTCGACATGTGAGATGAAAGTGAAGGTCGATTACAAGGCCTTCACAGAAACACAAAACACCTAAGTGCATGAGTAAGCAAATGAATCGAAGATGCAAAGACAAGTGGAAATAGAAACAAGAAAGGGATTCTAACATCACCAGAACAATGACTCGTAAAGAATCAGCAATCATCCTATGTGGAACATTCTTAGAAATGGAGGAATCAAACAAAGCTCTCTGATTACCCATATTCCCTGAAACGAAATCGAGAAGGCCTTGCATTTCAGGAATATTTGCCTCACTGTCGATCTAATAACAGTGAAAGTAACACCGGAATCGACCTCATAAGGACGGTTACCGTAATCATTCCCTCTCAGGCTTGCACTGTCCAAAAATGTTGATCTTCGAGTTGGTTTCGGAATCTATTCCATCATGGTTTGAACTTACGGGATAACCTTCATAATCGTGATCATCATCGGCATCCGATAATCATTACTGACACGTGTAATCATTCAATTCATGTCACTATCGAAATCGAAATGCAGTCATCTCCTGAGTAGATTGTCGAGGCCGGGCGGCTGTTGAGGCGAACCCGTGGCGCTACCAGTAAAGCCTGTCCCACCCTTTTCCGGTATTTGGCAGGGGTAGGGGTCCTCGTGCTTCCGGAAATAGAGCTGCGCCATGTTCGCCCTTCTCCTCCGCTATGCAGGTCAGCGGTAGATGTCTTGAGTGTTTCAGCCTCGTGCTGACGATGGCAACACGTGTTTAATTGCAATCGCACAACCTATCGCGTCTCCCTGCGTTAGTTCTTTCTATTGTCACTGATCAAGTCGGAATGCACTACCTTGTTCGGATGCTTGTTTGCTAAGACGTTGAAAGATGAAAGTTTTAGCTCGGTATTTGTCACTGACTGTGATCAATGCATATGAAAGCGTATGAAAATGTTAACTCTATGGGCATCCGGCCACCTTGCCGATAGAGCCCTCGTTGACAAATCGCTTCAGGTCCTGCCACCATCAGCCAATTAGATGAGTACAGCGTCAGCCAAGCTCAGGGCCAGAGCGACGTGCGATCATACGACCAGGTCTGCTTCAGCTGAAAACGTGCTCACAGTCTGAAGGTGTTTGCAGGGCTATCAGTCTGGATTCATGGAGGGAGTCACCTCCACCGGCTTCGGTGCTTGCCCTCCCGGAGAAGGCTGTAAGTAAGCAGCGAGCGATGAAGAGACATTCGAGAGTTGGAGACTCAAGCAGAACATTAGCTGCAAGTTATTACATGGCCTTTACTTTGTAATCGGACCCCTTCTGCTGCGCTAAAGCATTCAAGGAGCGTATGTTCCTCCAGTACGATGAAGTTGCAGGAAGACGAGTGGAAGTCGCCATGGGCAGGTGAATGCATCTTGCTTCGAAGAACCAAGAGGACACGCGAAAACCGACCAAACTACTACCCAGCTGTCTCTTTGCAACTTGGATCAGTCCATCTGCACTCTTGAGAGCTTTCTCCACTTGCATCCTCCGTAAGTTGAAGAAAGTTCCCATGAGCGCCGGGGGAACATGAAGAAATGCCTGATCCGACGCATCGCCCCTGCCGATGACGTTGAGAAGTAGAGTTTGCTCCTTCCTCAGTCTCGAGGACACCAACGACCTCCTCTCCTCCACGCAGTGAAACAAGAGCGTGCTCGCATTCGCTGTCCACCTCGTCACTTTCCACCTACGCACTTCGGCTCTCCTCAAGGTCGTTGTGTGTCGAACACCTGAGAAGAAATACTTCTTCCAGAGCAGGAGATTGAAGTAAGCGTTCTTGTAGATGAAGCAATCCACAGACTCCTTGTTTGCTCTTTGCCTCCAAATCACTCGCTTCTTCATGAAGTCGAAACACCTTGCCTTCGTCCGCATCTCACGCTTGACGCGACAGAGGGCGAGAGCTTTGTTTCGGGCGTATCTTTCTTGATGTGTTTCGATCCAACTAAGCAGCACAAACTTCTTGCTTCTGAAGAACTCAGCTGTTGTTGGTATCGCCAACTCCTTGTTTCCGTCGTTCCAATTGTTCATGGCGTTGCTCAACCGGAAAGCCAGGACTTGTCGCCTAAGAACTTTGTTCTTTAGACCAAAGGTCGTGTAATTGAATTGAATTTCAAGCGCTTGGAGCCAGCAAACAAAGCTGAAGCAAATCAGAGGTGTATGAGCAATCAAAAGAGATGTAACCTGCGATGCTTCAGTTTCAGAGGTCTGTACTTGTGTATGGATTTTTCTAGGCTCATGAATTCGCTGCATCGGAGAACCAACCTTCGAAGATACGCTCGGTTCATAATCTGCCAGAGCGTCACACTGGAGGCTCTTTCAAGCACTATGTTTCCTTTCTCAGTCGGATCCGAAAGACAGGCTTCCGCATGAGGGCCCAGCACCTCAAGAACACCTAACAGGTATCTCCGTCACGCTGACGCACCTCACTTGCTGCTCACCGTTCTGCTCCGATCCTTGTTAACGGATTCGTACACCGACGTGATCCGACTGACAGCCAGAGCAAAGAGAGTCCTGATGGATTTGATCGTCTTGCTCCACTTGTCATTTTCTTTCTCCATGATTTCACTCAAGATCTTTCTCTGCTCTTCGATGCGATCAATCGACTCTACGAACCGTGTCAGATCCTTGGACGAGAGCATATCCGCATGAATCACCATTTTCTCTCGCTCGATGATAACTATCCATCTCTGAAATACTTGTTTCGTGTTGAGTTTTCAACTTCATAATCCATGTGATCTGTGAAATACCCGTGAGAAGCAGAAACGACGAAGCAAAGGAAAACCTCCTGGCCGATTGCTTCTCTCTTTGCCTGATGAATCATCTTTCTTTTTTCGTTCTTCAACTGAGGCGGCCAAGATATCAGACAATGACATTGACAGAAACAAGGCAGGATCAAGTTACATAGTAGATCATATCTTCGCTCAAATCTTCATCCAGCGAATCTTTTCTTTTCAAGGTTTTCTTTTTCCAAAGAAAAATCATTTCTTCTCGCTATAAATGCAACATACTTACTTCTTGATTCTCAGCCGATTGTTCCAAGCTCTGGATTTCGAGCAAAGCCTCGAAACACTTACGCATGAACCTCTGGAAGTAGTGATGGAAAGCATAAGCTTTCTTGCGGTACTCCTCATGGTACTCCATCCATCTTTCAAACATGACAGGGAGGAGCCTCATGTAAAGAAGTCGAACAACTTTACGAGTGTACAAGTCTTTTCGCTTGAAAGACTCGTAGATCTCGGTGCAATCGAACAGATATCCTAATCCCATGAATCGATGGGCTGGCATCTTGAACTCATAGACAGTTTCATCATCCAACTTGAACAGAAGATAACTGCAGCCAAGAGCCTTACAAGGAGCGTAATAATTTCGTTCAACAGCACCTTCGCTTCCTCAGCTTCTTCGAGCACTTCCCCCAGAAATAAAGGGTACGAAATCTAACATGTGATCAGACCTTGACACCCGATATGTCTTTGATAGAACACTTACGCATGGTGCTTGATCGTATCAAGAGCCCGGTGGTACACCTCTCGGAAAAATGTCTTGTTGTTTTGCTGTCACAGAGTCAGGTTGCAAGCCGACAATCTGAGACAACAAACATAGGCTTTCCAAATCCTAAGATAAGACTTCATGCAATTTGTTCTAGAGAAATACTGGCAGTAACAAAGAAAATTCCAGAGATGAAACGATCGAATCCAGACAAAGTGACTGTAAACATTCTGAAGGTCCTGCGCCTTCTCTTGAGATATGTTCCTTTCGCTCAGCTTCAACCACAAGTCATTCCGAGCAACATTGCATGAGCTGCTACCTTAATTCTCCACGCGATGATCCAGAAAGACATCAAGCTCCTCGCTCCCTTCACTTGACGGTCTCTCTGCAGCACCACGCGCTTCCAAAGCCCGAGCAGCACCTTTCTCCTCTGATCGCGTCGCAGACTTCGATTTCGAATGAAGTTCCTGAACTTCTTCATCTGCCTTTGCCTGTGTCAGTGATGTTACAAACATCTTGTCTGCATACTTGCGGCAAATCCATCGGTTTTGAATTCTCCTGGCTGCCTTGTGCTTTTCTAACGTGTTGAGTTGCTCTTCTTTCCATATCGTCTTCTTGACATCCGGCAGCAGCCCCGAGAGAGGAGCCCCGTGAGTTTCCCGATACACCTGAGGTCATCAAGCTGAGAAACTCCTCACGGTCCAGCTGGGGTCTTACCAGCCTGTAGACTTCTTCTTCTTTTGGGCTACTCGCGTCCATCCCCAGACGCATCATGATCCTCCTCATGCCCTGCTGGCTCTTCCTCCTTGGTCGACTTCGCTGGCGTCAGCCCGCAAACTCCGGGGTCTCAGCTCAAGTTCACCTCTCCCTTCTCGGCTCGTCGCTGCTCAGCTCTGGCGAGGGCTTCATCGACCGCAGCCTTCCCCATGGCACAGCACGAGGAGAAGAGCCCGAGGAGTTTGAGGGCCTGCGGAGGGTCAGAGGGGGCAGAAGAAGGGCAACTCTCACCTTCTCGCGGCATTCAGCTCTTCCAGGAACTCAGATCTTGGTTTGGATAACATGTTTGAGATAGTAGATTTGCTGCTGCTTTCAAGCATCTCTTGTAGCTGACAAGGCAAGGTTGCTGGTGTTTTACAAGTGAAAGTGACAATACCTGAGAGTACTTGCTTGACGGTACCCTTGAAGTTGAGAAGCTTGGAGAGGTGATTTCTGGTAGAAACCCATGTCTGTCCATGCGTTCTTGCTCCATCATGCCGTCAAGCTCTCATCGATTATCGTTGTCGCGAAGCTCCGGGGAGTCTAATCCCCCCATGCATGTAGCCGAAATCATCTGATCAGCTTGAATCGCTTTTGCTACATAGGTGAGATCATCTTCGTTGTTTCCTGCCTTCCCGCCCTCCTCCTCTCCCCGTCCCTCTCTCTCTCTTCCCTCCCTCGCCCTTCCCGCCTGCATGTCAGGGCATGTTTCCAACGGTTTGGGGTGAGGGGGTGAGGGGGGCTCGGTACTGTGAACAGGACCTACCGATCCGAGTCGGAGGGGCGTGTGGTGGAGCTTTTCTAGCGTTTCAAGAGTAATCATTTGAATTATCTTAGACGGGTTGAGGAGTAGAGATCGCGATGGGAACAGAACCATACTGGTTCGAAGAATACAGCATTTCAGTGTAGGTCGATGTTGCCTTTCCTCGCCGCCGCCTAGACAAGTAAGCGAGGCCGATCATGATGTTCGCGATCAGAGCAAGAATCAACAGCCCTCCAGCGAAGCTCATTCCGCTCACTGTGGAGAACTTGCTCTGTCCCGACAAGGAAGATCCAGCAACAGCAAGTGAGACAGCTTGACCCTCCTGACCCAGCTCGACGTCTCGGACAGCCTTGCCATGGATCTGATCCCACTGCATCAACGTGTTCATGGAGTCGACCCGAATCTTGAAAGATGAGCTGCTGGCAAGCTGCTGTTGGATCTCAGACGGCAACTTCGCCTTGACGGTGAAGACTCCAAAGACGGCGGATCCTGTGTCAAAGATGACAGTGAAGGGCTGCTTCGGCGTTCCAATCGCCAAGTCCATAAAGTACTGAGTTCCTTTCTTGTTGAAGATTGGCACCTGATCGACTTCATCCAGCTTCTTGCTGTGCTCGGCTGAAAACATGGTCTCTTCACCCTTCAGTAGCTGCAGCTTGGCACGGGGCGCTTGATCGAGTTTGTAATACCCCAACTCATTCTGACCGACGGGGCTGTACGCCTTGTTCAGCTTTGCGATTCCGATGATGGGTCTTGCTTCGTCCTGCATATCGAACTCCACCATGTACTCGCGGAAGAAGACATCTCCGATCAGCAGCCCTTGCATGCCATCAGGGGACGGCTGGACGCAAGTCTGATTCGTCTCAGCAAGGAACCAAGAGTGGTAGGGAATCTCAAAGGTGTGACCTCCGATGGTGATCCAAAACGACGTGCCTTCATCCCATAGCTCCGTGAAGTCATCGAAGGGACTGTTCTGCAGCTTGCCATTCATTTTGTCACCTGGCATCACAAGACATGAAGTTCCCGAGTCCATGATGGCTGGCAGGTACTCCTCGCCTGTTGGGTCCTTGAACTTGAGGAGTTCGACATGATCGCTCTGGGACGGGTGTCCGTACTTGAGGGAGGTCACTCCCACTATGAAATCTGTCGAGGACAGAGAAGGTGTGTACAGCATCACGTCCGTGCAGGTAGACGGGTCGTAACCTCCCAGCTGCAACTCAGCCGCGCTGTCTGTGGAGAAGAACGAGAACTTGCGTGTTAGGGCCTGAGCGTTCGAGTCCTGGACGCCCTTGTCTGTGAGAGCCCAGAGGATGGGACGAGGAAGCTGTCGTCCCTCGAAGCCTGGCTTCGGTAGGCCAAATCCAAGAATTCCATCCACACCGTTGAAATCAGGACTGTTGCAGTCCGTGATGACGCCAAAAGGAGCGAGTCCATGGAAATTGCCCAACTAGAACAAAGATAAAGTCAAGATGCAAGGCACATGATGAATATTTTCAATCAGACTGACTCAGGCATCTCGACAGGTCTCCTCTTGAAAATACAACTTTGTCCCATCTTACTACACGTTTGCTCAAACCTCCCCACGCAAGATCTGCACTGTTCATCTATCTCTATCTCTCCTTTCTCTGTTTTGCTCTCTTCTCTCGGATGTTCTCCTCTTATGCTGTACCTGGACAATGTCGTGAGCATTGAAGCCCTTCAACTCCGTCCCATCGGCATAGGCTAGATCAAACTGCCGAGACGTATCGGGCTTGAACGTCGAGCTGGCAGAAACCTCGAAGTGTCTTGAGTCCTCGGGCCTATAGGCCTCATCAAAGAGCTGCTGCTTCACAGCTCCCTTTCCCGTTATCTTCCCCTGCACCATCACCACCATGGCGCACACCATCCCAACCGCTGCGCACCGCCATCGGATCGCAACCATGCCCTCCCTCCTTCCCTTTCCGGAAATAGCCCTAGACTCTATATCCATCCAAATGAAATGTGATCTCTAAATTTGGGGGAAATTTTGAAATATATCCCGAAATTGTGAAATTGCTTCACTTCAAGTTCGAAATGGCGTGTCTTAAAATTCGTGAATATGATGCAGAGAAGGAAAGGGACCATCGCTTCGTGAGCAGAGACATGTAGAGACAAGAGAGACATGTAGAGATAACAAAGACATGTAGAGATAACAAAGACATGTAGAGACATGTAGAGACAAGAGAGACATGTAGAGATAACAAAGACATGTAGAGATAACAAAGACATGTAGAGACATGTAGAGACAAGAGAGACATGTAGAGATAACAAAGACATGTAGAGACATGTAGAGATAACAGAGACATGTAGAGATAACAGAGACATGTAGAGACAAGAGAGACATGTAGAGACAAGAGAGACATGTAGAGAGCAGAAAAAGGGGAGTGGAAGGGATCAAAGGTGGGGATCCCTACGATGTTAAGGTCAGTCAAGGTCAGAAAGGCTAGCAACTTTCAGCAGACAAGCCAATCATTTCATTCCAGCAAGCGTGCAAGCAAGCATCTTGCAAGTCAATCAGATACTTGTCAAGAAGGTTCAAATATTTGACTAAGGATATACGCGCTCATTTCAATCCCCAACCCTCCAGGCACTTGCGGGACGCTAGGATGATACAAGATGATAGATCCTTGCTTTCAGCGATCCGAGAGAACATTTGGTGCTACTCTGCTCAATCATCTGCTTGCCTTGAACCTCATATGTAGCCCTGCTGGTGGTGGTAGGAGGCAGGGATTTCAACAAAACAATCTTTGATGGAGGTTGAGTGAAGCAGGGCACAAGGTCATAGATGAGATTCATATCAAAGAAAATGTACATGCACGCTTGCTATATCTTGTCTCTGCTGCCTCACAGCACGATGGAACGCACCTCCCTCCTCACAGAGCCGCTCGTGAGGCCCTCATCCTCCCCACTGTCATCCCCCGTCTGATGCGGCTGCGAAGGAACGTCCTCCTTCTCGTAGGCGAAGGCAGAGACGAACCTGACTGCTGACGGCTCTACTGCTCTCCGTGGGAACCGGAAGGAGCAGAGATCGTTCCACTCAAGCTCCAACGACAGCATCTCTTCCGAGGGCGAGCAGGCGCCAAACCGCTGCAGGTCCTCGTCCTCGTCCGACGAAATGACGCCATCAACTCCTTCCCCAGGAGGCTCCGGCTGTTGTACCTCATTCTCTTCACCTGCTTCATTGGCTGCTGTCCTTGCAAAGAGGCCCTGAGAGCCTCCTGTGTCGAACCCGCGCCCTTCGAGCTCCCTGTCGTCCAAGACCAGAGAAGCCGATGCCAAGTGTCCGTCTGCGATCACAGGTTCTGTGCTCTGTGGGGCCTCCAAGGTCCCCGCCTTCTTGTGTCGGGTGTAATGGTAGGCCGCTGCTGACGCGCTTATGGTGATAAAGACGCCAAATCCTCCGCCGACCAGGCCGAGGATGAGGCCGAGGTTGCTCCTCTGATCAGACGGGAGCGAGGCAGGCGAAGAAGTTACGCTGATGGCGACAGTCGGCTCGGAGGAAGAGGAGGATGCAGGAGAAGGAGGAGGAGGAGGAGGAGGAGGAGGATCTGCTGCCATGGTCATGTAACCTGAGAAGTGATTGACTAGAGCTCGCGTCAGGTTCTTTCCTGGAACCAACTCGCTGTCCTGCCGCTGCCAAGGCGGAAACGCCGACGTGTTCTTGTAGTAGACGTAGGGCAGCTTCCCAGCAGGAATCTTGCTGGGGTCGAAGGGGGTGAAGATCTCGACCGGCGAGTCGAAGAAGATCCCCGAAGGCTCGAAGACGACAACAGGCCCAGCAGGAGCAACCTCCTGAGCCTGAGGGCCCAGGCTGAGGGATGAGACCTCGAAGACCGTCACTGACACGACGACCCCAGGCGTCTTGATCGCCCCAGGAGGCAGGGAAACGCCGACTCCAGCAGCGGAGGTGATATCAGTGCGGACTGTGGTGCTCACTTGCTTGGGAGGAGGACTCAGCACTTCGTTCACTGTCGCCACCTGCTCGCACTGGAAGCCGAACCGTCCTACGGGGCAGACGCACTTGTCACCTACGATGATGCCCTCGCAGGTGTACGCGCAGTCAGGCCCAAACGTGGTCCCCTCGCACGCTTGCGGCGGCAAATCCTTGAAGGTGAGAGAAGCCGTGGACGAGAAGGAGGGGACCGGCCAGTCTGGCAAGTCAGCCACACAGAGGGAGCAGGAGACGGTAGTCTGAAACTGACCCAGCGATGAGTCCGGGCTCATGCTCGAGATCGAGAAGAGCAGAAACTGCAAGTCTGGGCTGGTCACGTTCAGCACGAGTGTCCTCGACGACGCGATCCATGTCGCCTCAGAGGCAACGCCGGGCCCTTGAACACTCACTCGACTAGCGTTAGTGCTGAGCTGAAGGCCCTGGAGGGAGACCAGGGCCGAGGGCTTGAGGTAGAAGTTAGTCAGGATGGAGATCCTGTACTGGCAGTAGGATTTCGTGAAGCTCGTGTTGGCTGAGACTCCAACGACGGTGAAAGCCGGAAAGGCGATCAGACTGCAGTTAGACCTGCCGGTAGACGGGCTGGGAGAGCAGGTCCACAGCCTCTCAACAGTACAGGAGGAGCTGCAGCCATCCAAGGGAAAGGTGTTGCCGTCGTCACAGCCCTCGTCCCACCCGATCACTCCGTCCCCACAAACAGAAGCAGGCGTTACATGTGGAGATTCAAAAGGCGTTGATTGAACAAAATTCGAAACCTCTTCTGCCCCAAGAGAAAAAGTCGTGCCGGGCTGCGGGGCTTCTGCCGAGCTCGTCGCTTGCTCTGAGTACGCCGACGTCGTGCCGGGCTGCGGGGCTTCTGCCGAGCTCGTCGCTTGCTCTGAGTACGCCGACGTCGTGCCGGGCTGTGGGGCTTCTGCCGAGCTCGTCGCTTGCTCTGAGTACGCCGACGTCGTGCCGGGCTGCGGGGCTTCTGCCGAGCTCGTCGCTTGCTCTGAGTACGCCGACGTCGTGCCGGGCTGCGGGGCTTCTGCCGAGCTCGTCGCTTGCTCTGAGTACGCCGACGTCGTGCCGGGCTGCGGGGCTCCTGCCGAGCTCGTCGCTTGCTCTGAGTACGCCGACGTCGTGCCGGGCTGCGGGGCTCCTGCCGAGCTCGTCGCTTGCTCTGAGTACGCCGACGTCGTGCCGGGCTGCGGGGCTTCTGCCGAGCTCGTCGCTTGCTCTGAGTACGCCGACGTCGTGCCGGGCTGCGGGGCTTCTGCCGAGCTCGTCGCTTGCTCTGAGTACGCCGACGTCGTGCCGGGCTGCGGGGCTTCTGCCGAGCTCGTCGCTTGCTCTGAGTACGCCGACGTCGTGCCGGGCTGCGGGGCTCCTGCCGAGCTCGTCGCTTGCTCTGAGTACGCCGACGTCGTGCCGGGCTGCGGGGCTCCTGCCGAGCTCGTCGCTTGCTCTGAGTACGCCGACGTCGTGCCGGGCTGCGGGGCTTCTGCCGAGCTCGTCGCTTGCTCTGAGTACGCCGACGTCGTGCCGGGCTGCGGGGCTTCTGCCGAGCTCGTCGCTTGCTCTGAGTACGCCGACGTCGTGCCGGGCTGCGGGGCTTCTGCCGAGCTCGTCGCTTGCTCTGAGTACGCCGACGTCGTGCCGGGCTGCGGGGCTCCTGCCGAGCTCGTCGCTTGCTCTGAGTACGCCGACGTCGTGCCGGGCTGCGGGGCTCCTGCCGAGCTCGTCGCTTGCTCTGAGTACGCCGACGTCGTGCCGGGCTGCGGGGCTTCTGCCGAGCTCGTCGCTTGCTCTGAGTACGCCGACGTCGTGCCGGGCTGCGGGGCTTCTGCCGAGCTCGTCGCTTGCTCTGAGTACGCCGACGTCGTGCCGGGCTGCGGGGCTTCTGCCGAGCTCGTCGCTTGCTCTGAGTACGCCGACGTCGTGCCGGGCTGCGGGGCTTCTGCCGAGCTCGTCGCTTGCTCTGAGTACGCCGACGTCGTGCCGGGCTGCGGGGCTTCTGCCGAGCTCGTCGCTTGCTCTGAGTACGCCGACGTCGTGCCGGGCTGTGGGGCTTCTGCCGAGCTCGTCGCTTGCTCTGAGTACGCCGACGTCGTGCCGGGCTGCGGGGCTTCTGCCGAGCTCGTCGCTTGCTCTGAGTACGCCGACGTCGTGCCGGGCTGCGGGGCTTCTGCCGAGCTCGTCTCTTGTCCAGTCTCCTTTCCGTCTCCCGCGCTGCTCGTCTCCTCAGAGGTCGGCTCAGCGTGGTCGAGCTTGACTCGTCGAGCGCTGTTGAGGAGAGCTCGAGGTCAAGATGACGCTGGACTCGGTCCCCTCCGAGGAGGTCGAGGCTTCCGCGCTGCTCGTCTCCTCAGAGGTCGGCTCAGGCGTGGTCGAGCTTGACTCGTCGAGCGCTGTTGAGGAGGAGCTCGAGGTCAAGATGACGCTGGACTCGGTCCCCTCCGAGGAGGTCGAGGCTTCCGCGCTGCTCGTCTCCTCAGAGGTCGGCTCAGGCGTGGTCGAGCTTGACTCGTCGAGCGCTGTTGAGGAGGAGCTCGAGGTCAAGATGACGCTGGACTCGGTCCCCTCCGAGGAGTTGAGGCTTCCGCGCTGCTCGTCTCCTCAGAGGTCGGCTCAGGCGTGGTCGAGCTGGCTCGTCGAGCGCTGTTGAGGAGGAGCTCGAGGTCAAGATGACGCTGGACTCGGTCCCCTCCGAGGAGGTCGAGGCTTCCGCGCTGCTCGTCTCCTCAGAGGTCGGCTCAGGCGTGGTCGAGCTTGACTCGTCGAGCGCTGTTGAGGAGGAGCTCGAGGTCAAGATGACGCTGGACTCGGTCCCCTCCGAGGAGGTGGAGGTTTGCTGCGGGGCTTCTGCCGAGCTCGTCTCTTGCTCTGAGTACGCCGACGTCGTGCCGGGCTGCGGGGCTTCTGCCGAGCTCGTCGCTTGCTCTGAGTACGCCGACGTCGTGCCGGGCTGCGGGGCTTCTGCCGAGCTCGTCTCTTGTCCAGTCTCCTTTCCAGCTCCCGCGCTGCTCGTCTCCTCAGAGGTCGGCTCAGGCGTGGTCGAGCTTGACTCGTCGAGCGCTGTTGAGGAGGAGCTCGAGGTCAAGATGACGCTGGACTCGGTCCCCTCCGAGGAGGTCGAGGCTTCCGCGCTGCTCGTCTCCTCAGAGGTCGGCTCAGGCGTGGTCGAGCTTGACTCGTCGAGCGCTGTTGAGGAGGAGCTCGAGGTCAAGATGACGCTGGACTCGGTCCCCTCCGAGGAGGTGGAGGTTTGCTGCGGGGCTTCTGCCGAGCTCGGCGCTTGCTCTGGGTACGCCGACGTCGTGCCGGGCTGCGGGGCTTCTGCCGAGCTCGTCTCTTGTCCAGTCTCCTTTCCGTCTCCCGCGCTGCTCGTCTCCTCAGAGGTCGGCTCAGGTGTGGTCGAGCTTGACTCGTCGAGCGCTGTTGAGGAGGAGCTCGAGGTCAAGATGACGCTGGACTCGGTCCCCTCCGAGGAGGTCGAGGCTTCCGCGCTGCTCGTCTCCTCAGAGGTCGGCTCAGGCGTGGTCGAGCTTGACTCGTCGAGCGCTGTTGAGGAGGAGCTCGAGGTCAAGATGACGCTGGACTCGGTCCCCTCCGAGGAGGTCGAGGCTTCCGCGCTGCTCGTCTCCTCAGAGGTCGGCTCAGGCGTGGTCGAGCTTGACTCGTCGAGCGCTGTTGAGGAGGAGCTCGAGGTCAAGATGACGCTGGACTCGGTCCCCTCCGAGGAGGTCGAGGCTTCCGCGCTGCTCGTCTCCTCAGAGGTCGGCTCAGGCGTGGTCGAGCTTGACTCGTCGAGCGCTGTTGAGGAGGAGCTCGAGGTCAAGATGACGCTGGACTCGGTCCCCTCCGAGGAGGTCGAGGCTTCCGCGCTGCTCGTCTCCTCAGAGGTCGGCTCAGGCGTGGTCGAGCTTGACTCGTCGAGCGCTGTTGAGGAGGAGCTCGAGGTCAAGATGACGCTGGACTCGGTCCCCTGCGAGGAGGTCGAGGCTTCCGCGCTGCTCGTCTCCTCAGAGGTCGGCTCAGGCGTGGTCGAGCTTGACTCGTCGAGCGCTGTTGAGGAGGAGCTCGAGGTCAAGATGACGCTGGACTCGGTCCCCTGCGAGGGGGTTGAGGCAGATGGTAAAGAATGTAGAGGAGTTGTAGTAAATTCTTCGCTTACATTGGTTGCCGGCGAGCTTGAGATTGAAGACAAAAGTAGGCTTGTTGTGCTTGGGGAGAATGGTAATACCATGGAGGCAATAGACGTATCTTGATGCTCTGTTGATTCAAACAAATCAGATTCTCAATGAACAAAGAAAACATCTTATTTGCTTCAATAGATAAGAGTTTGTTGGTGATGCCCGATTCACGTGGAATTTGTATCGTCAATCATCGCATTCACAACAGGCACAAGTAAATTCTGCAGCAAAGGTAAACATACATCTGAGCACGATACCTTGAGCGCTTGCGATGTGAAAAACCACGTACAACGATAAGACGCGAAGATGAAGAAACAATCCTTTGAAGCAGCTCGACCGTGCCATCTTCTCGCCCTGTGCTCCCATCCTCTGTCCCATTGTTTTCGAGACACGTTCGATACCTTCACCCTCCCTTCGGAATTACGGTGGAACTACCCCTACCCCTCACCCAGATCACCCCACCTACATGATTCAATCAGACAATGGACAGCTACCCCTCATTCATGGGTGTACAGCATACCACCCCTTCTGTCCCACCCCTGCACTATCTCAGATCGGCACTGCAACCAAGTACTCACTTAACCCTTGCCATCACCCCACCCCCCTCATTGACCCCTCCGCTGCCTCTCTCACCCGTTCCAGCTGCACAATACTTAATAAAACTTTGGCAAAGGTCACTACCCTACCCGCATTTTCCCCAAATCCGTAAAGTTGAAGGACCCCTCAGTGGATGCATACGACCCCTCATCATCCGACATCACCCACTTCAGCTGGCTTTTGCTTCGCACAAGTGACCCCCACCCTACCTATGTTCCAACCCCCCACCCGAAGTTACTGATGGCGTTGCCGCCACGTGCTAGCCAGATCCGCGGCACCTCGGCATCTCCCGTCGAGCCTCATAAGGCGAAAGTCCAACCTACACCCCCTGGCTCAATCCGCCGTGCCGACAGCGGCCAGCTGACGGGTCGATGTGGGGTAGTCTAGCACTCTCAAAACTGGAAGTTTCCACTACGCCCACCCAGTTCAGCTGCCGCCAGTAAGTTAGTACCATACCTTCTAGGAGGGTCCTATGGGGTCAGAGGGGGGGTCTCATTTAAGGCTCACCCCCGTTTGTGACTCTGGTTTTACGACATGATCGGGTTGGGAACAGAGGGTGACTAAAATGATTCTTCGACTAAAATGATTCTTGGACCTTTATTGACTAAAATGATTCTTCGTGACTCAAATGCTTTTATTGACTAAAATGATTCTTCGACCTTTATTGACTCAAATGATTCTTCGACCTTTATTGACTAAAATGCTTGTATTGACTAAAATGATTCTTCGACCTTTATTGACTAAAATGATTCTTCGACCTTTATTGACTAAAATGCCTGTATTGACTAAAATGATTCTTCGACCTGGAGTGACTAAAATGATTCTTCGACCTTGAGGCGAGCTAAAAAAAAAGGGCGCAATGGGGGTCGTACGGTAATAATGCTCGGAACTCCGACCTGAAGGCCGCGATCTTGACACTGTAAGTATCAGTTAAGTCTGTGGGGCAGCAGTCGGGCGGCTAAGCGGTGGTTCTCTGTCTTTTAGTCGTCAAAGGCAAGGCTTCTTCCCACAATATAACTTAACTTTGAGTAAAAGATCTGGTAGTAGTACCGTAGTCATCGTAGAAGATCTTCCTCTGCCGGTACCTTATCGAACCTCGTTGACTAAAACGGTTCGGGGGCCAGTCAAAAACTGTACATAGGGAATGACCGAAGCGCGATGGGGGGCAAGAAACCGCGAGAGAGGAGAGGCGAGGGAGGAGGGAAGAAGGGGAGCTAGATGATGAGGGGGGCAAGGAGGGGAGGAGAATATCACATTGATGCCTTGAATTGCTTCTGATATCTCACAATCTGTTCGCATATTGTATTCTTCTATTGAATGCAACCTCATTGGTTGGCTGACAGGAACTGGATGGAGGCGACTATTGGATTTGAGGTTTTTCTTTCATCATGCTGTTCGCCTGTCTCACATCCGCTGGATTTTAGGTGAAAAACACAAATGAAGGCGTCGGCAAAGCTACACCAGCAGGTGCTTTTTCCCTTTCTCCTAGAAATGCGTCTTGGTGGTGATGCACTGGCGAGCTGATGACCTTGCACAGAAGCTGTTGATGTATCCCTGTGGTGGGTTGATGACATCCACCCGTCATCAGGCAGCGACAGCGAGGCATCGCCCTTATGGTGAGCAAGAGAGGAGGAGAAAGGAAGAGTAAAAGGGAGGAGGAGGAAGGGCAATGAAGTGGCTGAGTGCTGTTGAAGGTATTTGGGGAGGGAGAAGTCGCTGGATCTCCAGGCAAAGCTGTGCGAGTCGTCGGAGTACTGGAAGGAGTACGACTGGCTGTCAGAAAGAGAGCTGAACAGGTCTGAATGTCGGTACAGCTGGGATCGTTGCAGTCATCATGCTCTCCAGTCGATGATAGGATGTCCCAATGAGTTCGAGGAAAGGAAGGAGAAAGAGGAGAAAAACAGAAAGCAGCGTTCGCTGAAGCTTGAGAAGTCGATGGATGAGATGGAGATGAAGGAGAGCAGAACGAGGATCAAACTTGGGGCTCTCTGCAATGACAACTCGATGAGCTCTAGAGGCAACTTGTTCCTTTGGTCTGCGACGAGTCAGTTCCTGCGCATCGTGGGCTGCGCATGCGATCTTTCTGCCCGTGCTCGTCAGCGTCTCGTGCTGATGCCGAGGAGAGGGAGAGGAGAGCTCAGTGCTCCGATGCGCCTTAGTGTGCAAGTCGATCCTCTTCCAAACGTGAGGGTGCAGAAGAGGTTGTGCATGGCTGGAGATGTTGGGGAACAGATCTTGGACAGAAAGGGGAGGGCGAGGATAGTGAGAACGGCCAGCAACACAGAGGAATCAAGCACAATAGAAGATATCATGTTCGATTTATACTTTCTGAGCGAGAGCAGCGCACGGAGTTGGATGCTTCAAGGTTTGCGCTCCTCCTTCTTCTCCTGCTCGAGCTTTGGGGAGTGGATCACCTTCGCTTCCGATGATGAAAACGCTGGAGAGGAGGAGAGAGAGAGAGATGAAAACCGCAGGTCTTCTGCAATCGTTGTTGGTGTGTGAGTGTCTGAGTAGGATGGAGGTGTGAAGATTTGAATGAAAGAGGTGGAACGGTGACAAACATGACAAGGCACATGCTGATTAAGAAGAATATTGATGACAAGCAGCTACGCAACAACAACCCGCAACGTCATCTTATATCCCAGCATCCTCCTCCTCCAACTTGAAGATCTCTTCAAATTGTTGGAATAAATTCTGCTCGATGTCGCTGGTTGAGTTTGGGAGCAACTCTACTTCATCTGCCAATGCAGTTACCACCGAGAGAGAACGGCTTCACGTGACTTACACATGTCATTGACTGTCTTGAGAAATCTAGTCACGATGAGGTGCATGTGCATGAAAGCTTTCTTCGCCAACAGAAACTCATTCTCAACCCTCGCGATGTTGTCTTGGAGAAGTCTCTTGAGACGAACAAACTCTGAATGCAATTGTGACATCGAACATCAAACGAGAATTCAAGTGATCAAAGTTAGCAACAGAGCATGTGTCACCTTCCTTCCAACCTCGTGTGAAAGCATCAAGAATCTGTGAGGTGGCAGTCAGCTGAAGGACAAGAAGCTTTAGGGTCAACCTCCTTCGCCTTCTCCTTGGTGAGCGATGGCTCGCCCCCCTCCCCTTCGCCCTCCTCCACTTGCAAGTATCTCTTCATCTCGGCGCTCAATTCCAAAAATCTCTTTCCCAGGACTGCGGGGATCAAGACATTGGTTTGCTCATCCAAGAGCATTCGGAGAGGAAGGCAAGACTGCGCAGGCAGGCCAATCTCATAGTAGGCCTGCAAGATATGATCGAACTGGTTGAAGGCAAAGAAATTCCCCTGCAGTCCAGAGCCCATGGCGTTCTTCATCTCCTTGACCACCTTCTCCAGCTCTTTGATCATGTACTTGTTCGTCGCTTTCGCCATCTGCACTGAGTTCGCGTTCAGACGCGTCTGGATGTCCAGCAGGGCCGAGCTGAGCTCTGCAAACCGCAACGTGAGGACATGGACGTCCTTCGTAGAGCTTCGGCTGGTGAGAGCATGGAGACTCGCCGACCTGACCGAGTCCATCTGTAGCTGGACCGCGTGCTTGAACCTGGGCCATACCAGCATGGAGAACTGGAGAAAGAAATCCTGAAAGATATCTTCTTCCTCCGCCGCACCTGCTTCTTCGGCGACATTCATCTTCTCTGAGATCTTCGACTGAGCAACTTGGACGCAGTAAATCATGAGAAGGATGGCGATGGGGTCGACGCAGCTCTTGACCATGACGCTCACACCCTCCTTGATGACCTCGAGGGTCTGGCTGAGGAGCTTCGCGTACATCTCCTTCGATCTCCGTGGGAAGAGAGAAGAGGCAAACTCATGCTCCGACAGCACCATGTCGACCAGATTCTGCATAATCGCTTGCAAGACAAGCTCCGGCGGCGAAGAGACGCCCTCCTCCTCATCACACTCCACATACTGCATAATATGGTCCAGCCTTCCTCCCAGCGAGAAAGTCGAGTGGTCAGACTGGCCCCTCTCGGACCGGAAGTGGAAGGACTTCAACTTGTCGGGGATGAGCCTGGAGGGGAACCTGCTCTTGACCTCGGAGATGTCGATAAGTCGATGGTCCGCACGGATGACCTCTCTGATGGAGCTCTGACGCACTCGGAACTCCGATCGGAAGTGCGCCGACAGGATCCCTCCCATGGTCTCGAAGTACTTGCTCATCACCTCCCGGTAGACTTCCTCGTGATGGTCGAGGAGGAACTTGACAAACGCGCAATCCTTCCTCAGCTTGTCTTGACCCTCTTGATGTTGCTTCTTGATGGCCGACGAGCCTTGTGAGTGGCTCAGGTTGAAGGTGTGCAGGAAGGGATGATCAGAGTCAAGGCTGCGGATCTTTCTCAGCAGGTGATCCCTCAGTCGGTCTACAGCCTTGGACTTCAAACGATCCAGCAGCGGCTTCACGTGGTCGACAGCAACTCGGCCCTTGTTCAGGTGCGGATCAAGGAAGCTGAGTTTCGCCTCTAGGGTCTGCAGATGCTCTATCATACCATCGTTGATCTCCCCTTCGTGGATCGCTCTTGCCAGCCCAGGAGGCATCGCGATCCCGTCAATGAGAGCTGCGAGCCTCTGCTCCGCGCTCTTGCGATTGTTCGCAAGCACTTCCAGCGAGTTGGCCCGTCGCTTCATGTCCATGATGGTGTTTCCCATCCCCCCCAGCTCCGACTGGCAGGTCGTCAACACGTCCTCGAACGTCTTCAGCATCTCGTCGCATGCCTCGATGTGCAGTCGCAGCTCTGCCACTCCAGAGCTCTGCCTCACGTAGTCTTCAATGCTCTCTGCTTCCGTCTGTCGAAGGTCTGCTTCCAGCTTCTGCGCATACTGCCACAAGTCGCCTCCTCCCACCTTCAGCGCGTCTCCTATCACGTCATCGTCTCCATACCTCACCAGCTCCTCCTTGATGGAGTCTGGATCGTTCAGGATGTCCATGACTTCCTTGTCATCGGAGGTGAAGCCGGGCTGATCCTCCAAATGCGCCTCCAGTATGCTGTCGGAAGGATCTCCCTCCATCACCATCACTCCCTCGCTCACTCGCTCAGCCGCACCATGAGTTCCTCTTGCTCATCCCATCAGAATGCATCAGAGCATGAGTCGTTTTCTTCCAACCGCAAGTTCTTCAGTTCTTCTGCTCGAGTTGTCTCCTCCTTGAGCTTCGACGTTGTATAGCTCACCCTACATTCTGCCAGGACCGCTGGAATGGCAGCAGTTCCTTAGGCGGAGGACGAGGACGAGGACGAGGACGAGGACGAGGACGAGGACGAGGACGAGGACGAGGACGCTGGGGAGCTGAGGGTGGGAGCAGGCGGGGGAGAAAGGGAGGAGGGGGAGCAGCGGAGGTAGGCGAGGGCAGAAAGTAATACTACTGAATCATTTAGTGTTGCAATTTCACTGCCCTGGACTTTCGCAAAGTTGTCAAACCTGTCATGGCAGATTCGCCGTTGTCCGCTTCAGACAAGTTGGAACGATGGTACGAATGCGTAGCAAAGTATCTTGATCCTCCTGCTTCCTGCTCCTCCTGCTCCTCCTCTCTCGCTCCCGCTCCTGCTCCTGCTCCTCCTGCTTCCTGCTCCTCCTGCCCCCCCCCCCCCCCCACACACACACACACCTCGCCCCCCCTTCCTCGTTATCGTCGATGCCATAATCATCATCATCATCATCATCCTCATCCTCGTCTCCACGTCTGCATTTTGCTTCCTCCCTAGACCACTTCAGATTGTTTCACGATTCTTATATGATAGTTCGACAGCCAGGAGGTAGTTGATCTGATCAAATCCAACAAGCAGCAAGTTGCAGAAGTGAAATGGCAACGTGAGAGACTGCTCTTGGTCTTGTCAAGAATGTACTTCACCATCAAGACATACACGAACACAGAAGCAGATCTGAAGTTCAACACAATCAGTGAGAGAATGAATGTACTTGTTTGACTGTGACGCTTTCCGCCTTAGAATTTGAGGAGCTCCAAACAGTGGCTGACGAGATATCATCATGCTTAGAGAAGACATGGTCTGAAAATCGCTTTTTGAAGAAGAAGTTGGACAATGTGCAAGACCTCTGTGACAAGTATCAGACAAGGATCAGTGAGTTAGAAGAAAGATCAGCGGTGCTTGAGAAGGCTGTGGACATATATCAGAGGCAGACAGCACGAAAACCAAATGCTCTTGCACATGACTTGAGGTTTGATCGCCTGATAGAGGACATGAGGAAATCGGATCTGAAGGAGAGTGCACGGCTGATGGAGGTTTGCGGTCTGGCATCTGTGGTAGAATGAATCTGACTGGTTGCCATACTTTCAGCTGCTAGGAGTCTCATTGCAAAACAATCGCAACATGCGCAAGGTAGATAAGTGATGCCTTCTCAAGTTGAAGGTTCATCTTGGATTTGCAGGATTTGGACGAACTAGAAATGAAGTTGAGAGCGACGGAGGCAACAAGTGAGAAGAAGGAGGAGAAGATGACTAGGATGGAAGAAGAGATGAATGTCTTGCGAGAAAGCAATGCACGACTTACGGAGGATGTATCTGGGGTGAGACGATGACTTTTGCTTGCTCAAGTAACTTGCATGCAAGGGTGATAAGAGGCGGAAAGACATCGTGAATGATAAGACGAGGATCGAACTTCTCCTGTGCAAGATCAAGTTCAGGAGGCAGGAATGGTCCCGTGCACAGGCATCATGGATGTATGGGATGAGGGGGAAAGTTGCAGTCAATCCTTACTTGCAATGTTGGAAGACCTTTACATCGTCATGCAAATACAGGTCATTTTGTCATCGGTTTCTTACCAAGGGATTCTGTCGGAATGTGTGGAGAAAGTTTGTTGGTGGTTGGATGGCAGTCACCAGGTGGAAATTGATGGGTCAGAATAAGGTTGCAAAGCACAGGAAGTATAGGATGCACGTGATGAAATGCGCAACCTTCCAAGATTGCAGGATAAACACATGTCACATGAGACACACGAGAAGGAAAGCGATCAACATGCGGTCCAGGTTGGAGAGCAACATCATGTCCCACACGATGAGACGGTGGATGTTCTGCCATTTCCGGAACTCCATGGGGAGATTACGAGCGTTGAGGGCAAGGAACGATAAACTCGAGTCGGTCGCTACGTCTTCTCACTTGCGCAAGTTCAAACTTTCTTCGTTCCTCTCCTGGCTGTCGTGGCACAGAAGGTCCATGTTTATCAAGCGGAGCATCCTTAGAATTCTGCGATCGGCGTACCTGCAGCTCATGGCAAGAGCAACGTCGCAGTGGAGATGTCAGACAGGTTTGAACAAGGGCCATGCAAGCAGAGTCAGGCAAACTTCCGTCCAAGTCTCTCTGGAGGACTCTGTGCATGAAAACATCACAGTCCCTGACGATGTGCCTCATATCACTGACGCTGTTCGAGTGAGCTATGAATCTTCACCCCCTCCCCGTCCGTTGTCCTCTCCGCTCCTCTCTCCTCCTCTCCCTGTTGCTCCTCTCACCTCTCTCCTCTCGGGTCTTCTCCCTTTTCCTTCCCTCTTCCTCTCCCCTTACGTCTTCGCTTCTCACTTCCACTCCTTCCCTCCTCCTTCCCTCCTCCCTCCCTGCTCCTCTAATGCTCTTGCAGATGGCAAAGTTCGGGTCGCGGATTCTGCTTCGCGCCGGCAAATACACGTGGGAAGGATCTCTAGTGATCCAGGGAGGCATGAAGATTGTCGGGGAGAGCAACAACATAGGGGTCGTGCTGGAGGGAAGTGTGGTGCTGATGCCGAGCAGAGGAGTGATGGAGAGGGAAGGGACATTCGAAAATGTCTGCTACTTGACCTGTGTTTTCCGCCTTGACGGATGTCAGGTGACGTTCTTGAGCGACAAGGTCACGATCAACGTGCAGGGAGGGCAGTGGAACTTCAAAGGGTGCGCACTTCTCCCCTGCTCTCGTGCGCTCACGGAGGCCTCGTCCTTCCTGCAGCTGCAACATGCTGGCGCATGAAGGAGGATCGGCAGTCGTGTGCTTCCACAACTCGCAGGCGAGCCCCCCTGTCTCTCTCGTGCTGGTCTGACATGTGCAGCAAGGTTGCCTGCTCCAAGTGCATCATAGGAGGTGCCAGCCTTGAGAACTTTGGGTTGATGAAGCAGGAGGCGCTGCTCGCCATCGGCAAGTACCGCAACAGTCACCTCCTGACCGCTGCTACCGCAAACTTCGCGCTCATTCAGAGCGGCAGCTCACGGTAGACGACCTTCCTCCTGCCTTCCCCTCTAACATGATCGCAGGGTGTCCTTGCACGAGAGCAGGGTCGACAACTCGACCTTTTGCGTGTTCCTCCAGGAAGCATCCTCCTTCGCTGGGCAGGACACCGTCTTGTGCTCGCAAGGGAACGTGCTCAAGGTTCACAGCTTCGCCTCCTCCGTGTCGGTCCAGGTGCGAGAACCAACTGCGAGCTACTCTCCAGCTGAGACAGAGCAGATGCTCGGGTGCGTCCTCATCTCTCGAGGAGGGTTCATCTTCCAGATCGACTCCAGCAGCGTCTCAACCATCGTCTCTCTCTCCTCGTGCTCGGTACCACCCGTCCTTCCCGCCCTCTACTTCATCCTCCCCTCCACTGCTCTCCGTCCCTCCTCTTCATGCCAGGTAGCTGACGACTCGGCAGCTGCAAGGGCACCTGTGGGAGCATCTGCCATGGAAGGACATTGAGTTCTTCGAGTGCAGCCATGTGGAGAGAATGAGACCGTGAGCAGGACAAGGACGGAAGGAGAACGAGGGGAGAGGAGAGGAAACGACGGGAGGAGGGGAAGGGAGGAGATGGGAAGTCAAGAGGGGAAGAGAGGGGAGATGGAGGTAGCTCGGAAATCTCGCGTCGTCGTGATGATTTATTTCTCTTTCTCAGCGTTTGGCACGTTGGTACGAGAATTCTCGTAGGAGGCTCGCAGCAATCTCGCTTTCTCCTCGTAGAGCTGGCGAAGTCCCGCCACCTGCTACCAGTCAAAGCAGAACACGAAGACAGCCGGGAGGAGGACAAGGGGAGGAAGGCGACGATGAGGACGAGGAGACGGGGACGAAGACGGAGACGGGGACAGAGGAGGACAACGACAAGGAGGAGGAGGAGGAGGAGGAGGAGGAGTCGAGCAGCCACCTTTGCCTGCAGCTCCTGCTCTAGCAAGTTGACTCTCCTCGCCAGCTCCGCCTTGGAGGTGATGTCCCCGTCCTTTCCCGCCAGCACGTTCTCCATGACCTCCAGGTCTCCGACCTCGACGATGTCGAGCTCCTCGAAGTCGGCAAAGAAGGGGCTGAAAGTCACCGAGAAGTTCAGCGGGTCATCTCCTGCCTCAGCCTCCTGCGATCCACTGGGTCAGTCACGAGCTGGAGGGCAGCTGACTAGAGCAGCACCGTAGCAGCTGGCGCCGTCACGGACTCGTCCGCTGCTTGCTGCACCCCTGATGCCGCTCCTGACGCTTCACTGCTGCTGCTCGGGCCCTGAGAGGTTTCACTGATGGACGCTGCTTGCGCAGCAGCTTCATCGTCTAACTCCTTTCCGATGTGGCTGGCGACCGCGACATCCTTGAAAATGAAAGTTCCAGTATCACCAGCGGCCTCAGCTGCCTGCAAGCCTTCTCCTCCTCCCTTGCTCTCTTTGAAAATCACTGTCCCCGCCTTGTCCACATCATCTTCTGCCCCTTCCTCCTTCGTTGCCTCCTTTGGCAGGTTTTTGATGATCACGGTACCTGTGCTGTAATCGTCCTCAGCACCTTGGTCTGCCGTAGCCGCGACCTTCTCCTTCGCTTCCTCCGACATCTTTTGATTCGTCTGCTCCTGTGTGCCGCTCGCTACATGGCTATCAAGAGCCTTGGGCTGCAGGGGTTTGAAAACAACTGTCCCGTCCATTTCAACCTCCTCCTGAGGAAGATTCTTCAAGATCATCGTTCCTACTTGTTCGCCTGAGCTGTCGTCCTTCTTAACCATCTCCTGCTCCTTAAAAACGACTGTTCCAGTATCTCCGTCCCCGAAACGGTTGATGTCATGTATGATACAAGTTGAGCCCTCTTCCTCACTCTCCACTGATATTCTTCTTCCAGATTCTTGATCTTTAAGGTTCGAACTATCCATACTTCTGATATCACACGTCAGCTTCATTTAGAAACGCAGATGCTGCAATCTTACCCAGATTGCTCGTTGGGCTGCAGCCGCCATTTGTTGATGGCTGCCAGGCCGTCTTGAACCAGCGAGGCCAGGAGATTATGCTTGTTTTCTCCTTTCTTCACAAACGGATGTTGGAGGAGATCTGCAATCAGTTGTCCTCAGTGCACAGTCTCCGACCCCACGAGGGCCATACGAGTTGGGTTCGGCCGAAGGGAAGGGTCTTTCTCGAGGCACATGGATAGAAACTCGTTGAACTCCGGCGACCATCGCTCGGGCTCCTTGAGCGTAGGTGGTTCTGACTTGGGGATGAGAAAGATCGCCCTAGGGTCATGTCAGACGTCAAGGCAGAACGTTTCGCATGTCGCGCGGTCACCTGAAAGGATGCATGTCCGCCCTTGGCGGGGCGCCCTCCGCCATCTCGATCGCTGTGATCCCCAGCGACCAGATGTCGGCGAGCCCGTCATAGTCGGCCATCTGAATGACCTCTGGAGCCATCCAGAAGGGAGTTCCGACGACAGTGTTCCGCCTGAGCGAACACAACCATCAGTCTCGTCACGCCATCGAGGGGTCTACTCACTTGGAATAGGTCGACGAGTACCGAGCAGCAACGCCGAAGTCAGCTAACTTAGCCTCGCCCTTGTCATTGAGCATGATGTTGGCAGCCTGTGCGGGTACAAGATCGCAGCATAAGGGGATATTGCAGGTGATAAACCCTTTCACGCTCATACGAGGATCCTACCTTGATGTCTCGGTGAATCTTGCGCTGGCCATGGAGGTACTCGAGACCGCAGAGGGCTGCCCGGCAGATGGAAGAGATCTGATCCTCGTCCAGCCTGCATGAAGATCAACAGAGGAGGGTTGAGCCGAACAGACAGCATGACGCACGTGATGTTCATGGCCTCCATGACGTCGCTGACTGACCCTGCGTTGCAGTACCTGCACAGGAAGTCACGACACGGTTCATAGGAGAGAGTGGGGAGAGGATACTCCATAGATATCCAGAGGTCGTTGTCCTTGATGTAGCTTCCAAGGTATCTCACGATGTAAGGAGAATCGCATTGTTTCAGGATCTCAATCTCTCGCTCCAGTGGCGACATGTCACTGTCTGATGGGAGAATCTTTACAGCGACGTTCTGACCAGTTCTGCAGACAACACGAGCTCGATCAGAGGGAGATTCTTCGACTCATACGAGATCACTTATTGTCGATAGCACGATAAACAGACCCAAAGGAGCCTTCTCCTATCTTCTCCTGCACTCGCTATCAGACGTGCGGAAATGAACACATCCATCACAAAATGCCTGAAGGTTGAGAAACTCGGCGGGATCGACATCAGAAGCAGTCGAGAGATCGTCTTCTTGTCTTTGTTCCTCCATGTTGGAAAAGTTTGCCCGAGCAACCCTCCTCGCCTCCTCCTCGCCAACCCAAGGCCTGTTCATTCCACCCCTTTCAGCTGGACGGAAGGAACACCCAATACACGAGTATATCATCTAACAACATCGAGCTACAGAATTGTTCTCGTATTCCCTCCTTTCTCTCCTCTCCTCTCTCCTCTCCTCCCACAAACTCTCGCCCTGCCCCTGCCCCGTCCCTCCTCCCGCCTCCATTCCTGCTATCGCACGCCATGCGGGACAAAAAGATTAGTTATATCATGCTACGGCAGGAACCGTGAAACAAAGCTCGCCTCGGAATGACAACAATTGTCCCTCATCCCCGCCATAATCCATCATTCGCGCCACTCCCGCCATGGCAGGGCTGACGAAGGAGATTCATGAGGCGACTATGCAGACCCTGACGAAGGTACCGAGAGGAGGAGGAGGAGAAAAAGGGAGAGGAGACTCGAGATGAGGGGATGATGATTCATGCCGGAGAAAGATATGACCAAGAGTTGTTGCCATCCGCTGTGGTACTACCGATGGGGTACATTGCAGGGTGGCGTGAGGGCAGGAGAATTACAACCAGGCTAGGGATGATGAGATTTAGTACTTGAGCTTTGTTGGTCAGAGCATTGAAGCCTGTGCTTCAGTGAAGATGGTGGTTGAGGCATTGATAGCTAGAGCGATCTCCTTGTGGCGAAGCAAACATCGCGTAGGTAGTACGGATTTGATCGGATCAAGCCCGTAAGTCGATTTGATGATACGGAGAGGCACAAAGGCTTTTGAGAATGATGTTGGGCATAAAAAATCAAAGGGAGAAGCATTAGTCTCCGGCGATGATCCTGTTTCTCCTTCGATCAGCGAGTACCTTGTCTGTTCCGAACTCATGTTGCTTTTCAGTTCAACGCCCTGGAGCCGAAGGATGCTCAGGTCTCGCTGGAGCAGCTGAAGGAGCTGAAAGTTTGTGCAAGTCAGGCGTAAGAATCTCCGCCAGCTGCCCTTGACGTGGTGCTGAAACGCTTTCTCAGCTGCGACCTGCTCGACAACATGATCTTGCACGCGCTGCCGTCCAGAGAGACGATTCAGAAAGAGCTTGAAAGTCTGAGCGACTTCAAAGATGTCACGGCCTTGTTTGAAACGCATCTGATACCGTAACTTCCAATCGCCTTGCTGACTTCCTCCTCCCGCTCATCCCCGTTGTCGATACTGCAGGATGCTGTCGGAGAAGGTAGAGAAGGCTCTGGAGGCTGAGGTTCCTTTCCGCGTCCTCTCCATGTTGGCTCCGATCCTTCAGTTCTTCAACAGTCATCAGAGCAAGATGGAGGGCTCGGAAGAGGTGGCGAGGAAATTCATTCAGCATTGGGCGGTGAGAGCTGCTGCCTTGCTGTCCTCCTGTCCCTCACTTGCCATGCAGGAGCTGCTAGGCGAGGGTTTGAGCATGATGGGCGTCACCGACGACTTCGAGATCGATGCGACGGTCTTCCATGAGCTGCTGTCTGCTGTCCAGAACGTCGGGATCTTTGAGGACGACTCTCTCAACGAGGCAGCTGAGCAGCTGGAAGGGTTCCTCAGGCAGTATGAGGAGGACGGACAAGAGTTTGAGGTGACCCCCAGCTCAGTTTGCTCGCTGCCCCTGATCTTTCGCATGCAGGAGTATGGCGGCGAGATCTCGGATGAGGAGGAGGACGGAGGCGTTGTACGTGGGAGCAGCGAGGACGGAGACGCTGAAATCGAGGAGCAGGAGGAACCGAAGGGGAAGAGGGGGAATGGCCCAGAGGCCAAGAGGAGAAAGAAGACGTGATGGGACAAGCGTTGTTCTCTAGTTTTCAAAACCTGGCGCATGTTGCTCCCAGCCCGGAGATCTTTGAAGTTGCCCAGTCGCACTCTTGCACATTAATCGATCAGACAGGAAATGAAATGAAGTTTTAAGAATTTACCTCTCCAATGTGCCTTGCGACTGAGTTACAGGACGTCGTCTCGCACCCTTCGACGATACGAATCTTGAAAAAAGTCAGAGAGAGCATGTTCAAAGGGAAATCAATCAGAGGCAAGTCAAACAAGCTGCTCCATCCATGTCTACCTGCGCTGCACATCCTTCCCTTCCTACTCGCTGTGCGTACTCGAGCTCTGCCTGCAGCCAAGGGTGAGGTTGACTAGTAGCGCCGCAGCCAGACTCATACTCCATCTCCCCAATCTTCATCCTGCAAGTGGGAGGCAAACAGTAAGGAAACGAAGGAGGGAAGTATTAACGGACCTGTCTCCCGACTCGCTCCTCCAAGACTTTCCTGCCAACCAGCATGTTCGACTCGGAACATGCGAGGAGTTTCTTTACCTCTTCCAGATCGCCGCCCCGTTGGTCCATGCTCCCCAGCCCATGGAGCCTGTTTTCATGCAGTGCCTGCAGATCCGAACTCACGACATAAGTCACACATGTCCCTTGTCACTCGCTTCCTCTTCCTCGTACCCCTCCTCTTCCCCTCCTCTGCAGCTGTCCCTCCATCTCGTTGCCATCCCCTTCTGTCGCCTTCCTTGCTCAACTTCACCTTCGATATTCGATCCCTTCCGACGTTCTCATCCAGTCAGATAGCTCAGCCTTGTAGTCTAGCTCCTCTCGGAACAAGACCCCCACCACCATCTCGTCCTCCCTCAGCACCTGCTCGCCTTCAGCGCTCTTCTCCTACCCAGAGGCCCCTCAAGCTCGTCACCCTCCAACCTTGATGGCCATCGAGATGACAGGAACGTGCGTCTTGTCTTGTCTCCACTCCCAGTCTTCCTCCATCGTCATCACAAACTCCGATCGTCTTGGTGGAGACGATGGCGTGAGAACTCTGAAGCAACAGGCACTCAACACCTGCATAAGTCGAAGATCAAAGTGTTCAGCCCGTGGGTGGCTCCATAATTGACCTGTACAAAATGAGGAGGAGCAGGAGCAGGAGCAGGAGCAGGAGCAGGAGCAGGAGCAGGAGCAGGAGCAGGAGCAGGAGCAGGAGCAGGAGCAGGAGCAGGAGCAGGAGCAGGAGCAGGAGCAGGAGCAGGAGTTGGCGAACATTAATAACCTTATAGAGTGCAACTCTCTCAAACTCGAACTCACTGTACACTTTCAACGCTTGGTCTCCCGAGTCGTTGTCCACCCAAACCAACTGGAGGCTAGCAGTAAGAACCCCAGCGTCCCTCCTCTTCTTCTTTCCTCGTACTCAATCTCCGGCTCATGTCGTTCAAAGTGCACTACAAGGGCAGAAATGCTGACAAGAGTCAAAGGAAGCCTCCAATCCTCCTCTTCTTCGATCCCTGCTGCCCTCCCACCTTCCCTCCCTCCTCTACCCCCGCCCCCCCCCCACCCCCAACCCCACCCAACTGCATCCTCCTACTGCTCGTCCTCTACCTCCTTCTCAGCAAATGCAGTCGCCGGCTGCTCAAGAAACCTGCGCAGACCTGGCAACGCAGGATGAGTAGACCGAGCGCCTTCAGGAAAGGCACCTGGGGATACGCGACGGGGAACCGAGCTCTCGTCACCCTGTCGCTTCCTCCGACATCTTGAGGGGTTGAACTCTCCTTCCTCCTCTCCTCCAACTTCCGTGGGCCTGAAAGGGACTTAAAATGTGGCAGGAGGCAACGAGCAGGGAGCAGGGAGCAGAGAGCAGGAGGCAGGAGGCAGGAGGCAGGAGGCAGGAGGCTGGGGGGAGAAAGCAGAGCAGCTGAGAAGCTGAATGGCTGAGAGGCAGTATGAAGTGAAGGAAAGGTTGAGTATGAGGCATGAGGCTACCGGTGAAACGCAATTTGATCTCAGCATGAGCAAGCGGTTCTGCCTTGTCGTCTTCGCGGAGGAGCAGAGCTACTCTAACTATATGCCAGGAAGGGCCGAACGGGATAGCTGTGAAAAAATGGTGAGAGAGGAGGATGAGGAGTGGAAGGAGCGAAAGGAGAGAGAGGGTAGGAAAGAAGAGAAGGGGGGGAGGGGAGAGAAGTGAGATAGGGAAGAGAAGGAGAGACAAAAGGGGGAAGAAGGTGTTGTAAGAAACCAGTTCTATTTCGATCGATCGTGACGGACATGTTGGAAGGAGACGGAATCTGAGCGACTGGTTGGAGGACTTTTGGATAGGTAGAGTCCATGTAGATGACTAGAACACAACAATCACCCCACCTGAGTTCAAGAGCTGAATCAGACCGACAAAGGAGGAAGAGCGAGAGAAAAATGACAGAAGCGGAGGAGGAGGAGGAGGAGGAGGAGGTGGTGGTGGTGGTGGTGGTGGAGGAGGAGGAGGTGGTGGTGGTGGTGGAGACAATGAGGGATAGATGGAGGAGTTGAAGTAGCAAGGTGCAGTACCTGGGGAGGTTAACGACGCTGATGTTGAGAGAAGCATTCAAGACTGTAGCTCCTTGTTGGGGGTGTAGGATCAAAACTTGAGGAGGCCCGTCGACAGCTGCGTCTGCCTCTTCGTTCTTGATCTCACTTGCCGCCCCTCCCTCTCCTGCCTCATCCTCCTCTCCTGCATTGGGATGCCGGATGAGATTGAATTCTCTGCCTTTTGCGAGTGTTCAGTGCTCCGCGGTAGAAGGTCTCAAGTCACCTCTTCGGAATGCAGACGTCCACACCTGCAGCAGAGAGGAGAGATGAGCTTGCTGGAAGGAAAATGTCTGTGATTGCTGTTGCAGAGCCCTTGAGAGGGAAAAAGTTTCAGAAAGCGGAGTTGTTTACAAACTCCCATCACTTGTAAACGTCGATACAACTGAGCAACTTGATTGAGAAGGGATCAGCTGCATTGATGATGTGTTTGTTTGTATCTAAATCTTGATGTTCAAGCTTGTAGGACAAGGTGTCTCCTTCCTTCAGGCATTCCAAAAGACTGTACTGAGGTCAGATACTCATAATCGTCATCGAAAATGAAATCACAAACCTTCCCAAATCCTGCTTTTCAGACAGAAGCTCTCTTGCCAAACACGTCATGCAAACTTCTCGTGATGATTCACTTTGATCAAGTCAAGACCTCGCACGCCGTAAGAAGTTTGCGAAACAAACCTTTCAGCTTCAATTAAAGCAACCTCGTCTTCACACTTTCGACCTGCAGGCAAATTTCGAACGTGTTTGCCGTTGTACAGCCTGCCAAGTCGTTTGCACATTGCAAGTTTCAGACTGTTGAGATACACATCTGCTATGGTTGTCTCATACACCTGGATCAAACGTCAAGAACATGTTCAACAGCACGTCTGTCCTCTATCCTCTCCTCACCTCATTCCACTCCTCGGTGCACGGTTGATATCTCTTTATATGATCACCCTCCCAGTGCCTTCTTGACTTGACCGTGTAATGGTTGATCCTTAGGATGTCAGGAGGCAACAGAACGGCCTCGAACAATCCGTTGGATATGTCATGAATGCAGGGGATGTAAATATGTCCATCCTCTGGCCGGAAGATGTACTGGAAGATGTTAAGTCATTCGATCGATGTGACTCGGGTAGAGGAAGGGATGAGAAGGAAAGTGATAGAGGCAAGGGAGTAGGTGGGAGAGAGAGAGAAGCAAAGAGCAGAAGCAAGGGGGAGGAAGAAACAACCAGTTGGAGGAGAACAGGAGGGAGAGGAGAGGGAGAGGAGAGGGAGAGGAGAGGGAGAGGAGAGGGAGAGGAGAGGGAGAGGAGAGGGAGAGGAGAGGGAGAGGAGAGGGAGAGGAGAGGGAGAGGAGAGGGAGAGGAGGTGGATTTGGCACCTTCTTGCGATAGGAGAACTTGGAGATATCATCTGAGTGATTCAGGTAATTCTCAATGACGAGGCCGCCTGAAATCGCATCAACCTCCACTCATGTCAAGTCGAGGGTGAACAACCCGGGGGCGACGAGAAGTTCTGATGGCCGTAGAACATCTCCTGGACGTACAGAAGAGCATCGGGATGGTCGAACAGCTGCAGCACCTGGCTCGCAGCAGTCAACGATCACAACGCTTGTCATGTGGTCAACTGAAACTAGCAAGCAAACATGCGCGTCACCTCCCTGACATCCTGCTGCTGCCCGTCCCCCGGCAAGAGAAACTCGTCCACGTCGATCATCGCCATCCAGCGAGACTCGTGCCCGTACTTATGCGTGCAATGGATGAAAGCTTCCTTCTGTAGAGGTATCGTACCTTAGCATCATCGTCTCCATCATCATCTTCTTCTCCTCCTCCTCCTTAATCACCTCCATCATCTCCATCATAAGCATCTCCAACAATATCATCAAAATCATCTCCATCCCCGTTTCCATCCCCGTTTCCATCTACATCTTCATCTCCATCTCCACAACGTATCCTTGCTTCATGAAGCATTTGGAATTTGGGTGGGACAAATGGATAGCGGAGGGGAGGAGGACGAGGGACACACTGAAAGGACCTGGGGATGACCCGGGAGGTCCCATTGGTGGAGGTCGACGATCCCAGCCGTCACGTAGGGATGGAGCTCGACAGAGGCGTTGTCCACACTCTTGTGATTGTAAAGATACATATGCTGCACGCCCGCAAGAAGGTGATATTCCACCCATTCTAGCACATCCGCAGTAAGTTTAACCTTATGGGGATCAATGGTACAGCACGTGAAGAAAGCAAGATCAGGACATGCAATGATGCTCCCTACCATTCACATTCTCTACATCAATACATACAACTCTACCATTCACATTCTCAACATCAAGACACACAACGCTATTCTTAACATCCTCAACATCAAGACACACAACAAGTCTCTCTATCCTCCACATCCTCAGCGGCTTCACCTGCGAGGTAGGGCGCCTGGTCGCGGAAGATGGCACAGATGCTAAGGTCGAACCGCAATCTCGGAGCGGTGCTGATTACATTCGGACACAGAGGAAGAGATACCTCCGCGACGACCAGGTTGATCCTCAGGTCAACCGCTCGGAAGCGAAACTTCGTGAGCAGTCCTCTCTTAGAGGAAGGAGGAGAAGTGATTTGCTCGTTCAGACCAGCGGGAAGGAAGCAGGTAGCGAGGTTGTGGCTCAACTGATTGTCCACTATGAGGGTCGCGTTAGAAGCCACTTCCTCCGCTCCCTCGTAGAAGACGCACTGGTACAGCATCCCCCTCGTCTCATCCTCGCTCCTCCCTTTCACGTTGTGCGCTCTCATCCCTTGCGGAGGCATCACCCAGATCCAGGACCTCCGGAGCTCCTCGGGGATCCTGTCGTTATGGCATACCTTCCTGGCCGTGTTCGAGGTCTGCGGATTGTTGTCCCACACACAGTAAAGTCCGCCCAGAGGCTTCATGGTCGGCCCAAAGATGACGATCTGACGATGAACGGATGAATATACCACATCGACAACGAACAACTCTCCATGGGCAGAGGACTCTGGCTGTTCTAAACACGTTTGCTGCCGATGTGTGTTGGTCACGCTCTCGTTCACATCATGAGATCGAATGATCGCTTTGCTGAAATGCTTTGTCAAGGCAGCATGGTTGTCTTGGTCCAATCTAACAAGAAGGGCGTAGAAAATTCTTTCGCGATCTCGGAACTCCACGTCGAGGTGGCAGGCGGCGTAGTAACAAGCGCCCATAAACTCTCCGTCCAAGAATGCCATGGTTGCAGAGAATCCCTGTCCCACTTTGACGTTCCCTGCTTTCCAACGTATCCTCACATTCTCCTCCGAGTTTCGAACTATGATGTTGATGAACGGTGTCTCCTCCTCTTGACCCCAGCTCCTCCCTGGGACAAGAGCGCCTCCATCGGAATGCTTCTCTAGCAAGACACTACCACCTTCAGCTTCCGTATGCACATGAGCAGCTCCATAGTCAGCCCAGACATCTCTTGGGGCCTTCTGTCTCAAGAGGACGTTTACATCTTCATCTGACAAGGACGCAGGATCCCAACATGAATGCACGACTGTCACACAGGTGAGAGATGAGAGGAGGATGGAGAATCTGAGACGCATGTCTTGTCATCAGCACATCTCCTGTCTCCTCTTCATTCTTCATCTTCAACCTCTTCTCGGTGTCCTCCCTCTCCTTCCTCCCCTGCTCGCATTTCTCTTGCAGCCATGGCGCTCCCAGTGGCGCTCCCCGACAAAAGTATCGGGGCGGGTCCAGTGGTCTACCATCATTGTGGTTACATACCCTGAGAGACTCCTCAGACGCTTCGGGAAGTAGGCCAGAAGGGGGTAGGGGGTACTCAATTTAGAAAGTCTACTTAACAAGGCAGGGTACTTTTTGTGATTGACTGGGGGGTGAATCCAAGGGGTGGTGAACCATACCTAGGGTGGGTGGTATCCAGCAATGTAGAAAGAGGTTCTCGCGGCAGATCCGCCCCATGACAGCGAAGAGGAGGAGATGCGAGGAGAGGAGCAGAAGCGAGAAAGGTGGAGAAGCAAAAAGAGTGGTCATGGAAGAGGAGATGCGAAGAAGTAAGGAGGTGGAGGAGCGAGAGCGAGCAGAAGAGCAAGAAGTTGCTAAAGCAGAAGAACGGGTTATGGCAGTTGAGATGGACCAGAAGGAAGAGGAGAAGGAAATGCGATATTAGGGGGAGGAGAGGAGAGGAGAGGAGAGGAGAGGGTGCAAGGATCCAGAGAATCTGAAGTAGGATATGATGAGCAGATTTTGCCTGATAAAATACATGATATGCGGAGAGGTAGAGTCCCAGTGGGATACATATGAGATCGCAGAAGATTAGCACAAAGATATGAGCAAGTTCAGAACAAAGTTCAAAACGCGATATGTTGTGAAAAGATCCCCATGGCAGGGATAAAACGTATCACTCCATCTTCGAAGATTTTCATTTGTGCATGACGGGGAAACGTCTTGTGCATTGCTGACTTGTTCTTAGTTGAACTCCCAGAAACTTCTAGCAAAGGTCTGCAAGACCGTTACCTTCTATCTCGATCGATCTTTCCCCTTCGAAAGACTTTGGATCCTTCCGTTCCTGGATATGGCAGATAAAAAGAATGTCCCATGTTTTTTCTTTCGTGAGAATTTTGATTTCTTCCAACATTTTGAATAGTGATTGTTTTCCCCTACACAAACGTGCTTGTAGGAAAGGGAGCTTGCAGAAATGGCGACAATTGCCCCTTCTCCCATGATCCGAACTGTCCGCCTACAGTGCAAGAGCCACAACCAAGAACCGGTGACACGTCCTTGACGTTTCAAGGATGTGGAGGAGAATTCCAGGTCATTGAGATCTTGCTATGCTGTCAGGCCCCCCTAGTCGATTCATTTATATCGAACCGAAGCATCCATCAGTGTACTACTCCATCGATGTGAGTTCCAAACTCTTTCAATTCATGAAATTTAAACATATGAACAGGTGGAATGTGTTGCGACGGACGTGCAGGTGAAAGACAAAATCTTGGAGAGTTTTCTGAATGATTCGCACTTGTGTAGTGCCTCTTGAACGCTTTCTGACCCATCCTTAACACAGCACAATGCTCGCGCTACAGCTCAAATTTCTTTGGTCTCATATGACGAACAGTGTATTTTGAATCTATGTGTGACATGCTTTTGCCATCTAAATCTTGCCTGAACTTGAGTTTAGATGTCAAACCAGAATGCGAGGTTCGGAGCTACCTGTCTCCTTTGACTGGGTTATGATTTTTAAGTAAGTGAGGGTCAAGACTGATGTTGGAAAAAGGCTGTCCAAGGAGATGCTGGACCAGCATGGCATGAGCTTGGATCAGGTGCATTCTGCATACTCGAGCATAGATACTAATGCTTCGCGTCTTGTGATGTCCCCTAAGGCGATGGCAATTCTGAGATCCCATCTTCCAAAACATGCTATTCTGGTCGGTCAAAACATTCGCAAGGATGTTGAGTGGCTCCAGGTGAAGGCAGGCCTTTCATGAAATATGTCAGCTAAGAAAGTTCAAAGCTTGAAGAAGGCAAGGACTTTGAGAGTGTTGTCGATCTGGCAGGAATTACAATCTTGGGCTTGTTTTCTGAATCGTACTGAATGCTCTAAGCAGTCATCGGAAGAGTATGGAATGATCAGTTCTCATCGTTCACCTACTTCGGATTGGATCATACAGCCACATGCTGGTTAGGTCAGGTGAGTCGGTTGAAGTTGCGGGAATGCAAATAATTCTCCACGAAGGCGAACAGCGGGGCACCACACAATGCTGTGACTGATGCCATCAAGTCAATGCAGGTAATTTCCGCTGAATTCCATTTTGCATATGACGAGTCCCTCAAGATTTTCAAGCTGTACCTCAGCGTTCAGAACGATCAAAAGAGAGTTGAAGAATTGCAAAAACTCCTGCTTGCAACTCCTCTTGCTCCTTCCTTTGCGAAGCAGGTTTTTGGCCAAATGAGTCCAGATCTGGTCTAACAATCGGACGCAGCATCCAACTTACGAAGGCTGCTGCATGGGAAACAGGAAGACCTGCACGGTAAGGCGTTTGTGGGTGAAATGTAGAGGTGACTTGCTGATCTAGTGCGGAGCTCCTTTCTTCAGTTAGTTCAAGTCAACTTTCAAATCAAATTAATGGGAAGGAATGGATGCTGAATTAGAGATTCAAGGAGATCTTGTTTCTACACTGTCTCGAGAGACAGAATATCGCATAACGAATGCAACGACATGGCTGAAATCGCGTTGATGTTTTTATTCTCACATTCTCACCAGTACGCTCCTCTTGCCTGCGATATCAACAATTTGGTCAGTGTATCTTCACAATCAGTGACATCAGTTGAGCACAGTCAGTCAAACAACCATACCTTGAGCTTATCTGTGAGAGTGTTGATGGCAGCCTCCTCTGATTCCCACAACATCTGAAGAGAAGGATCAGCTCCTGCTTGCGGTGGTGAACTTACTCGCCGTGATGATATCCGCAACTTCCTTCCTGACAAGGCTCTCTTGCCCAGCCATATAGGCCTCCTTCAATCTCGCTCGAGCGTCGTCGATGAAATCCTTTCTGTCCTGGATAATTCGGCGCATGAAGATTTTGGCTCTTGCCTCGTTCCCCTCCGAGAGCATCTCACCATAGTTTGTCTGCACCTTCGTCAAATCTGCTTCATTCGAAATTTCTCTGATGCGAAAGTAGTTAATCAAAGGGCCCATCGGATCTGTGTCATGTCTGATGTCGAACAGCTGCTCGACGGCTACCATGCCACGGGCTTTCAGGATTTCTTCCTTCTGTGCGAAGTACGGGTCTTTCTCATCAATACTGACGGATAGAGTTGTTTCTTGGCACTTAGGATTGGGCGAAACAAAGCCGTAAGTAGTCAACATGTTCCAGCTGTCGTGGAAACTGTCAAGAGCCATTTCAGTTTTGCATCAACAAACTTACTTGGGCTTGTCGCCATAGAAGCCGAAGAGCTCTTCACCTTCCTCGATGCTCTTGCCCTTGTCTGCGACACGGACAGGAAAGCCCTTCTCGTTATCTCTCTCGAGGGCCGTGTCGAAGGTGATCGAGGGCCCGTAGCTCCCATGGTTGAAGATGTCCAGCAATGGAATCACCACTCTCTCTTCCAGCCCCTTGTCGCCCCTTCCTATCTTAGAGTCGAAAGCTCTGGACAGGACGGAAGCAAAGGCTCCTCTCATCATGAAGCCGAACTCCTCCGGTGTCATCTTTTCCGTCTCGATGGTCTGGAAGAACTGCTTCCAACCTTTGGGGTTGAGGACAGGCTCGAACAGCTCTGTGGCTACCTCCACCTGTTCTCGGAAGGCGAGGATCTCTCTGTGAGCATAGGTCCCTTCCAAGAGATCGACCTCTTCGTCTGTCCACAGAAGAGGATGAAGAGAATCCCAAGGCAGAACATCGATGAAAGGCTTGTAGCTCGACTCTGATCCCTTCATCTTCTCCCGCGCAAGGAAAGTTGCTAGTGCGACGACTTCGATTCCTTCCCCTGCAGCGCTTGCAAGCTTCTGCATCGACTTACCGAGCTGACGATCCTCAAAGACGAGCTCTGGATAGATACAGCATGACTTGGGGATCATGAAGAGCGTTTCTCCGGGCTCCAGCCTTCTGTTCGCGAACACGCCCTGGTACCTTCAATCAGAAGACACAGAGCACGTGGGAAGGCCAGACCAATCCTTCCAACGGACTCCTCTGGAGGTCAACCTTGCTCATATCTACACCATGCTCCTCCTACAAGCTAGTCAGTGGCAATCATAATTACAGCATGGCCGACCTCCAACCAGATCCGCAGGGCGTTCCCTCTCAACCCCCCATCAACTTCCACGACCCTCTTCGGTGCATACCACAAGGATTGGTCACTGGTTGAGACTTGCATCCTGCTAACAGACAACTCGCATCGCCCGCTGCAGCGTCTCAGTCTCAAGCTCTGCATTCCTTGTCCCCGGACATCCAATCGAGACAGGGAGAAAGCAAACGACTGAGAAACCATGCTCATCATCATGGCGGCTAGGATGATCGAGGTAGATCCTCCTGCTCCTCCTCCTCGCTTGCTCCTTTGTGCATCACTGTGTCTCCCCCCTCCTGCTCCTGACTTCTGTCGTCTCAGTGTCTCGCTGCCGGTACCATAAGCGGCCATGTTTTATAAGACGGTAGGTTCCCCGCTTCCCCGCTCAGACCGTCTGGCACAGCGGCACCCAGAGCAGCACCCAGAGCGGCACCAGCCAGGGCGGGGCCCGGGCCCCGCAGACACCGGACAGTGCAGCAGTGACTGGCGGAACAGCTGGCCGGGCGGAACTGAGGGCTCTCAGGGCCCTGAGCTGCTTCCGGGTCCTTCTAAGGGCCTCAGTGCAGGCCTACTAGCCTGAGGGCCTGCCCTCAGCCCTCAGGCCCTCAGCAGGATCGGATCCTCGTACTGATCTCAGTTTACTTGTCTTTGAGTAAACAGTGTCAGGGTCAAGCCTCCTTGACTCTCCTGATTGTCCTCGTACTGATCTATCACTACTTACTGACTTCCGACCGTCTCAGCAAGTTCGAGTGAACGAGCCGCCTTCCGCTTGTCAAGAATGACTTTTTCTTTGTCGCCGAGCAGCGATGGTCGGGGAGGTAAGAGGAAGAGGAAGATGAAGGAACGGGGAGCGGAGGAGAAGGAGAAAGACGGGAGATGATGAGGCTGGCAGGATTCGGAGCTGAGGTCTCTCAAAGAGGAGCTGGAGAGAACGCGGGAGCAGCTCGTTGTGGAGAGGCAGAGGGTAGAGAAGTATGAGAGGAGGGAGCTGGACGTGCTCCAAGGCCACAGGAGGGAAGTGGAGACGTTGCATCGGCGAATCAAGGATCTAGAAGAAGACAAGAGGGAGCTGAAGAACCAGGTGCAGACTGAGCTGCGAGCTTGTTGCACAGTCACTCGCCTTTCTCCTGATGTGCTTCTTCCCTCATCGGGAACAGATCCTCCAGGACGCCAACCGTATCCATGATCTCAGCTCGGCTCTAGAGCGGACCAAGGAAACACTGTCGGGACGCGAGATGCTGCTGTCAGATTTGCAAGGCAAGAGCGAGCAGAAGAGGCAAGGGCATGACGTGCGATGGAGTCTGGGTTGCTGACTGCGTTCATGTGCACAGGATACTCCAAGAGGGCGAGATTCATCGTCTCAAGTTGTCGTTTGAAGGTTGATGACTCCTCGTGCTTCAGTGCGCTCATTTCGGTTTCGTTCTCTGCAGAAACTGCCGCCAAGAGGGATGCTGATCAAAGTGAAATCACGTGAGCAATCGTCGCATGCTGCCCTGAATTCTGAATCTTCTCCTTCTACACCAGTCGTCTCCGAGAAGAAATCGCCAGGCTGCACGAGCGAGAGAACGAGGGTCTGAAAAAAAGGTCGATGCAGATGGATTATGTCAGGACGTACATGTATGCTCAGTTCCTGCTCTTGAGCTTGTCTCACTCTCCTGTACGCACAGCATGGAGATTTCAGAGCAGTTAAGGTCCGCAAGTCACAAGGAGAACCAGTTCTATTCGACAGCACCGGGAGTAGCCGAAGATCTACAGAAGTGGCAGGTGAAGGGTCGAACATCTCGTCTCTCAAACCCTCAATTGGCTGCAGGACGAATATTTCTCTATCATGACAAACCCGAAGCCGCTCAAGGAGTTGGCAGACGTCGTCGGTGTTGATACAGGCGTCGGAGAATACAGCAGTAAGGATGAAGATTGAGACGAAGTGTCCTTAAACTGACCTTCTGAACCCATCAGCTTTCTTGAGCAAAAGTTTGGGATCAAATACGACAGATCGGAGTTTCTAACCCGCTACATTCCATCGTTTCCTCATCCCTCCTCCATGGTGTTGCAATTGAATCTTTGAAATCAGACAGACTCTTGTGCAATAAAAGATCCACAAGCGGCAGCGAGTTTGAAGATGAAACTGGCATTTAAGAACATATGTACAGTCAGTTGTGCGATATAGATTCCTACAGCAGGTTTCTCGCGTAAACCTCGTCCCGAATACTCTGTGCCTGGCTGAACTGTCACCCTTGGGATCAAGGCTCAATGATTTAGTCACCTGAGTTATGATTTGATCCATGTCCATGACGGGGAGATGGTGGAGCAGCGACAACATTTCAGAACGTTCGCTAAGCTCAATGATTGTCCCCTGAGATACATGTAAACAAGACTTGATTTGACTTGTAGAACATGAACCTGCAAGTTGTCCAGTATTGCTAGACAGATGTATGTATGGAGTAAGATTCCATCATCTGGCGACTCGGCGGCGAAGTAAGTGTCCCATAACCGCAGCAAACAATCCGGCTGCAGACAAACAGAAAAGTCATGAATCTGATAGTTAATTTTTTCACCCAAGTCGAATCACAAACCGCTAATTCTCGACAGAGAAGGTATCTCAACCATGAAACAGCCCACTCATTCACTTCCACTTCTTCCTGCAGGAAGTCTTACCCATCGAGGATCGGTCCTCGCCTCTCGCCTCACCTCCTCTAGCGCGACGTTGATCTCTGGGTATATCGTCTTGAAGAGCATGACGAATTGAGCGACGCGCAGGTTGAGTTTGTCTTCGGGCATGTGGAGGAGCATTCGAACCATGAGCCCTTGGAAACAATAGAAGGCGTCTGATTCCTCCTGTTTCATTATGAGCCTGTCAATAGCAGCGGGTGTATGCTGTGAAAGAGAGCTTCCACCTGAGTGCAGATGATGAACGGAGGTAGGAGATGAGCGATGCTCGGTGGGAATCTGACACGAGTGTCAGCATCCTTGCACGGAGAGATCAGCATCCCATACTGTGCAAATGTCGTGTGTGATAAGAAACAAACCGAAATCCTCTCAATCATCTGTCTCCGCTTTGCATCTAGTTCGCCTTCCCACTGTCATGTGCTGAGAGAAATTACAAATGCACGTGGGTATGAAAAAACCTGAGCAGAGTAATTTCTGAGTTCAACCTTCACTCGTCTCAGGACTTCCATATCATTCTACAACGTCAGAGTATCAGCGAAATCAGAAGCAAGTGCTAGGACAAGACTTAAACCTGACTTGCTTCAACCATATCACGGTAGTTATCAGAAAGCTTCTTCGTGATTGACACCTAGCCTTGCATTCAGCTCGCTCCAAACATGACATCTGGATCCGCCCCACCTCTTCAGACTTATCTGGTTTCGATACATCTAGCAGATATTTCCAAACTTCTCCTCTTTGGCACTTTCAGTACAGAAACACAAACATTTCCAGACCTTATCTCCGCAGGAACACCATGTTGTGCCCTTAGTTTCAGCCTCGTCAGGTCGACAAAGGTATCTGCTATCAGAATATCTCGATACTCATCGAGAGTGGCAGCCCTGCCGTCCAGTCGCAGTCAAAGGAGGAGATTGAAAGATTGCCGCAGCATTGAAAGGTAGAATCATGATTGACAGGGGAAATAGCAAACCACAATCACAATGGCAAATGCGAGGAAAGAGGAGTTGGTGGTGAGAGTGGTTGTAGTGGCGTTGATGGAGGAGGGAGGGAGGCAGGCAGGCAGGGGAGAGGAAGGGAGGGAGGGAGGCAGGCAGGGAGGGAGGCAGGCAGGGAGGGAGGCAGGCAGGGAGGGAGGCAGGCAGGGAGGCAGGCAGGGAGGCAGGCAGGGGCGGCAGGCAGGCAGGCAGGCAGGCAGGCAGGCAGGGAGGCAGGCAGGCAGGCA